GAGTTTCGTTAATAATATGGAAGTTTAGATCTGTTAATTAAATTATGTTTTTTTTGTTTATTAATTTAGCATCTTTTGTTTAACCCATTCGTAATTAATAAACCCAGACGAGCGACGTCCACATACTCATAAATAAATGAGATAAGCTTTTATTTTGTGCGAGGTTCGGGTTTCTATCTTATTTTGTGCACTCTGCGTTCCTTTTTTGCATTCCGAATTTCTTTTGAATTGTCTTTGCTTTTTCTTGGCACTTTTTGGTTTTTGTCAACGTAAGCTAAGCTTAGTTGTTTTTTTTCTATATCTATTCTTAGATTTTCCATTTTCGATATTGATTGTTGTCGTGTGTTTTTTTTAGTTCCCATAAATCCTTTTCACCAGCAAACAAATGTGAACAAAGCACGAAATTGCGTTTACGCCAATGTTTCGGTAAAGAATTTATTTTGATCACTGAGGCCACAAAAAAAGCGAAAAAAGAGAGCACCTTGCTCATATACCACTATTTTCTTAAAACGGAGTTGTACGAAGAGACATCCAAAAATAACTTACATTTCTCTTATTTCAGAAGCCCAACAACAAACACAGCCTGAAGTGACTGCCTTGAGTAAAATCGAAAAAAGAAGAAGAGAAGGAGCTTAGACGAAAGGACAGCGCCAGGTAAGAAAACTAGAAAAAATGTGGAAAGCCCATTGCACTGTCAAAATAAGAGAATGACTTGCAATAGAAATCAGAAAAATCCTAACCTTTCAGTGAAAAAACATTCTAGACTATTTAAACTTCTTTAATAAATCTATTATGAAATAATAGTGCATGTAGAAAATTTAAAAATCTTACATTTACACAAAGTCTTAAAATTCGTAATTTGAGCTGGTTTTTCACATGAATAGTAGTTAGATTTAACTTACAGGTAATTTTTTTCCCCCTTTTTAATAACATCATTTATTATGTCCCCACAATTTCTATAATTTACATTTTGTGTACTAACATCAAAACATATAACTTGCAAAATTGTGATAAAAAGATTAAAGCAAACATTTTCCATCCGCGCAGCAGGCTCACACGTCGGAACTTGCAGATCCGAGGTAACCCCACATCCACTCACAGAAACCCACGAAACACAAATCCAAAATGGAGCTGCGCGTGGGTAACAAATACCGCCTGGGCCGCAAGATCGGATCTGGATCCTTTGGCGATATCTACCTGGGCACTACGATCAATACAGGAGAGGAGGTGGCCATCAAGTTAGAGTGCATCCGCACCAAGCACCCCCAGCTGCACATCGAGTCCAAGTTCTACAAGACGATGCAGGGTGGTATTGGGATACCGCGGATCATTTGGTGCGGCAGCGAAGGTGACTACAATGTAATGGTGATGGAGTTACTAGGTCCCTCGCTGGAGGACTTGTTCAACTTCTGTTCGCGCCGCTTCTCGCTGAAGACGGTGTTGCTGCTGGCGGACCAGATGATCTCCCGCATCGACTACATCCATTCGCGCGACTTCATACATCGCGACATCAAACCGGATAACTTCCTGATGGGTCTGGGCAAGAAGGGCAACCTGGTGTATATCATTGACTTTGGCCTGGCCAAGAAGTTCAGAGACGCGCGCTCGCTGAAGCACATTCCGTATCGGGAAAACAAGAACCTCACGGGCACCGCCCGCTACGCCTCAATCAACACACATTTAGGCATTGAGCAATCCCGTCGCGATGACCTGGAATCATTGGGTTATGTTCTCATGTACTTTAACCTGGGAGCTTTGCCCTGGCAAGGATTGAAGGCAGCCAACAAAAGGCAAAAGTACGAACGCATCTCTGAGAAGAAGCTATCCACCTCGATTGTGGTGCTGTGCAAGGGCTTCCCCAGCGAATTTGTCAACTATCTGAACTTTTGTCGCCAGATGCATTTCGACCAGCGCCCCGACTACTGCCACCTTCGCAAGCTGTTCCGCAATTTGTTCCACCGTCTTGGCTTTACTTATGATTACGTTTTTGACTGGAATCTGCTAAAGTTTGGTGGCCCAAGGAATCCGCAGGCCATACAGCAAGCGCAGGATGGAGCGGACGGCCAAGCGGGCCACGATGCGGTAGCTGCCGCTGCGGCGGTGGCAGCGGCGGCCGCCGCATCGTCCCATCAACAACAGCAACACAAGGTAAATGCGGCACTGGGCGGAGGAGGAGGAGGCAGTGCAGCGCAACAGCAGCTCCAAGGCGGTCAAACCCTGGCGATGCTGGGAGGAAATGGAGGAGGAAACGGCAGCCAGCTAATTGGTGGCAATGGACTCAACATGGACGACTCGATGGCCGCCACCAACTCGTCGAGACCGCCTTATGATACGCCCGAGCGACGTCCTTCGATACGGATGCGCCAGGGCGGTGGAGGCAGCGGCGGTGGAGTGGGTGTGGGCGGCATGCAGAGCGGCGGTGGCGTGGGGAACGCCAAATAATATTTTATCGTTTAGATGCGACGCTGGACACGACACAGTAGACAAACAGAACTCAGCAAAAACTATACATGTAGAATATATAGTTATATATACCTAATATATATAATACTTGCTTTATATATGCGGTAAACATGTTGAATGTATCCAAAATGGCAGGATGACCAGGTCCCTGCCAAAAACGGAGGATGAGAGCAGTGAGAAAAGAGGAGCAGAGCAAAGCGCGGCGCTTCCCTTCTTTTTGTACATTTTCGTTTGTTTTTTTTGACATTATTGGTTTCTGCTCCCAGATGTTAGAACGGTGGGCGCGCTTATTATTAATTAACTAGCCTATGATTAATTTAATTTATACCTTAGAACATAAACGATTGCAACTTGGCTGCAAGAAACTGCAACACCGCACTGTTCAATTGATTTGAGAACCCTGAAGAACAGCCAATAGATCGGTGGTTAAATGAGGATCAAAAATGGGATTGGGAAAAGAGCCAGGATACGCAGGCATTTATTCTGTTTTGCATTTGACTTTTGCTCTCCGGCCGGCTCAATTTTTCGTTGTTTATTTTAATCCCATCCCCAAATCAAGCAGAACATTAAAACCGATCATGAGAAACACATAATAACTCGATTGTAAGTGTAATATTTGTGTAAAAGAAACAAAGGACACCCCGTTCAGTGAGTGTCCCTTACTCTAGATGTTAGGCACTAGCGATAGTGAAACCAATCCATACAAAAGCATATGCTATATAGCAAACACCCACATGTAACCTAAGTTGAAGCCGATTTCGGGGCGCAATTAAACGATGATAACGATTATGATGATCAAGTGCAGTAGAGGGGACGTTCTTTAGCTTTAAGCATCGCTCTGACTTTTAAGGCCCCTCCTATGTTATATTATATCTTACTGTAACGCCTACGATCCCCGTATATTTGTACTATATATATATATATATACTTTTGTGGTCTGCGCTTTTGCTACATGTGTTCATATATATTTTCCGTTTTTTAAACACAAGCTGCGCGAATTTCTCAAGCGGGAGGGAAATGCCCGCGATGGTCGGTGGGGCAGTCCTTTTGTTTACGCAACAAAATCATGTAACTAAGATAGAGAGCGTATAAATAGCGTTAAAAATATACAAATTAATAAACGTTTCGATTTAAACAAAAATAAGAAAATGCCCCTTCAGCAGTCGTCGACGGGCCCTAAAATTACATAAATCTAGCTAATAAATTATAGCTATAATATGAAATTTGTCTATAAGTAATACCAAACCATAAAAATAAAAACAAAAATGAAAAAAAAAAACTTAAATTCTAAATGCGCCAAGAGAAAATGGGTAAAATTATAAATATACAAACTATATCTTATGAGAACACGTAAAACATGTAAAACCCCACAGCGATCGGCTGGCAGTCTTTAACTAACAAATCAAACAAAGAACACCAATTCGGATCACTGAACGCAGAAGCCACTAAAAACTTAAATAAAAATGCATTACGTGATATTTCTTAAAAATTGTTTTTATGTTTTCTAAGCTTATTTTTCCTTCGTTTCGGTAATTTCTCCTTTTTTTTGTGGGACGCAAACACTATCCAAAGCGCACGCCTTGCAATCGACCAACTTTGTAAACACGACCATAGTGCTCAGCCAGAAATCGAAAACCTTAGTTGATATAGCCTCCTCCCAAAAAGATAATAACCTAATGAGTGTACATACGAAATATCCGAATTAACCCTACAAGTAAAAAATAAAATATATGTGTGATTTTCCTCCTAGCATACAAGAGTACTAAACCATTAGCATTTTATTGATAGAAACGAAATCGAAAAGCCCCATAACTGATTCATAATAATTATGAGCCACTAGCAATGGAGAACTAAACGATCTTGTGTGAAAAGTCCATTCAGCATAAGCAAAAATAGAGAAACTAACAAATTGACAAACATAGTAATTTCGAAAGTTTTGTATAATTAACTGTATATGTATATTGAAAATAGAATTTTTGAACTAAATAACTAATTAAACTTGAGTCGATTGCGGAATATCGATTATATCATGGCGATATTAAAGAAAACATAAATAAAACCACCAACAGTGATATGGAATACAAAATAACCACGAAATCGAAACGGTTCATGAACATTTGAAAAGTTCGTTAGATCGGAATTCGACGGATGTAACGATAAGTGCACGCCACATTTATGTAATTAGCAAGTATTTCGAATTAAAAACAACATGAATATGTATGTGTGAACATAATAAAAGCAGCCACTAAATAAGCCACACCACTCACAATAACAATTACGAACGAGGCATTAAAAAGCTTAAACAATAATAACACAACTCAATGGAATTTGTTTTTGTGCGATTTTTTGTCGTTTACAATCAGTTTGGGAAAATCGGAAGGGCCAGAAGCTGAATTTGAAGATATTGGGGGCTTTAGTTTACCTACAATGTTTTAAGATAATTCGTTTCATAATTAAAGTTTTGAGTTCGATTTCAAAAGAATAGTAATACTTTTTATAAGTCTGGCAGCGCTGTTGAATCATCTGGCAATTGTATTTTTAAACTCTGGCCATCTTACCAATCAGCTGACTTCGTTGTTTTTTGGTATTATCGTGCATTCCGATTAACGTCACTCCGAGCAAGTGGCCCATAGTTTTCACTGAAAAGGTTAATAAAAACACCGAAATAAACCAAACCGAGTGTGAAGCGTCCTTTCAATGACTTAAGTCCTATTAACGAACCACCAACATTGCAGGTGTTGCTCCAGGATCAAGAGGAAAAGGACCTTCAGAAGATGGGAGCCAGACAGTCTCAATCCCGCGAACCGCGATCCGTTTCAATGGAAAACCCAACTCCTGCCGGCGTCATCGACATATCCGATGATGTGGTCAAGCGGCTGAAGGCTGGAATCAGCCAGCAGGGTAAAGTATATGGAATTATTACATTCAAGTACCCGGAAACCGACTTTGGGCTCATTCCGGTGTTATGCAACAATTGTCAAAACGGGCGATTGTTTATGCCAAATACAGTAGAACTTAGTTAGATCGAACTATTCCAAGACGATTTTCCTATAACTCTTAAATGTCCATATCTTGTGCGCACTAAAACTGCCCTTTAAAAGGGTGGATGAAGAAGTACTCTGTTTTTTGATATCTTATGTTTTTTTTTTAGTTTTCTCGAATTATATTGCATTCCAATATTGATATATTCCCCTTTCAGCTCGTGAGCACGCCGCCGCTGCGGAGGACTCGAAACCAGCGCCAAAGGCTTCGGCAAAGGCTGCTGCCAAGCCAGCCCTTCCCTCCCCAGCTCCTGCGCCTGCTGCTCCCAAGGTGGCCTATCCTGCTGCGGTGCCCATTTACGTCCAAGGCGGCGGGCACACCATCAGTGCTGCGGATGTCCAGCGCCAGATGAACCAGGAGCTGGTCAAGAACGACGAGCTGTGGAAGGAACGCATGGCGAAGCTGGAGGAGAACCTTAAGAAGACCAACACCATTCTGGAGAAGGAGTACGCCAATGCGGTGGACAACGTGCACAAGCGATTCGTAAGCACCGCGTCGTCGCATAAAGTACCACCCTGCCAGGATCTAAAGTCCCAGCTGCTCGCCTGCTACCGCTCGCATCCCGGCGAGACCCTTAAATGCATGGAGGAGGTGGCGCAGTTCCGGAAGTGCATCGATCTGCATCGCGTCCAGAAACTGGACGCGGAGCCAGAGGCTCCAAAAGTGGCTGCGAAGACCTCTGTTCCTGCCAAGGCGGGCTAGAAGGAAGCCTCTCATATTATTGTCCTGAGTTGTTGATCTTTGCTTTGAAGCCTCGTGTGGGTTTTGTATAAACGATGGAAATGCACTTCGTAAACTTAAGCGCGAAAGTGTTATTGCGAGCGATAGTAAACTAATTTAAATGAATCAATCCCTGGATGTTTAATTTACGGCATGTCGAACATATTTAGTATCAGGTGATAACTACTCCTTTTTACGCAGCTAACTTCTTTCACTTTTATTGAACATAAATTACAATGGTGAGTATTTGGATAACCATATTCCTCGTAAACTAAGAAACTGAAATTAACTTAAATTTTAATAGTTTGATTCAAGAAGCCAAAAACAAAAGACTAATTCAAATCGTCAAAAAAATGAGGATAATACTCATAAACAAGCCTTTGGAATTCAGTTTGAGCTGCTCAGCAAAACGAGTAGAAAATTTTAAAGAGGCAAAACACTATAAACTCTATGAACATAATCGAAGCGTTTACGTCTTGTGCTGTTTGAGATGACGATTAAGCTTAATTTTTAAGTCGAAGGTCCTGCCACAGATATTACAAGCGATGTAGGATTTTTTCGGCACCTGCTCGTTAGTGGAGCTCTTGGAGCATCCATTGGGGCTCACTTCCGTTCTGCTCTTCTGCTGGTCGGTTCTATCTTCGTCGACGGTGCTTTTTTCTGGGACTAGCTGGTCGGTTTCCATTGGAGTGGGTGGGGGTTGACACTTTGGACTGGACACCCTCCTTGGTGATGTGTCTTCTGGGGATCGCAGCCTTTTTCTAGTGGATTTGTGGGTGGCCAGCACATGATCCTGCAGCTGCTGGGCCTCCTCAAAAATGTCGCTGCAGAAAGCGCACTGAATGACACAAGGGGATGGCAAGGATGAAACAGGCAAATCTACTGGTGCAGTTGCGTCCATCTTATAAAGTGTATCTGTTGGATTGGAAGAGTCCTTAGCAGAAGACAAAGCCTTTGGCAGAGCAGGTTCCTTTGCTGCAGTAGAGTCCTTAAAAGTAGTAATGTCCTCTTGAAAAGTAGAGTCCTTTGGAAAATTAGAGTCCTCAGGAACATTGGAGGCAGTTGGAGCACAAGGCACACTAACTGAAGAGGGCTCTGGAGCGTCAGTCGTTACTGGGTCGAAAGAGGACGAGGCCAGTGGAGAAGGAAAAGCCTCCGGTAAAAAATTATCCAAAGGTAGTTGTTCCAACAATTTAAGTTTCTGAGCCAGCTGTATCTCGCCCTCTAGGGATAAGGTAAAAGGGTTACTAAATGGGTTTAGACTTTTCCTGATCCTTTACATACCCCGTAAATGCTTTTTTAAATGGCCTTGAAGGATACTATTTTTTATAGCTGCAAAAATAATTTTAATTGCATGGTTTTATTAATCGATTATTAAAATACTTACTCTTGTCACAATAAGTGCACTTGGTACGCGAATGCACTGCCTGCTTGTGCTCCTTGAGAGTTTCCTTCGAGCTGCAAATGAACCCGCAAACAGGACACTTTATGTGCCGCTGCAACTTATGATACTTAATGTGGAACTTGATGCGGGACTCCTGGGCGTTGGTGAACTGTTTGCTGCAGATATGGCACTCCCAGTCCTTAAGAAGATGGGTGCGGCGCATGTGGTCCAAGTGCGCATCCTGGTTGGGCGATTCATAAAGGCAAAGCTTGCAAGAGATGACCGGGGAAAGAATGGGGGGCGGCGGCGGGGCCACGCCTTCGGCTTCGTCGTCGTATGTGAACCGGATTATCGGTTCGTCTTCCTCCTCTTCGGTATCGCCATCGTCGGCCGTTCCGGATGCATCCTCGCTTGACGGTGCAAACATGTTAGCGGTCAACGAATCGTTGTCGATCATGTCAAAGCTGCTCTCAACCGGCTGCGACACAAGTTCCTTGGGATCTGGTGGCTGGAAGTGGTCACCGCTCTGCACTGGCACGCGGGCCATGTGCTCCTCCTTGATGGGCACGTGCGGTATGTCGAAGGCGGCGCATACGCGACGGCTGCCATCCTCGTCGCTGATTTCCTCCTCGTCCGTGTCCAGATATATGAATCCGCAGAACTTCTCCTCCTGCGGCTCGATTTCCCGCTTAATCACGATGCCATTGTGCTCGCGCTGGTACTCCAGCTCGCTAAACTGTTCCTGCGTTTCCACGCAGCTGTGCTTGAACTTGAGCAGCCGGCGGAATTCGGCGATGCAGGCAATGCACATGTACTGCGGTCGTCCGTCCTCCCGTACCACCTTTGTTTATGCATCAGAAATATATTAGGTATTCCTGGAAATTATTTATTACTCACCTGAATGTTCCAGGCACTCAGCTGCTCGAGAATCTCTGCCATGGTTCCAACGGCGTCATTCAAGCCAAATATTGGTTTAACAATCGCTTGATCCATGTCCAAGCCCATGGTGAAATAAATCCCGCATGTCCTGCATGGCTCAATGAAGTCCTCGTCAAAGCCATTTAGATCCGCGCTGAACTCCATTGCGCGCTCTACATATGTTATATTTTCCGCAAAATTCCAAGAAGCTGAATTCAATTAATTTTTTTGTTATTTTATGTGATTTGAGGTAAGGAGAACCATTTTAGCAGTGTTGCAAAAGCAAGGCGGGGTAGCAGGGATGGGCAGTAAAACCATATATTTGTATTATATTTTTATTTAATACTAATAATACACTTAAGGAGCTCCTGGTAGAGGAATATTTTTTGTTTTTGTATATTTCACACTTACCTAAAACCTAAATATCCGTTCTATTCTATTCTAAAACATCCAGCTTTGGCGGGACTTGCGAGAATAGATATCGTCCATCGGCAGGTATCGATTAACCGGTAACTTTGCGACGGCCGCCAGCACTGCGCCATTGTTTTTATACGAAAAAAACATAAAATCATCCGCCGTCCGACTGATTGTTTTCCTTCCTGCCCAGTTACTGAATCGGAAATCGCCAGAGCCCGGGTCTCCGTCTCCAGCTTCCCGGAGAGTGCAATGAACCTCACAGAGCAGAATCCGTACGGAAACGGGCTGTTGTACGCAGCCTTTAATCAAGATCAGGGTACGTACGTGCGGATGTGTGTTGTTTACCTATACGATAAACTAAATCCATATATTGCATGTATATACTATAACTGGCCTATTGCGTTGCAGGATGTTTTGCCTGTGCGACGGACACCGGATTCCGGGTCTACAACTGTGATCCGCTGAAGGAGAAGGAGCGCCAGTACTTTCCAGAGGGTATGTTTGAAAGAGAGAGTGCGGGAAACTCCCACAGTCTAAATCCGAATCGCATTGTCTCGCATTCAGGTGGTCTCAGTCATGTGGAGATGCTTTTCCGCTGCAATTACCTGGCCCTGGTGGGCGGCGGCATCCGACCGCTGTACCCGCCCAACAAGGTGATCGTGTGGGACGACCTGAAGAAGTCACCGGCCATATCGCTGGACTTCAATCAGCCCGTGCGGGCGGTGCGACTGCGCAGGGATCGGATCGTGGTAGTGCTGGAGGGGGTGATAAAGGTGTTCACCTTCACCCAGCAGCCGCAGCAGTTGCACGTCTTCGAAACTAGCTCCAATCCCAACGGGCTGTGCGTGCTGTGTCCGCACAGCAACAAGAGCCTCCTCGCATTTCCCGGCCGACGCACTGGCCACGTTCAGATCGTGGATCTGGCCAACACGGAGCGCGCACCGCTGGAGGTGATTGCCCACGAGGCGGGAATCAGCTGCATTGCCCTGAACCTGCAGGGCACGCGACTGGCCACCGCCGGCGAGAAGGGCACGCTCATCCGCATCTTCGACACTGAGAGCGGCAAGAAGGTGTCTGAGTTGAGGCGGGGAAGCAACCATGCCAACATCTTTTGCATCAACTTCAACCACCAGTCCACAATGGTAGTGGTCGCGTCCGACCACGGCACAATCCACGTGTTCAACCTGGAGGACAACAAGCCCCGTGAATCCTCGCTGCCCATAATACCCAAGTATTTCTCGAGCCAGTGGAGCTTTGTCAAGTTTTCGATACCCCAGGGACCACGTTGCGTTTGTGCCTTTGGAGCCGATCCCAATTCGGTTGTGGGTGAGTTGAAGCTGGAGCTGGTCTTCCCTGGGAACACTGTAATCGCAATTAATTCTCTTATGCAGCCATTTGTGCGGATGGCCATTATTATAAATTCCTATTCAACAACAAGGGCGAGTGCAGTCGCGACATCTGCACACAATTCCTCGAGCTGCAAGACGATGAGACCTAGAACCCAAGTCCGATTCTTGCTTACGCCTTTGCTGCATCTATACAATTATATATCTCCATGGAAATGTGTTATACAATACTACTTATAAGCATGCTTTAAAATACGTTAAAAGTCGAGTTCACATAAAAAGTAGTTAAACATTAAGACCAGCTTACGGCTCTTTTCTATTATTATTTAAAACTTTCATCGCTTTAAAGGAACAGATTGATTTGTTTGACTTCGATAAGAGATTTACATGAAGTAAAAGCCTTTCTAACCAACATTGTATTATATTTAACACACCTTTCGCTACCTCATTCCATTCTGGACACTTATAGATTACTTCACTACTTTTACAGAAGTGTTCTACCCAACTTTTGTACATCCAAAACCTTCGTTACAATCGCAACGTTACTCATTTCCATTTTCGACAGTTTTGTTGCAAAGTTTTAGAATTGTTTTTCTAAATATGAACCAAGTTCGTTTACCGAATAGCTTGGGTGGTAGTGAATCGTTGCCAGAGAAACTGCTTTGAGCCGGGAATAAAATATTTGAACGCCAGACATATACACAAATCTAAATAGTTAAGTTTATTTCTCAGAAATATCACTGGAATGTTAAGCACTTGGAAAGGAAGTTTATGTGATGACACGGGCGACCTTGTCCACTCACAGCTCACAAATGTGTGGTGTTGCTCTCCTCGAAGGCCGGATTGGACATCCCGACTCCTGCTGACCGGCCGTTTTGGGGGCGGGGCGCGAAGTCGCTTTGCTGCAAGTGGATGATCTTTGCTTGTTGCTGCGAGGTGATGGGCACTTGGAAGCTACCCTGCACATTGATGGTATTGCCGGGATACTGGGCCTCATCCTTGATGGGCAACTTCTTGCTGGGCTGCCTGCGAAACAAATTCATGTCGGATTTCTTGGAGAAGTGGGCTTCGATTTCCTAAAGGATAAAATAAGGTTTTTGTTTAGTGGTAACACTCATTAAAATATCATTAAATTATTTGAGAGATGTTTTTACAGACGTCCCAATATACTTACACCCAGAGTGCGACCCTCCGTCTCCGGAAGCGTGAAGTACAGGACAACGGTTCCAACGAAGGCCACACTGGCATAGAAGGCGAAGGTTCCGGGCAGAGTCAAGGCACTCAGCATCACCAGGAAGAGCTTGTTGGCCAGGAAGCCAAATATATAGCCCACACCACCGGCAAAACCCGAGGCCGTATTTCGTATCTCCGCGGGAAAGACTTCGCCAATAAGAATCCAAGGCAACATGCGGATGCCCAGGTGAGAGAAGAAGGCGGAGAGCAGCAGGAGGATGAGTGGCACCCAGACCAGGTAGTTGTGTTCCTGCTTCGGCACCACCAGCAGAATGTCCTCCACGATAGGTGGTTTCGAAGGTGGAGCCATGGATGATGAAGAGGCCACTGCTTCCGTACTGCTTCCTAGTTGCGGCCACATGGTGGTGTCCATAAACGCATCTGTGGTCGTCATGTCATTCACCTCCCTTTTACTGCGATTGTAAGCTTCCGGTTCGAACATCGTAGTTGTCTCCATTTCCGGCAGCAGAGTGGTCAAGAGTTCTGCTTCCTGCCTTATTGCCTGTTGTTCTGTCTCAAAGATCCTGGAGATGTTCTCCTGCGAGAGGATGCCCTCCTTGGGCACTATCGAGGAGGCATTGACCACCACATTGTTGACCGTAAATCCCGGAACTTCACTCAGGAAGTGAGCATAGGTGGCCGTGCCAAAGAAGCACAGTCCGGTGCCCACGGTTGAGACCAAAACCAAAGGTCTCTTTCCGGTAAAATGAATCAGCACTACGCCCAAGATGGTGGCCAGCATCTCAGCCACTCCAAGAAGAATCGTCGCATGGTACTTGTTCATTGGAGCCTTGAGGGTGTGAAAAATCTGCACCGCGTACGTTTGCAGCGGGGTCTTTCCGGAAAAGTGACCGGTGAAAAAGCTAAAGGAAACCAGGAGGAATGGGACCAGGAAGCTCCGTTTCCTCCACATCCTCAGACGTTGACCAATTGTCCGACGTTGACCCGGAAGAGGCGCCCCATCCGCAGCCAGTTCGATGGCCTTCTGGGTGATCAGTTCATCGTAGAGCTGATTGAACTCCGCCTCGATCATGTGCTCCGGAACCCAGCCACGTAGCCATTGCAGGGACTTCACCGCCTCCCGGAAGCGCTGTTCGCGGATCAACCAAACCGGACTCTCGGGCACAAAGGACAGCATTATGATGGTGATCACCGGAAAGGCCGAACTCACCGCCGCCACACTCCGCCAGTCCATCAGAGATCCCAGGATGAACTGGATAAAAACGCCGGTTATGACACAGGTGGTTCCCAGAGCAGAAAGAATGCCACGGTACTTGGGCTCCGTGATTTCGGCCACATAGGTGAGCACCTGCAAGGGAAACGAGCAGAAAGGTGAGTCGAGTGACTTTAAACCTCTAAGACAACATTTGCCAATAGCTTTGGATGAGGCCTTCATATTTATCTCATTGCTATCATTGGTTCAAAAAGCTTTACCCTCTTTTAAACCCCTCAAAACTCAGAATAGGTTTTTGATTTTAAAATCTTATCTCCTAACAACCAACATCGTCTTATTGTAAGCAACATTTCTAAAACTTTAAGATGTGTGGATTTGAAAGCAAATTGTTTTAAAAACTTCAAAATAAATAATATTATTTTTGAAGCTTCTTTGTTTAACACAACATGATTTGTTAGAGCTAGAGGGTTAATACTAAAACAGCTTGTGGCAATCTCAAGTGGCATGTGGCAGCCAAGCTCTCAAGGAGTTGGCCAAGGTCAGCCAAACTCCAAATTGCGACGAGGTAAACCATTGTTGCAATGGAAACATGTGGGCCACTCGATGCAGTCGTGAGGGTAATCAACAATTGACATATACAAACTGAACTTTAATTTGCAATCGCATATGTAATAGCCATATGATGACCTTCTGTGTGACTCGATAAGTTTTGGGGAAGATTGAGTAAATTTTCATCTTTATTTTTGATTAAATAATTAAAATGAATGTGAAAAAAATAAATAAGGTATTCAAATCTATTCATCAATCAAAAAGTTCGCTTAATCTTCCAACGAAAATCGGAATAACCCCAACGATGTAATGGCACTTAAGCATAGAAATTGCAATTATTCATAACAAAAATGTTTCAATATGAATAAAATCAGTAACAGTAAAAACCTCGAACAAGATGCAACTGTTGTGGTTTTTACTTCTTGTAATTGGATTCGAATGCAATACTGTTTACCGCACTCGATGGCCAAAATATGTGCAAAAAAGGCACTTTAACCCTCCAATCCAGGTGATCACCTAGCGACTCTTTTATATAATTAAATGTGCTCTACAGAATCCCCGATTTTTAAGCCACTCGACTACTGCAATGGAAACCTTTGTCCGAACGGTACAAAACATATCACTTGCGGCATCCGTTTTGTTAGTAGCTCCATGGAGAATCTCAGCTACCGAATTGCAATACAAATATTGGGTGTTTCAGTGGGGTCCCAAGTGCGGTAACGACCACAAGGGCATTGTGCTGACCCACCTCCGAGACGATATCTTGAAGTCCTTGAACGACTTTCGGAGAAAAGTGATTCGGGGACTCCCCGGACTGCCCAAGGCACTGAAGTTGCCGTCCATTTCTTGGGACGAGGAGCTGTCCGTGATTGCGATGCGGGTATCCAACCAGTGCTTCGATCGCTCCAACCCGTCCTGTGTGAACACTTTTCGCTACGAGAAAGTGGGCGAGTCCTCAGATTTTGTGACATTGGCCAAAAAGTCTAAGGACTTCAATGCGCTCAACTTCTTTAGTATGTGGTTCCAATATTACAAGCGTTTGACTCCAGCCCACGTGTATAGCTTTCCCGATGTAGCCCCCGATGACAAGCTCAGGTTGTTCTCCAATCTGATCTACCAGAAGAACAGGAAGATGGGCTGCGGAATGCTCAAATCTAAGGGAAAGTTGTTCTTCACCTGCCTCTTTAACAGAAGGATCAAGGCGAATGCGACACTCTACCAGACTGAAAAAGATGTTATAGCCCGCTTAAAGAAACAAAAGGAACGCGCACTTGTTCAATCGAATCTTGTTACGAAAGAAACAAGTGAGACATCCGCAAACATGAATGTATCACTCGTTTAGGTTTTTTTAATTTTCAACCCCCTAACTAATCCCTGTCTTAACCCTTCAGAAAATTCTGATTTGATATAATTAAATGATTAACAAACAATGTTAGGATTCTTTCCCTTTGAACCTCTTTAGCCTGTGACCTCCATTTGCTTACCTAATCTAATAGTGAGTTACTTTCATAACTTTGTTTATATACGAATACATTTTTTTATTTATCACTCAACAAAATACGTTTTTTTATGCCACTACCTGCTACTCGATAAAATCTCAAAACTAATAGCAAACAACTCGAGGCCTTTTCAATTTAATTAGCTATTTGTTTAATCGTTTTCTCTATGGAAAGACTTATTAATGAAGTTCTTCCTGGATTTGGTTCGCAGCTAAGTGATTCACTTTGCGGATTTAACGGCTAGCTAAAAAACGTATAAAGATTGGGAAAAAAAGATAACCCTTTCGGGAGAAATATGCAAATGAATAGATAAACAAAGGCGAAGGGAGAGTGTATGTATATAAGCCCTCGGTTCACACGTGATGGGGCAAAAACTTGTGTATATTTCGGAGCAATTAATCAGTGTGGTCGGGTTTCACTTACCGGCGCCTCCATCAATCCGCCTCCGAGACCAGCCAAGCATAAAGCCGCATACAGGTGCTCCGTGCGCGTCGAGAAGTGGAACATCAGCCAGGCGGCCAGAATCGGCAGGTTGACAAACTGCGGGTACAAAGGGGAGTGGGTGGGTGGGTGAGCTCGGATGGATAAACATAATTGCATAAGCCCCACAAAGTCACGCAGCTCGATTCCAGCTCAGTGTGTCAGTGTTCCGAGCGATCGGCAATCGGTAATCGGAGGAGCGGCTGATGAGCCGCAGATGATTGCGGCTAAGTGGGATGGGAGCAATTTGTGCCTCTTCAGGTGCATGCCAAAAAAATTACACCAAAAGCTGAGGTTGCGATTGCTCAATTTGGTTTCCACTCGGGGACGGAAAAAATCGAATCTTTAAGCCTGCTTTGGAAGTAATTCAAGCTTTGGGAAACAATGATTCTTAAAACTTGATCTTACAAAAAAAAAAGGGTAAGGTCAAGATACTTTTAGCTTTTAAGATTATTATTGTCTTGGTAATTTTATCAGGATTAAGATAACATCGAATAAAAAATATCCTCCTGTTATCATAAGCCTTAAAAGCTTTTAAGATTATTATAGTCTTGGTAATTTTATCGGGATTAAGATAACTTCGAATACAAAATATCCTCCGGTTATCATAAGCCTTAATAGAAAATAACCCCCAGCTAAAATAACCCCCAGCTAAAATAACCCCCAGTTTTTATTTATCCTACACCCACCTGCATGGCTCGTCGTTTGCCCAGTGGTTGAGTAAGAAGTCCGGAGAATAGGCATCCCAGAGGCACACAAATCAGGTTAATGGAACCTTAAGGAAAGGGGAGTTAAAAAAGCAGAATCATTGGAATCTTTGGCCACTTACTGAACCAAGAGATCTCGTCCTTGTTGAGGACTATGTCGCCGCTGGTCTCGCTGCGGCCTTCACCACCTTGAATGGCGGGTATCACGATTGTGGGGAAGCCCAAGGTCATGCCATATCCTAAGAGATATAATATAAGATATCATATCAATAAAGCAATCAAAACAAAAGTATTAAGTCTATTTGTTTCAGTTTTAGGGGAATGAAATCGATACGCGAAAAAAGGCAGAATTAAATTAGCGATATTAAATGACCAGCAACATTTTAATGATAAATTTATCAATAAATCTGAATGCAAATAAATCAGAATTATTAAAAGCAGGTTTTGTATTTTTAAGTTCACAAATTCACCTTAGAAGTTATTATTAGTTATTATCATTCTCTTTAGTTCGGAGTTAGGTATTCTTCATTGCTATTATGTAATTTTTTAAACAAGGCGTTTCCAATTTGAGTAAGTGATGAATTTTAGACTCAACAGCGCTTTTTTTAGCAAGTTGCTGAATGTTCAAGGCGATAGACATTTTAATTACCATCTAATTACAAACGGTTGCGTTAAATCACTGACTTTAATGATGATTAATGTGCACAGCTAAAAATGTGCCTTTTTACGAGGATATACAATAAAATAAACTAGAGTTAGGAATTTCATTCCCCCGGGGTTTGTGTAGCTGGAAAATGCGTGTTATTTACCGAATAGCAATATGTTCTTAATACTAACAGCTAAAAACTGTGGAAGGGCGCGTCGGAAGTTGCTGACTTCCACATCGGCGGTCGCAATTCGTCCGCCGTTGGCATTTTGCATAAACAATGGCCGATCGTTCAGCGAGCTGCAATGGAAAAGTGTGTTTTTGCATTTGATTAGTTTCAGCCAGCGATTCACGATGGGTTATTGTCTAAGCGAGAACTATAAAGTGTGCGATTTTACCCGTTTTTCTCAGCTGTGGCGGCAGCTGCGGCAGCCTTGCCATTGGACATCGCGACGTATACTTGATGCGCGCCGTATACTTAATGCACTGTTTTGTTTGCCCAAGTGACTGTTTGTCTTTGCCTTGTGGGCTTATGTTTATTCCGATCGAACTGTGGCTCTTTTCACTTAGTTAGGCATCGTTATTGATCATTATAATTATTTAGTGCTTATCGAGTGCTAAGTGGCAAAACCTTTCAAAATCACAAACAAACAACGTTTATAATTGGACATTTATTGGTCTTCTTGTTTTCGCTGCTTTCTTTCGGCTTGTTTGTTATGCGATTTTTGACACAATTGAATGTTACGTGTTTATATGCACACGAATCGAAAATAATTTCTTTTTATACCCTAACACAAGGGATGTCCACATTTTATGGCCAGTTAAAAATAACAATGTTTTAAGTTAAATTCTTAGTGTTTTACATTTCTTTTTTTTATATCTTGGCACTCTTAAAACAGTTTGCTAGTCACCATGATTTCACAGCTTATTTAAATTTTATTTCACTTGTGTTAAGGTCTTTTGTTTCCCTCACGTGACAAGGGTAGGTTTTTTTGAAGAGATATATTGTGCAAAATATTAAGACAAATAGACATTTAAGTGCAATTTATGCATATGAGCATAGTAATTTGGAAGCAGACGAAAGAAAAAGAGAAGCCTTGAGCATGAAAACCAGTTCATTGAAGATCCATAGGGTTAGAGATGTGGTTGAATGGTACGATTTCTATGAGATGCGAATAAATCGCATTTTTGTCACGGGATCCAGCGAAACCGGTTAAAACTAAATGTTCAAGATGAACCGAAAGACGTCCACAGCGACCCACCGTTTAATGCGGCGCACCCCAACTGTCTGATGCCAAAAAATGTTAAAAACGCTTACAAGTATTTTCTCTTCCTTTCTCCATATTCTTGTTTATTTATGGGTTATGCATTGAGAAAAATTAATTAACAATTAATTATATAAGACATTTTATTCATTGTTTGGCATAAAGATATACTTTAAATGTAAAAATTGTTCTTAATTTTTTTAAAAGTATTTTCAATTCTCTATGCTTAAATAAAATAATTAATATTCCTAAGCGAAGTCATTTAAATAAATCGCTTTGCTTCAAGATTTCGAGCGTGTATTTCATTGTAAACCTATTAAATGTATAATTTGTGTGCTATTAGTCCAAACTTTACTTTAAATTTGAAATATTAACCTGTCTTAAAGAATGAAATCTTTTTTTTCCTGTGCTACTTTATTTCCTAGGCCATAAAAAGTGTACATATATAATTTAAGCGATTCTTTCGTCTTGTCTCTTGTTTGTAATTGTTTTTTTTAAGACAGAAGCAAATATCATGCCCGCCGAAGTGTTGCACAATGAACCTCTCAGAAAACCGCTCATTAAAGCCAATATGTCAATGGGTTAATGGCCAAGAAAAGGCAGCCGCAACCGCAAACTTCTGGCCAAAAAAGATTTTTCACTAATGTGGGTTAAGATTGCGTGCAACGGAAATAACTCGCTGCCAAAGTTGAAGCACTGCACTTAATCGATGACACACATAATGTTTGGATTTGGGCCATATATCAAGGGATTCCCAAAGGTTTTGCGGGCTGTTGAACTTTCGAACGTTTTTTGCCGAATTTCGAACTGGTTTCAAAGCTGCCAGGCGGGACAACTTTGTTCCCTGCAACGAACTTGTACCGTGCAAAGTTGAGTAAAGCTAAGGTGTAAAGTATTTAAGATATTTTTCGTATTTCTGTTCCACGACCGATTTGCCAAGCTGGGAGACCTAACGCTTAACACCAGAACGTGTTGCGCGGCCAAAACAAACTGAAACCGAAACTGAAATTTCTGTCCCGTTACAGCGAAGCTTTCCGCCAAGCTCAGCTTACAAATCGGAGCTCAGAAATTGAACGACACAAAAGCTCCCCTGGCATTTGTGCCAATTGGAATGTAGGAAATTCGGTAACCAATTTGGCGGCTAGAAAAAACAACAAACCCCCTAAAAATATATTCATTGAGCTGGAGAACAATTGAGCCGCTGACAAACCCGTTTTTCTGTTGTACTAAATCTTTCCACTAAATCAGCTCGGGATCGATCTGGCATTCATATAATATATAAATCGTTTAGCTCTTGCTGGATCGCCAGAACAACTTGGGTTCACCCTCGGAATTCTGGTTCAGACCGAGGCGAGAATCCACAAAGCCGTATTCTATAGTATGTGCTTAGTTGTGTTTGCATCGCGCAAGTAGGAAGAGGTAAGTTTTTGCAATAGTTAAATGACAGTTGCATAAACCCGACTCACATGAATAGAGCACCAAGTGTGTCCCAGCCTCTTTGATCTTGCCCCCTATAAAAGCAGTAAAGCTGCTTAAGTTCACTTAAGCGCGAATAAATAACTTTTTGCAACGGCTGGCAATGTGATGTTGTAAATCAGGAAAACTCTACAATAGAATAGCCGAACATATTAAGTGATTTACTGTCATATAGTAATTCGTTACGCTTCTCTTCAAAATTCAATTGTCATTTGAATGATTTAATAGATATAAATAGCAACAAAATCATCACCTACCGATTTAGTAATCTCTCTTTTCTGAGTGCTCCAGATAATTGCCCTTAAAGTTATTTTGACGCGTTCTTGCATTACTCACATATTTGTAGTATTAAGCAATTTGGAAGAATTAAACGGTGCTAATATAAGTTAATGGGCGTGTACGTAGCGACAGTTATGGTGCTCCGACTAAAAGATACCCTCTTAGGCATTTTAAAGGTAGCAAAGGTACTCTATTGTATTCGTTTTAAAAGCAGGAACTGCTTGTACGTGAGAAATAAATAAAACGAATAAAATTCTTGAATGCCAAAGCATTTCTTAAGAAATCCAAATGGCTTACAAGGAACGTTATATAACCACAATATACCCTCAAAGTTGAGTTCCTATTACTAAGTGCTAAAAGGTGTTTTCCTGTGGCATTTGCTTATTTGTTCATGGGCGTGAAAATATAATTACTAAGGTAATTGTGAAAACAAGCTCATTTTTCGCACAGTGGCAATGAACCCCAAACGTAATCGGAATTATAAGCTTAATTGAAAGAACCTGGGGTCGAACAAGTCCAGGTTTTGATAAGCGTCTGCATCGATTAGTACCACCGTAATCCCCCTGAAACCCCCATTTATTCGTCCCCCTGTGACGTTGGTGTCGGGACAAATTGCACTTTAATTTGTGCTGCGTTTCGCATTTCAATAGGAAAAGTGTTTGAAACGAGTTTTGCGCTTCCATTTCCACTCAATTTCCGAGCTTTCGCATCTTTTCGAAGGTCGTGGGATGCTGAAAACAGGGAAAAAGCCTGGGCAACAATTTATTTTAAACGATTTTTGTGCGCTGTTACACGTGATCATTGTTGTCGGCAGTGATTTATGTTTTTTGTTACGCACACACAGCCACTTGACTACTATTTTGTTTTAATTATTGTTCGTCAGATTCAGCGCACAATTAACGGAAATGTGAAATTTAAATAACTTAAGGCATCAGCCGATTGTGTAATCAAAATCGCTCATTGGGTCAATAATGTGTTTTTGATTCCCGGGCACTTTTTAATGATCTTGTTTACTCTTCACTCTTCTTACATTGCGGGTACTTGCCGACTTATATTTCGGCGCAAACGGGCTTCTGCCATTTTGGAAATTCTTTCTTTTTAGCTCGCTTTATCCAATATATCCATGCGTGGGGCTTGAGTTGCAAAGGCTTACTAAAATTTTCACCCAATGATTTTCTAATAAACAGCCAAAAAAAAGATGTGCTTGTCTAAGAAATTAGCAAATAAATGCTAATTTATTGGATTCACATGAACGCCCATGCAAACGAGTGGTGTTGAGAGGCGAACTGTTTTAATGAGCTGGCAGTGCTTGGTACAGATTTAAAGATATATTTTATGTATTTTAAATCAAGGGGCTTAAATAAAGCCACTTGTTTCCGGCTTAAAAAACCGTTTCTAGAGTTGCCACTATCATTTTCCGTTATTTAAGAGTGGTTTGAGTCAATGCTTTGCTTTGCCCCACAGACGCACAAATCAAGCTATCGAAATTCGATAGTTATATGTGGCTAAGCAAAAAGTCCACCTCTAATGATCCGATTGTTACCGCGTTTTCGTACGTTTTTGCCAAAAACTTTAATCTGTTAAAATAACTTAACTTAACTTAACTTAACTAACTAACAGGTCAACTATCAATAATGACTGGAGGCACCCCACCAAAGCGCTCCCCAATATGGATCGGCACCCACAACGGCACTTTCCACTGCGATGAAGTGGTGGCGGTCTTCATGCTAAAGCAATTGGAAGAGTTCAAGAACGCAGAGATTTTTCGGAGCCGGGACATCAAGGCTTTGCAAGAAAAGTGCGACATAATCGTGGATGTGGGTGGAGAGTATGACAATGCTAAGAAGTGGTACGATCACCACCAGCTAACCTTCAAGGAAACATTCAAATCCATTCGACCGGAAGTCAGCGAGGATTTCAACGTTATCAGGTAAATTTTCTGTTGAACACTCAACGATCCATATATATCTAATAGTAATCATTCACAGGCTAAGCAGTGCCGGCTTGGTTTACAGCCATTACGGCGAGCGGGTCATCCAGAGCATCTTGCAGCGCGAGAAGGGCATTCAACTCTCGCCGGAGAACCTGCAATTGGCATTCGTCCAGATCTACAGGAATTTCATCAGCGAACTGGACGCAATCGACAACGGAGTACCCATGTTCGAGGGCGGCGAGCCTGTCTACAAAATCTCCAGCCATCTCTCCGCCCGCATTGGCAAGCTGAATCCCTCTTGGCAGGAGAGTGGCGTGGACATCGAGGAGCGATTCAGGCAGGCAATCGACAAAGCTGGCCGGGAGTTTGTGGACAACGTTGTGGAGGTGGCCTGTTCCTGGATTGCGGCCAGGGACCACGTACGCGAGGCTCTGGAACACGCTAAGAGCGCCCATCCCTCCGGCGAGATTCTGGTCCTGAAGGTCTTCTGCCCTTGGAAGGCTCACTTGGCCGATCTGGAGAAGGAGTACCAGGTGGAGGGTGTCCCCAAGCTGATAGTCTTCAATGACGGCAGCAGCTGGCGCGTGGCCGGAGTCCCAGTGAGCCCCGGCAGCTTTTTGGGCCGCAAGTTTCTACCCACACCCTGGAGAGGATTGAGGGACGACGATCTTAGCCAGAAGGCCGGCATCAAAGATCTCATATTCGTGCACCACACCGGGTTTATTGGCGGCGCCAAAACCGAGGAGGCTGCCATGTTGTTGGCCAAAAAGTCCATCGAGTGGACGGATGAGCAATAAGATTAAAATATTGTGTACTTAAAAATGCTGTATTTTTATACGATTTATTTTTTGTTTATATTTTCGTTCGAAATTTTCAACAAATGGACCAAAAGCCCTTTGGCCTTTCAAATATTTAGTTGTTGAGTTGTTGTTGTGCAATGAGTAGGCGAAACAACGTAAAGTAAGACCAGCAAGGGCTAGCGCAATTTACTCGGTCACAAAAGAATAAATCTTATTTTGTACCTAAACAAATTTTATTTGTATGTGTATTTCGGTTAATGTTGTATACAAAATCACCAAGGAAACTCTTAACATCATCTAATCCATACGGGTCTTCAGCGTGCGCTCCGTGATCTTGTCCTTCTCGATAATGTAGACAGTGGCGCCCCAACCGCTCATGGCGTCGCGATCGAAGGCGTTCATCATGGACTGGGCGATGACCTCGAAGAGCTGGTCCGGCTCCAGGTCAGGTTTCCACAGGGTCTCGCACATGCCGTACAGCTGCTCCGCGCAGGTGCCGGCCACGACGAAGTCGTCGGGTGCGTTAGGGCAGCCGATCAGATCCATGTTACAGATGAAGGGCTCCAGGGTCTTGGGGTCCAGACCGGCCACCACCGGCTCAATGAAGTACGGGCCGAAGCGGTGCTCGTACAGGAAGCTGGACAACATGGCCGAGAAGGGCTTCGGGCACATCTCGCGGTTCTCGCGTGTCTCGTACAGGTTCTTGCGGAACATCAGGCGATCTCGGACCGTCAGGATATCTGTCTGCAGACCGGTGAGCCCGAGGAACATCCGTGGAGCGATGTGGAACACCTTCTTGAAGTCCGTCGAGATCGTCTGGGCCTGGACACCGAATCGGTGATCCGTGGCGATGGCCACGCAGTCCTTGCCGCGCATGGCCACTACGCATCCTCCGTTGTATGCTAAAATCGACATTGCGGCGGTGCTCCTCGCTCAACTCAATTTAATCGGCAGGAAAATATAAATTTTTGCAAAATGCTAAACGCCGCCTGAGAAGATGACTTTTTGTTTCTGCCTTGCGTTGCCAGACTGCGAGTGTAAAAGGGGCTAAAATTGGCTGGGCTATTCTGAGTAAGGTGGCAGCGCCGACTAAGGGGGCAACAGTTCTGTACAAATAATTTTAATTAAATAAATTTACAAAATATTTATGCAAACAGGATTTTCAGTTAATTACACAATAAAATTAAAATTAAAAAACTTTTAACATTAGGAGTACCTTTTCAGATAGTTGGCAGCTCCACCGATAACAACCTTACCTGAGCCACCAGTGTGACCAGACATCGCCAGCAAACTCCCTACCAGCAAGATTTTGCCTATCCTGCGTCAAGGGTCACTCTTAAAGGGCCTTATTTATAGAAAAATATAAATTTCAACTTTAAAATTCCAATAGTTCTGAAAGGACCCAATGACCGGCGTGGGACCAGGTGCGTGTTCGTCGTCCTCATCTGTACAAAGCAACGTCTAGACCCGCCGGCAACCAACAACATCAAATAGCGGCAATCTTGCACAATCGCTAGCCGATCAATCCCCAGGAAATAAAGGACCTCCCCTAGGATGGCAGAGGCAATGGTGGTTGAGGACCGGGCGGCAGAGTCCAAGCGATTTTTCTGCCACATGTGCAACGTGGAGATCAACATTCCCAACTCGGACTTCACCTGCCCGCTGTGCGCCAACGGTTTCGTGGAGGAGTTGCCGGCAAATGCACCGGATATGGCGTCTCCGGCACCTGGAGCCTCCAGCGGTGTACGATCCGGAAGCAGTGGCAGCGGCTCCTCTGGCTCCCACGACACCCTGAGCAGAGGCAGCTCCTCGGGCGGATCTCAGGTGAATGTGGAATCGCTGAGGAACGACATAGTGTCGCTGCTGAACATGCGGAATGTGTCCAATTTGGAGATCACTATCGAGCCAAACAGGCGGCATAGCAATGTGCTGCACCTGGGCGGCTTCGGCGGACCCTCGGGCAGTGGCTCCGGCGGCGGCCTAACTGCCGGTGGACGTGTGCGTCCCGCCAACTTGGATCGACTGGACAATGTGCTCTTCGATTTTCTGCAGAGCCTACCATTGGCCGGCGCCACGGCAGAAATAGTGACCGGACCAGGTGGGGGAGGAGTGGGTGGTGGCGGAAACTCGCACATGTTTTTCATGGGTAACCCCGGAGACTACGCCTGGGGCCGCGAGGGTCTGGACACCATCGTCACCCAGATGTTAAATCAGATGGAGACTTCGGGACCGCCGCCATTGTCAGCGCAGCGCATTAACGAGATTCCCAATGTGCAGATCAGCGCCGAGGAGGTGGATCGCAAGATCCAGTGCTCCATCTGCTGGGACGACTTTAAGATAGACGAGACGGTACGCAAGCTGCCCTGCTCGCACCTGTACCACGAGAACTGCATCGTGCCATGGCTGAACCTGCACAGCACCTGTCCCATCTGCCGGAAGTCTCTGGCGGACGAGGGCAGCGATGCTGACGACGAGTTCGTCATGCTAGACGAATTTGGACCAGAGTTGGGGGCCGATGGCAGCAATTCCGCCAGGAGCTCGGCCAGCACCGCCACAGGAACGGACAATCCTTCGTCGGCCAACAACAGCAGCAGCATTGCTAGCCAAACCACGGCGGAAAGTGGCCGAGGACGTCCCGAGCCCACTAATCCCGCCCAGCCAGCACGCAACAACGTCTTCACCTTCGACGACGACAACATGTTTCTGGACTAACTGGAGATAGGCAGTGAATCGAGTGCACGGACGATCGATTGATATTCAAAATTAAGCCAAATATTGGCCGCGGCTTTAGAAGTTTAGCCCTAAAACATAATTAATCATATATTTATAATAGTTTCTCCTCACGCTTAATTTTGTTGTTGTTCAAAATAACGATTTGTAATAAACAACACGGAATATACGATTCCGTTGGCTCTGCAAAAATCGACTCCTGTTGAAAGTTACTTGCTTTATTTTTATATAATGGACCTTTGTACTTGTAATTTTATAAACATTCACGATTGTAGCTTACATTAACAATTTTTTTTAATTTAAAATTTTATACACATGCATTCTATTAAAAATATACAGAATATATCCAAATAAAAATGTTGTATAGTAATATCTAAGCTAGCAAATCTATACATTCAAATTTCTCACAATATTAAAATATTTATTTATTCTATTAAAAGTACGTTATTTTAATTCACGGGGAAACTTCGCTAAGCCTTTGGAAAACCAAAGGGGTGGCAGCGCCTTTCAACGCACCAGCTGTTTTTCCACCAGGTGGCAGCACCGACAAATGGTTTAAATTCCCATTTAGCTTTAAGCCCGGCTCAACCGTTTTAATACAGCGCCAACATGAGCTAAGTTAATTAATGCAAATAGACGACCAGCAGGAAAATGTTAAGCATGAAGGATGAAGGAGCCAATGAGTTTGTGGTCCTTACGGATGTGGTATGTCCGCGGAAAATGATAATGTCTTTGAGAGAGGATTCTAAGCTTCCTTTCGTTTAGGTACGCAAACAATATGTGCTGTATTTGGAGCGCCAGTTGCAGGAGAACGTGTGCGCGTGGGCCAGCAAATCCAGGAATCACCACAAACCCACTGCCTGGTCCTGTATTCCCGCGAGCCTGGATCAACTGGAGGACAAGGCGAAGCAGGCCTGCTTGGCGGCTCAAATCTATCAAAGAGCCATGGTTAAGACGGTAAGTGAATTTGTGGGGTACACAAGTTGTGGCTATCAAATTCGTACTTACACAGATTGCTGCGATACGAAGGAACACGCAGGAGTGCCGGCTGGCCAACATTCTATTCGACCAAATGCAGCTTGCAGCTTGCGAGGATGAAGTAGCCACTAAAACAAAGCAGTTTCAGGTGGACAAGGCCACACAAACAAATGACATGCCACCCCAGAATGGTCATGAGTGTCCCGAAGAAGAGGGTTGTGATGGTAGCCACGAACTGAGTCGGAAAATCGATATGTTTCAGGCTAGACTCAAAGAGCAGGAAGTCCAGGAAGAGTCGCTTTGTAGGCGCTGCCGCAGGAAGAACATAGAACAGGAGTCCAAGCCTCTTGGTCAACAAAGCTCGCCCTTCTCCGAAACTGAAGATGCAGTGGCCCAGGAACTGGCCCTGCTATTTGACGATGAGCCCACTGATCTGAATGACATATTCGGCATCGAGCCCAGCGCTGTTAACGACGATCCGCAGATCTCGGCCATACTGGAGGAAATCGAAAACGCCGAACTGCCCAGTCCCAAAGCAAAAGCTGAAGACACGCCCACATCCCCAACTGCCACACCCTCAAGGGAGCAGCACAGCGAAGTTAATCTTGGCCAGAGCCGGTGGCCCTGCGAACTGTACGCCCAAAGGAGGCGGCTCAATGCCTGCCTTGTTCGCTTATTGGAGGCAGACTGGCGCTGTGAGGATCGGTTGAGACACAAATTCCACCTGCTCTTTGGCGAGGACAGCGAGGATGAGTTCGCCACGGAAATATCTAGCCCCTCCATCGATCTGGTGGACGAAGTGCTACTGGCCAGTTGTGTGCTCCGCATTCGCCCGTGGATCGTGCGTCATTTAATGAGTCCGCTGGCGGAAGGCTTAATCGCCAACCGATTCCTTTTCAAGAAGCTGGCCAAAATGCTGGCCCACTCGATTGTCATGGTAAATCCGTATTGCTCGGAACAACAGATCAAGCAAGCCCTGGAGTATTTATTCTGCCTTAGACCAAGGGGAGTTCAAAGCGCCTATGATCTGGACAATCTGCCGCCTTTGGACGTGCCGAAATTTGAAGTGTGAGGGAATTTAATAATATTAGTATTTTAGTTTGGATATTTCGTATTTTAGAAGTTTAAGATGAAATCAAAATTGCATTGGCTTGCAAAAAAGTAACTTGAATCTCAGGTGAAGATGATTTCAACAAGGAACATGTTCCTCCTTTAAGTGAAGGAATTTAGCGAAAGCACCATTATCATTTACTTAAATATTAGGTTTATCAATAGAACATTTCGGAAATTTTTCTTATAAGTTCTTAATTTTTGGCAAATGTTATGATCTAAAAATCAAATCTTCCATATCCTTACGCTGAGAATCGCGTATGAAATAAAGCCAAAGCATAGTCAACCAAGTGTTGTGGTTTCTTTAAATTATAATTAATTCAATGATTACAATAATTTTTCTTGCTGCACATCTTCTCATCTTTTTATAATTATATAAATTTTAATATATTTAATAAACGATACATAATATAGTTTTCCTTTTGACGAAATTGCTGCGGCGGTCGCGTCAGCAACTGCTTAAGACGAATCGGATTCCTCAAGAGCAGCAGTTATCCCCCACTCCGATTGTTACTTTAACGGCTGTGTTTGTTGTAGTTCCATCTGCTGTTGTTTCGGCTTCAGCATCTAATTCTGCTTATGTTGCTGACTCCTCTGCTGTTGCGGTGTTTGTGGTGGTGATAGATTGGTTGTGGCTGCTGCAGCTACATTGGGTGTGGTTGTTGTTTCTGTTGTTGTTGATGCAATTCGTGGTGATCATCATCAGAGGCACTACCTAGTGTCGGGAATTTGATTTGTGTTTGCCGCCGCCGCTGCATTAGCGTTCTGTTTGTATTTCTGCTGGGACGCCGCCGGAGTAGCCGTGGACTGCTGCTGCTGTGGCTGCTGCGAGCCCGTGGCCATCTCCCCTGGCGGTGGACGACCGCCGCGTCTCTCGATGCCTCTGTCAGCTGTTGGCTTACTGCCAGCTCCGCTAGCACCCCCACCCGGGGCTGCAGTGGCTCCTGCTCCCCCCAATCCTCCGCTCACTCCACCCACTCCTCCTCCCCCTCCGCCTGCTGTGCCGGTAGTTTGTGTTGTGTTTGCCTTTTTGTTTTTATAGCGATACTCGTCGCACACAAAGTCCTCCGGCGAGGTTTGTTGCATTTGATTCACCTGTCGCACCATCGCCGGCTGTGGCTGCTGCTGCTCCACGTCGGCATTGTTGTTTAGCAGTGTCTCCGCCTGCGCATCGGCCTCGGCTTCCTCCTGCTGCTGCTGCTGTTGCCCCTTATTTACATTATCACTCTTGGCCCGGCTCTCGTCGGAGCCATTCAGGTCGAGCGCCTCAGTGCAGAGCATCGATAGCATCAGCGACTGCACGAACATGGATCTGAAGAGGGAAGGTTTTGGATTAGCTTGTGAGGTACCAAAAACAAATATATATAAATTTTTCAAAAGAGAAAAAAACTATTATTTAAAATACACCATAAATTCGGTCTTGATGGATTTAAATGATGTCTCAAACATAAATATCTATTTCGTTCTCAATAGCTTCTTCCTCATACCAAATCGCATTGAAACAAACATAGATTTAACGATTTAAACACTCACCGATCTGCTCGCATGCTCTCCACGATCGCCCACTCGGCCTCGGAGAGGGTGGGCTGCATGAATTGGGCCAGCAAGAGGGACTCGCCAGCGGCCGCACCACCCTGGCCACCCGCCTGGCCACTGCCTCCTGATCCAGCTCCGGATGCACCTGCGCCCCCGTTGCCATTGGCCGTTCCTCCGACACCCACACTGATTCCCAGGGCATTGTTGGCTCCGCTGCTGCTCGTTCCGATCGCCTGCAGGACAAGACATGGGGGATTAGTGGACATTTGACTTAGGGTATGCTGGCCAGTGGGATGAACTACTTCTCTGGCATTGAGGCTGTTGGCGGCCAGACTCGACTGAGTCTGCGAATGATTGCTGGCCGATGTCGAGAAGCTGGCTGTCACCGGCCACTCGGTAGTGCGCAGGTTGGGCGGAGCGGTGCCCCCGCTGCCGCCGCCACTGCCGCTTCCAACTGCGCCACTGCCTCCACTGCCGCCTGCTCCACCGCCGATCACCTCGGCCATGGCGGCATTCGAGTTCGATGTTGAGACTATGGGATGCGCACGCCTTGGCAGCCGATCGATTTGGCGCGATGCCTAAAATAATGCAAGCGCAAAGGCAAGACAACGAAAGTCGCAGTTTCCTTATACACATAAATATAATGGATATGGGGTGGAGGCCTCTCCCTTACCGTCACCTGCTGGCGATCCAACTGCATCTGCATCTGTAGCTGCTGCAGCTGGGATGTGGGCGGTCCACCCCGCCGCACGCCCGAAAGCTGCGACAACAGTTCCGCGATGGGATCCACCGATTCCCGTCCCGAGGGCGACAAGGACGAAAGACCGCTCGACGAGCTGAAGTGCATGTTGGAGCGGCGCGTCCGTGGTCCGCCGAGGGTGCGTCCTGGGATGCGACGCACTCCACCGCCATGACGGATGGCCGAGGGCTCGTCGTACAGTCTACAGGTTAAGGCAACCAATGGATTTGACTCTCAAATGTTAGCTTACAACGAGGTAAAAAATACTGCTAAAATAACTATGGCTGTATCGCTTATATATAAATGATTGACTGAGGTTAAATGTAATATATTGGCCAGCGTTGTAAATTTCTCGTCAAAGACAAATCAATTACACTGTTTACTGTTAACCTAGCATAAACAAAATAAAAGGTTAGCAAAGAAATAAACATCTCAGTGCTTACAACTTCTAGAGAAATTGTGATCCATTTAAATTAAATAAACAAAAACGAATATATCCGCTTCTACCTGCTCGTTATTCGAGTCGAGAAACAAAAATAAGGGAAACTATTTAGCTTTGATCAATTTAAAGTTTTTCTACAATTACGTTATACCGCACATGATGCAATAATATGACTAATTTCATACAAATTCTATATGCTTTGCATTATCAAAAATCGTTTCAAAATAAAGATTTCGCTTTTAGCACGAATTGCCCTGAAAATCAGAATAAAATCGGAATTTAAATCGGATATTTAAAATAACTTAATAATGCTTTCGATAAATGGGTATTAGAATAAACGCTTCTTTGTGTGTATGTATAAAAAAAAAAATTAAATAGTTTTTTCTATCTCACAGTCAATGGCAGTTATTCCGCAATATCCTAAGACCTATTTCCTTGCGGTGCAGAGCTATGGTATTGTACTCAAATATTGTTTAAAGTTGGTTTTGAAAAGGATATCAGAAAGGAAATCAGCTCGCGCGGTCCCTGACGGTGCTCCAAGGTGAGGTGACCTGCAAAGTCATCTGTGACTAGATTCGGCTCGCCGCCCGGCAGGCCGGCACAGACCGGGCAGACCACCTCCAGACTGGTCTCCGTGTGCTCGGCGGAGACGTGCTCCAGCAGGGTAGCGTCGCTGAAGCCCATCTTTTTGCAGTAGGGACAGGTGAAGCTCTGCGGCTGGTCTGAGGTTAGCATCTCTCCGCCGAAGTACAGCTCGATGTCGGAACGGGTAAGGATGCACTGCATGGGATGCTCAACCAAGTGGCGCGTGGAGGTGACGCCATCCTCGTAGCAGTCGGCGCAGAGGTCGTAGTCATAGCAGATCAAGCACTTGTAGCGCCGTCCGTTGAAGTTGCTCTTGAGACATGAATCGCAGCTGACACCTGGTTTGGAGAAGGGGTTATCCTGGTTATTCTGACTGTTCTATTGCTGGCTGCTCCAATGACTCACCTTCATGTCGACTCATTATTCGGCAGCGGCACTAAGTTTCGCTTCCACTTCCAAGCGTTCAGGAGAGCGTCTCCCGCTGAAGATTGGTCTGCTTCAAACTTCGAACTACGTGCTGGTTCTATGAAGATTCCTTGCGGGCTTCGGATTCGGAGGATTTGAATTTAGATTTTGGGAGCTGGAAGAAAGCAGGCAAGGCGATTAATCAGAAAGGGTTCCAGGATTTGGATTTAGCTTTGGGGAAACTTAAAGATACAGACGGGGCGTTTAATAGCGATTTTCGGGATTTGGTTCTGGAGGAGCTAGAGGTTTAATCACAGATTCCAAGGCAAACAATGAGGACATGACACTCTCCTCTTTTGTTTTTCCGCTTCGCCTCTTCGCTCTCTTCTATTGCCCACGATTACGGTTCTTTCTTTTCGCCGTTCCGTTTGCTTTGCGAAAGGCGGTGGAAAGAGGCACACGAAAATGAGGGGCTCCTCTTCCTCCCCCACACAATGAGGCAACGAATTATTCAATACAATCGAGCGCGAGCCATCGAAAAATTACATTTAACACTGGGCCATCAGCGGGACGAAGGGGGTGTTAATTGCGATTTTCCCCGCGGCCGCGATGCCGCTGCACAGTAAACATTTATTTTTAACTTTTTCGGATTCGCGAAAATTTTCAACTCGACGATGTCGTGGGCTTTTTGTACCCCGCTGCCTCACCCCTCTTCACAAGCCCTGTGCTCCCGAAAAGCAAAGCGCAGATATGCACAAGTGTTACCGTATTCGCTGCGGTCAGCTCGCAATTGCTGATTAGTATGGCTTATTATTATTACAATTATTGTTTATAAACATTTGCAGCCACACACACGGGGAAATATGCAGACTTTTTGTTAATCATGCCATGAGCACTGTTGGGTGAATTACGCTTTTTCTCGCGCAGGTCTGGCAACGCCGATTACCAGGCCACAGTGAAGGCCACAAAAATAGGCATGGTCGGATAGAAAAGAGCTTTTGCAAGAACTTGAGCCAGACAGGCTGATTGGGCAGCTGTGAAATAACAGTAGGTCTATTTAGTTTGTCACTATTTATAAGTTTATGCGTTTTCAGATATTGCTCTTGTGTTTCGGGAAAATATTCAGCTCGGCAAATACACAGGCACTTGCACTGGTGTGTGTGCATGTGCAGACACAAATTTGTTCTACGCAATTGCCAATTGCGATCTCTTTTGTTCGCCGCAATTTTTCGCACAAGATGCTCCCGACGTGTTATTGTTGTTGTGGCTGCTGCTGTATTGCAGTTTTACAGTTTTGTTGTACAGAGCGTTTTCTTGAAGGTTTTAGTGGTTGGTAATTTGGGTTTCAGGGGAAAACACGGAAACGTACTTTGCTTTGGTGCGTTTGTCTATTTTACGGCTACCTTTAGACACTAGCACTCGAAAATTAACAATTGAAACGAAAATAAATTATATTATCGAGTGAAAAGCTTTTCCTGACCTGCGGTGCGACCATGCGAGACTAGGGCAGAAAATACAGAATGTCAATAAATACCGCACTTGGTATATATGTATACTAACAACCCCTGAAAAATGCCTTTTCGTTCTCTAAATTTGTTTATTATTTTTGTTTTATTTTCTAATGCTTAGTCCTCTAATTTTTCTGGTGGTGGTCCACATGGCTGCAGCATCCGCTCCATCAGGTTGAAACGCACCCGCGCCTTCGACTCGTTCTCCGCTATGGCAAAGTAGTTAAGAATATCATAGTGTCCCATGTAGCTGGCCAAGGAGTCGCGGTGTTGGTTAGTCAGCCACTCGAACTTTGTGGTATCCGCGTGTCCCGTACCGATGTATTTGCTCTGCAGATGCTCTAGCTGACTATGGATGTTATAGCGTTCGCCCATTTTTCCTTGCTTGTTTTATTACTTGGAGAAAAATGAGAAGCGTTGTGTTTCTTTTGCAATTCTGGAGTTAGGAGTGACCAGAGATGGAAAGGGTCGAAAAACTTTTGGTATTTTTCTGCAGGGCGCCCAGATTTCCTTTTATTCAACCCTCCAAAAATATTTGTTTACACTTTCAGTTTGGCAATTAATTATTCATTTGTTTAAAATTGTATAGACCAATGTGCGGGCGCACTTGCCTGTAGGTATAAAAATCACTCCAGTTGAATCCCAGTTAACCGCCGTTTAGAACCCTAGATCCCGATCAGGTGATTTGTGCCTGTAAATATCCAAAGAAAACTATCAAAAAGGAGCCTGACTCCCAAGGCAAGGACAAACTAAAGGATGGGGAAGGAGCAGTCATGGAGACACCCGAGTGGCGGCCGGAATTCAATCTCGGAAGACGCTACCAGCCCTCCTATAATATTGCACCCACCGATATAACGCCGGTTATCGTGTCCGCAGCTCATTTCTCGGATGCCGAGGATCAGAAGTGCTCCCGAGTGGTTATGCCTATGATGTGGGGCATGATCCCCTTTTGGCACAAGGGCGACTACCGGCGACATGGCCTGACCACCAACAACTGCCGGCTGGAGCACCTGATGGACTCCAAGCTTTATCGTGGTCCCTTCAAGCGCGGACAGCGCTGTGTGGTCATCTGCGAGGGATTCTACGAGTGGCAGACGACCGGTCCTACGAAAAAGCCGTCCGAGCGAGAAGCTTACCTAGTGTTCGTACCCCAGAAGGGCGACGCGAAGATCTACGAAAAGCCCCAGGACGTGAACTTGCTGCGCATGGCCGGACTCTTCGACGTGTGGGAGGACGAAAGCGGCGACAAGATGTACAGCTACAGTATTATCACCTTCCAATCTAGTAAAATCATGTCCTGGATGCACTATCGCATGCCCGCGATCCTCGAAACTGATGAGCAGATGAATGTGAGTCGACAAACTGAAGTCCTGGACTACATTATTACTTTATCTCTTTCCCTTTAAAACGTGTGAATTGTATCCTAGAACTGGCTGGATTTTAAGCGAGTGAGCGACGCGGAAGCCTTAGCCACTTTGCGTCCTGCTACTGAGCTCAAGTGGTACCGTGTGGCCAAGCTGGTGAACAATTCGCGGAACAAGAGCGAGGAGTGCAACAAGCCCATCGAATTGGCTGCCAAACCAGAAAAGCCGGCGATGAACAAAACGATGATGGCCTGGCTAAATGTGCCTAAAAAACGGGTCGATCAAGCCAAGGCGGAGCCAAATGACCCCAGCGATGATGAGAAGCAGGAAAGAGAGGTACAAGGCAAACGCAGGACCTCCCCAGATGGGGGCACCATCGACAGTCCAGCAAAGAGGCCCAGATTCAGGCATTGCAATGGGGCAGTAGAAGTGAAATCAACCGAAACATAGACATCGCAGATCATTAAACTTCCTTAGTTGTAGTACATTAAGTTTATTCTCATTAAAAACCGAAATACTCTTTTTCAATATCCAAATTTCTAAGCAATATCATCGTTGTTGTCGCGTGATTACAAAAATTGGGGCTTAGCGGTTAAATATTTTGTTTAAATTGGTTTTTTTAGGTAAGCTTAATTAACTAATTTAATGTTTGAACTCTTCGTAATCAAATGGTTTTATTTTGTGTGTGCGAATTAATTTTGAGCACCACTGTATTGAGCTTAAAAGTTTTCCTTGTTGCTGCATGAATTGCAATAAAAACAGAAAGAAAAGCTGCACATGAAGCAAATTTGTGTGTATGTATAGTATGCATATGTATATTACTCATATACTTTTGATAGCATTGGCGGAAAATGAGCAAAAATTAATGGGAAACGGTGTCAATGCTATTGGTTGTTCGCGCGGTAAAAGTGGTGCACTTGTGTTGCTTACATATATCAATTTCTTTTATATTAGACTACGAATTGTATATTTATATATGTATAAGTTGCATGAACTTTGAAATGCTTGATGACAAATACAAGAGAACACTCTCCATAAAGCGTGTCACAAATGATCTTAAAATCTATAGAATCGATGAGAAAGTTTAGAATTCATAGGCTATATAGCGATGTATATATTCCCTTTCGTAAATAACAAAAGGTTTTATTGTAAATACTTTTGCACGGCCAATGAGCTGGTTAAGTGGAGGCAGGGCAGGCGAATGGAAATGGAAATGGAGGTGAAGAAGACGTAGCACACAAAAATTAAGATATCAAAGTCGTGTACGTGACTACCGCTATGTACTTAAAATGCTATTTACGAGATTACAATTTGCATGCGTTTGGCTGAATTATTTCAACAATGTTAAGATGGATTGCACTTGAGAAGTGGTTAAGAGAGACACAGAATAAGAGGGGGCGGTAAATGGGAATCGAGAGGGACAAGGGATTACTCAAACGGCGTACTGAACATGTTGATGTTCAGGTCCTCGAACGTTGTCGGCGCACTGTGGTCGAGCATCTGCAGCATATCCGAGAACTCCTGACCCTGCGGCTGTCCTGCTCCGCCTGGTCCTCCGGGATGGGCGTGTGGATGGTGCGGATGTGCCGTTGGGTGCGGCGGATGTGGGTGTCCTCCGCCTTGCTGCCAATCCCACATTCCGGGCGCATTAGGTGGCGGTGGTGGAGGAGCCGCCTGATATGTTCCCGGCTGCGGTTGCTGGCGATTGCCGTTTCCGGCACTCAGTTGAGTGTAGGTTGGACCACTCGGCGACCTGGCCGGACTCGTCTGCTGGTACTGATAGCCTTCGGTTACGGGCTGCTGCTGTTGTTGCTGCTGTGGACGCAGGGCTGCCCAGGAGTTGGGTGCCACCGGTGTGGGCGAGGCTCCCGACTTGGGAATTTTGGCCAGCGGCGAGGGTCCTCCAGCGCTGTACGGCGAATGTGTGGTGTCATAGGTGTAGCCCACTGGTGTGGTTTGCGCCGATCCAGGCCGTTGTTGTTGCTGCTGCTGCTGTTGGGGCGTAGGGGCCTGCATGGCGAGCATGTGCGTCTGGTACATTCCATCGTTGGTGGCACTGCCCACTGGGGTCAGTTCCCTGCGGGCATACTCCACTCCCGGCGCAGCCTGTACATATACATGCTGTTCCTGCTGCTGCTGCTGTTGCTGCACTTGTTCGGGCGTATGGGCAGCTGCTGCATCCAAAGGTGCACCATGCATGGTCTTCCCTGAGCTATTGGTACACACAATGTACTCAACTTCGTCGGTGTAGGGATTCAGAAAGGCATATGCCTGCGTTCGCAGCCAGACATACTCCGAATTCTTGGCCCTGGCTCTATACAAAAGCGAGAACATTTGCCCTTTCTGCTTGAGAACCTGATCGAAGCTTTCTTTCATGTGGCTCTGGTCCTCGGGATGAAAGAAATCATAGCAGATCTTGCCTAGCAGCTCAGTGGGCGTGTAGCCCAAAATGTTCAAGACTCGCTGATCCACAAATGTGAACTTGCCGTCCATGGCGTGGCGTGTGATAAACTCACTCTGATTATTTGAGCCACTCATGTCGTTGGCCGCCGTAGAGGTGACTTGCAGCCGACCGATGGCCACCAGGCAGCAGTGTGAGCTCATGTCGTCCACATCGCGCTCCATGTGCATGTTGGGGAACATGTCGGTGGGCGGCCAGTTCTTGATGTAGCCCGTGCAGTGGACTACGGCGTAGTTGGTGCCATCCCTAGATGGGCCCAGTGAATTTCTCTGCTTAAGGCGATTCAAATGTCCGGAGACCATGGACTCTGGGTTCACATTGCCCACGCGCATGCGACAGATGAACCCACGACGGGCTCCCATGCTCAACCGCATGCTAGACTGGTGGCCCTCCTTTTTGACAGTGCCCGACTTGAGGTCCAGGATGCGTCCTGCATTCTGCGACTCCTGCGTGGATAGCTGCTCGCGGATCTTCTCGCGATCGTCTGGATGAATGTGCTCGTACAGACTGGTGCCGTACCAATCGCTCTGGGTGTAGTTCAGCACGGGGGTCACGGAATCGGAAACATAGATGACCCTTCCTGAATCACAGGACACCACGAATAAGAACCCGTCGGCCGCCTCAAGGATGAGGTGCTTTAGCTCCTGATCAGTCAGGAAGGAGGGTTTGTAGGTGCCATCGCTGCTGGTGTTTCCGGTGCCACGCAGAGCCTTCATGTGAGCCACCGCCATGCGGAGGATTGTCAGCTTGTCCGGTTTTCGAGCCAGGGCGCTGCATGTGGGCACCATGTCCGAGAGTTCCGTGATGTAGGCCGTCATCTTGTTACGACGACGACGCTCGATCTCGCAGTGATTCTCGCGGCTGGCGAACCGGTCCTTCTCCTGTATGTTCGCATCGTCCATGCTTGGAATGCGTAATTAGAAAACGTTCGTCGTAATTTGGGTCGCCTGTGGTCTGTGGGAAAAGGTTCGGAGAATTGAAAGAGGGGTAGGGGATAAGTATTTTGTCTACGTCGTGCGTGTGTGTACTTGCTGGCTGCAAGAAAACTGAAATTCCCTTACTTTTTCGGAGTATACTTACAATTGCTAAGAGCGCACTTGTTGTTGGTTCATCCAAACACTTTTATTGGCTGGTTTTATGCGCTTTTAACCATTTATTCACTACTTTTCCTCACGATAAAATCTCTGTTTACTGCGTGAAGTGTGAACGTATGAGTGTATGCTAAATATACCATAAAGATGGGTAGCCAGTAGAGAACTTCGATAACAAATAAGTGTGGTGGCAATACTGGTCGATTGTAAAAATCATAGTGGCATCCTCAAAACAGTTTGACCGTTAATATTAAATTTTTCAGCAACAATGTTTAGATTGAGCAAGAAAGAAAGCAAACTTCGGCAAGCCGAAGTTTATATACCCTTACAGTTATTACAAATCGACATTTCGAATTTACCAAATTTTAACCGATTTCAAATTGTGATTGGATTCCCTAAACATCTGCATTCAAAATTTTCAATTTACGGTTGATCAAATTTTTGACCCATTTTCATGTTGGTTATTTCTAATTTTCCGATGTCTTGTTAAAGAGTGACTTAAAATTGGACTTCGGCAGTCCATAACTTTACCAAACCTAAGCCGATTCCAAAGTGGCATACCTCTAAAAACTTGTGATTCAATTCTCTAAAAATCTGCATTCAAAATTTTCAATTTATCGCTGATCAAATTTTTGCCCCGTTTTCATGTTAGTTATTTCTAATTTTCCGATGTCTTGAAAAAGAGTGACTTAAAATTGGACTTTGAGAGTCCATAACTTTACCAAATTTAATCCGATTCCAAAGTGGCATACCTCTAAAGACTTGTGATTGCATTCTCTGAAAATCTGCATTAAAAATTTTCAATTTAACGCTGATCAAATTTTTACCCCGTTTTCATGTTAGTTATCTTTAATTTTCCGATGTCTTGTAAAAGAGTGACTTAAAATTGGACTTCGAGAGTCCATAACTTTACCAAATTTAATCCGATTCCAAAGTGGCATACCTCTAAAGACTTGTGATTGCATTCTCTGAAAATCTGCATTCAAAATTTTCAATTTAAAGTAGATCAAATTTTTGACCCATTTTCATGTTAGTTATTTCTAATTTTCCGATGTTTGCAAAAGAGTGACTTAAAATTGGACTTCGAGAGTCCATAACTTTGCCAAATTTAATCCGATTCCAAAGTGGCATACCTCTAAAGACTTGTGATTCCATTCTCTGAAAATCTGCATTCAAAATTTTCAATTTAACGCTAATCAAATTTTTGACCCATTTTCATGTTAGTTATTTCTAATTTTCCGATGTCTTGTAAAAGAGTGACTTAAAATTGGACTTCGAGAGTCCATAACTTTGCCAAATTTAATCCGATTCCAAAGTGGCATACCTCTAAAGACTTGTGATTGCATTCTCTGAAAATCTGCATTCAAAATTTTCAATTTACCGCTGATCAAATTTTTGACCCATTTTCATGTTAGTTATTTCTAATTTTCCGATGTTTGCAAAAGAGTGACTTAAAATTGGACTTCGAGAGTCCATAACTTTGCCAAATTTAATCCGATTCCAAAGTGGCATACCTCTAAAGACTTGTGATTGCATTCTCTGAAAATCTGCATTCAAAATTTTCATTTTACCGTTGGTCAAATTTTTGACCCATTTTCATGTTAGTTATTTCTAATTTTCCGATGTCTTGTAAAAGAGTGACTTAAAATTGGGCTTCGAGAGTCCATAACTTTACCAAATTTAATCCGATTCCAAAGTGGCATACCTCTAAAGACTTGTGATTGCATTCTCTGAAAATCTGCATTCAAAATTTTCAATTTAACGCTGATCAAATTTTTGACCCATTTTCATGTTAGTTATTTCTAATTTTCCGATGTTTGCAAAAGAGTGACTTAAAATTGGACTTCGAGAGTCCATAACTTTGCCAAATTTAATCCGATTCCAAAGTGGCATACCTCTAAAGACTTGTGATTGCATTCTCTGAAAATCTGCATTCAACATTTTCATTTTACCGTTGGTCAAATTTTTGACCCATTTTCATTTTAGTTATTTATTTCTAAGTTTTCGATGTCGACTTTATAGGGTCGGAAATGTTTTCTTCTCTGCGTTGCAAACTTTTGACTGAAATTATAATACCCTCTGCAAAGGTATAAAAAGGATAACTCTCCTTTTGGTTTTATTAAAATTATTTAACTGACTTGAAAACAATTTCCACAAGTGTTGTTTTACTATTAAACTTTTCTTTTAGCTCCTATGTTATTGAAATGGTACCTTTGAATGTTATTTAAATTATTACCCACATACGCTTGTGAAAAGAAAATAAAACTAAAAGGCATTCTGATATTTTTGTCAGGATTTAATGGTATTACAGCATTGCGTTTTCTTACATATATCAAATATAATTTCATAAATACATTTATATGTTTAGTCATAACTAGGCGCAGTATCGTAAGATTACGAGCTATGATTCTTTAAAAAATTAAAAGTTTTTTATTAATAGTGGCAATAACATGTCTTCTTTTCTCCTATCCGGATTCATACTTATAACAAAAATAGTAAGCTTGCGCTCCTTTGCGCTTTCTTTGTGTTCTTTGCTTATTACATTTTCTTTTCAGTTTTAATACAATCTTAGGTAAAGTTTTAACCGCTGTTCTTGTTCTTTATGTTTGATCTGCTTGGTATTGTTAATTAATTATTGGCAATTTTCTAACTGCATGGTTGATTTAGATGGGCATTCCATTTTCCATATTTCATTCAAGCTGTTGGTACAACATACAAGTCTTTTGTTCTATGTTTAAAGTTAAATATATTTAAATCTGCTTTAAAATACGTGCTCTACTTAAGTGTAATTTAAAATGCGGCTTCATTAAAATTGGTTAGCGTGCTTAATACGTCTTCTGTGTGGTGTCTTTGTTGGATGAAGTCCGGGTCTAGATTAAACTTCAGCATAATTCGTTGACTAGAAATTAACTTAAGTACTTAGGGCTAGACTAACAATAGATTTTAACACGCTCTTGCAGTTATCTATTTTGGTTTTCGTGCATAAGTATTTTTCTGATCAATCCTTGTTCAACATTTTGTGCTGCAGATATTTGAGTTGTGTCGAGGCTTATATGGAAATCTTAAGCGTTTCCTTTCTGGAAAGTAGTCAATAATTGCTTCTTTTAATTTCATGCCCAATTAAGATTATTCCTAGTTGCTGCAAGCTTAAACATAACTTTTCAAAACCGTTAACAATTTTAATTTGTCTTTCAAAACACTTAGCACCAAAATGATTATTCGCCGAATAAAGAATAGTATTTTTGTGTTTGATAATTTTGCACATTGTTTGGAATTTAGACGTAAAGAAAAATAAGTACATTTTGCAACAACTTTCAATCAATTTAAATTCAAATTACAAATAACTCCTAACAATACTTTGGTTTTATAGTATACCACACGCATAAATGCGCGGTTCAAGGTTTGCAAAAAATTGAAAAACAAAGAAATCGATTGGATTGAACAATACATAGTTTTGGCTCTTAGGCACACTTACTTATAACATCACAAAAAATTAAATATACATTTAGATGGTAGGGCATAAATTAGGTGACAGTTTCGTATCCTAAACTAGCTGTGTAAACTATCTCATCTTTAGTCTGCAAAAATATTGCCTATCTCTTCAATATTATTTTCTTTGCGCTCGATTGCGTTCAAAATGCAACAACTTGTGTGTGTGTGGTGTGTGTAGCTTTAGTAGGTTTGATTGCGAGTAATGGTTGCTTGGCTAGGAAACAGCGACGCCCCTTCTACGTGGTGTAGGTGCGGATGACGTCCCGAATGACCGCCCGGCACAGTGGGCACTGGCCACCGCCCACTCCGCGCCACTGCTCGATGGCGCAGTCGTAGCACATGCACATGTGGCCGCACATGTAGAGCACCGAGTCGATGGGGTTCTCGTAACAGATGGTGCACTCGGCACTCGAATCGGTGCTCTGCTGGTCGCTCAGGCTGTCCTTCCACTTGTTGGCCGCGTTATTTGTGCTGTTGGCAATGGGCTGCAATGGGACAAGGAACAACCATTAGTTTACTATCGATGCTTGAAACACAAAGCTTCGACTACTCACCTCAATGTACTGGCTGCTGGTGGTGCTGATGAGGGTGCCGCTGGAGCAGGCCCCGGCCAAAATGCCGCTGGAGGTCACCGTGGCCGAGGGCCTGGCCGCCAGCTGTCCGTTGATATCGTGCGAGCTGCTCGCCGGCGGCAGGTTCACCACCAGTACGGTGCCGCCACCATTCGGCTGAATCTGAAGAATGTCTCCGTTGGAGGGCATGCTGATCATGCGGCTGCCATTGACACCGCCAGCAGAAGCCAGGGTGCTCGTGCTCTGGGCCACGCTTAACTGTGAGGGATGGTGCTGCAACAGCTTGGCAGTGGCTCCGGCATTCAGACTGCTCATCGACTCGGTCATAGGCAGCATGCGGGAAGTGGAGGCGGCGTTGCAGGAGGACGAGCTTGTGGCATTCACATTCACCTGCGGCTGCGACGGATACGCAACCATGTTGGGCAACTGCTGGCGGAACATTCTCAGCGACTGTGTCGAACCGTAGACATCCAGGAAGGCCCACAGCTGGAGGGACTGGTCCACATGCATCACCACCACGGCGGGTCCGTTGTTCTTGCTGATGCTCACCTCGCCGTTGGGCGCTACGAAGAAGGCGATCTCATCGCCGCGCTGAGGAGCAGCTGCTATGTCCTTGCTGACCACCCAGTACTCGGGCCGATCCAGCAGGAAGTCCGAGTCATTGGGCAGGTCAGAGGGCTGCAGCATGGCCGGATTGCAGGAGGTCAGTCCCAAGGCCAGGGCACCCACGTACATCTGCTCCGTTTTCAGGACCTGCACAATCAGTTTCTCGCCAATGCGAATGGGACGAGCAGTGAACACGTAACCCTGGCAGAAGTCGGACTCCGTGCGGGAAGCCACGAATCGATCCTGCGAGAGGCGCACATTACGGCCCTTGGTGTTGTGGAAGGGCACCGGGATCAGGCGTCCGTTGGCATTGTACCGCAGAGGAGGCAGTCCGTTGGCCAAATCGTGGGCAATGGCCGCCTGTTCCACACTGGTCACGCTTCCGCCGTTTCCGGCCAAGTGCAGCGACTGCAGCGACGGCATCACATGGCGCTCCAGATCGTGATCGATGGCTCCGGTGTGTCCAGGCAGGGACCTCCTCGACTGCTGATGCGGGTGATGGGGATTCAGGGCGGCGGAGGCGTTGGGAGCCGGCTGGGCCAGCTGCTGTTGCTGGGCGGGCACGGCGGCAATTGGCATCGCCGTCGGTTGCTGCTGGTACATGTAAATGCGGGAATCCAGGAACTCAATGCCCGTGCAGTTGCCATAGATATCGATCACCGTCCACAGCAGACTCCTCGTATCGATGCCGGATAGTATCACGCCCTTTTCCTCGTTGTTTATCCCATAGATCACATCGCCAGCTCCGTTCACATAGTAGTAGAGGATGTTGTCCTTTTCGCAGTACTGCTCATGCAGAGCCTTGGCCCAGAAGCCGGGCCTGTTCGTCAGATCCGGACAGGCGTACTTGGGCAGCGTTCCCTCCAGCGTGACGGGATCGTTGCTGGTGAACCCAAAGCGAATGCCGCCATTCCAGTTGTTCGAGATTTCCGCGAACTTCACGCAGATCCTCTCGTTGATGCGAACTGGACGGGCGGAGAAGGTGATCGCGCGGCAGAAGCTTTCGAAGCGACGCGCCAGAGTTCCGTCCCTGGAAATCCGAATGTTGTCGCCATGCACGGTGTGGAATTGCAGCGGAGGCAGGTTGTTGGGACCAGGACAGGAGGAGGGTGAGCGGCGAACTAAAATGGTGGAGAAGAAAGTTTAAGTTAGTTAGGATTAAAGTAAACTGTTTATGAAATTAATATTTTATCGCTGTTTTATGAATACTTCTTTATACTAGCTGCACCTACATTTTCTCACATAAATCTTTTCAGAGACGTATACTTTGCATTCAACAAAATGCTACCTTCCCACAATCCATTTATCTGGTAGTTTCATCTTCTGCCACATTGTTTCAAAATCTTTTTCTCAATGCCAGTTGCCCCGTGTCGAGTTACGCATCTTCAAAAAATATCTATGTTTTGCTCCAGGTAGCCGAATATTCAACCATGTGCTAGCGATCGAATTACGCAGAATCTTCCTGGGCGAGTCAATAACCCCCAACCAAAGACCCAAATTTAGTTGGGTTTCGAGCACAAGGCACGTGACTGTATCGAAGACTATAGAACTATTCATTTTGGGGATCTGAGGCATTTGGGAAATGTAGTAAGTGCCATGACAAAAACGATCAACAGGCGGACTCAAAAGGATTTATCATGGTCATCGTCAGCTGCTGGCTGATTTTCTTGGAAAATCGAAGTCACAAACGTGTGAAGTTAAATAATTACTTTTCAGAAGGAAACATATTGATATCCGCTAGGAGGTTGTTGAAATACTCAAACAGTTTCTCCTAAACGAACATTTGATTCTTGAATTTTTAAATTTTAAATTGCAAATGCTTTCAATGCTTCAGCTGGTTTACAATTTCTTGCAATTATGTGGGGAAGCACTTCAACGACAACACCAAGCACTTGGGGAATCCTTAAAATATATTTCCAAAATTGCCATAATTATTGCACCTTGCAAATCCACATATATCAGCAGCTGCTGACAATTACTGCAAAAGACTGCGCCAGGGCATAAAAAGCCTATAACCAATCCATATGGCCATATAAATAATTACTCAAGGAGTCTTAGGATGGCGACAGGTTTCTCTTCAGATCGCTGGAATGGCCAACATCAGACGATTCCGGCGGCATGCCAACAGTTGCGTTGAAAAAACTTAAGCCCAGTTTATAAGAAACCCAGGGCGAAGGACCTGCAGCAGATGAGGCTGATGTTGATGGTGATTACCATGTTGATATGCGGCGCGTGGCACTGGAGATCAATGTGTTTGCTTTGGAGCGGCATGTGGCAGCTGTCCTTTTTCCTTTTCTCTTGATTCCCTTTTCAGCCTTTGTGTCGAGGAAGAAGTAGGAAGGTCAGAAGAAAGCAGCTGTGCGCAGGGAACAGGTAAAACAACCCCTAAAGAGCGTCTGTGCCCGACTTTCGAGGGTAGTTTTCAACGTTTTCAATCGCTCAGGGGTTGCAATTCCACAGTTCCACAGTCTGCAGCTGTTCAAATTTCCAAAAAAAAAAAATACAAAACTGCAAGACAGATACAAGATACAAACGCTAGGGTATTTACAAGATTTCTTCCCTGCGCTTCGCAGTGTCTTTAGGGTTGAAATTTAATCCTAAGCCAGGGCCAATGACTTGCACACGAAATCTGTTCTGTCTGCGTCCCGAAAAATCCAATCCTCAAGTGCTTCCGGAGCAGGAAGTGGAAAGGGAGCACCAGCTTCCGGTGGCTCCCATTCTTGAGGAAGGAGCGCGGCTTTGGAGACTCGAGAAGAAGTAGAAAAAAGCGGGGTCCAAACACCGCGATACCCATCCATATTTATGAAATGACCGCGACGAGGAAGTAGGAAATCACGTACTACGCTTATACGTGTATTGGATTGGGCCTATTAGCTGCAGGATGTTGTCGTCTCACTAGCCTGGCCAACTGGCGACGCCTACTTTTTATCGGCCCAGACAGTCGTCAGTCAATGGATGGAATTGCAGCGGCGAGTACAAGTATTTGCTGGCTTGAATGAATGAAATACGCGCCTCGCTTTTTCCTTGAAGTCCCAGGCGAAACGGTGCTCGAGAGACGCGTCGATACTTTCAATTAGCCTGGCCACAATTAATTAAGTGCAGCGATTGTCTTCGCTCGAGGCCGTAATGATGCTCTCCCCCCATAACGACTAATTTAATTAAATATATGAGAAAGAGAGACTTGTTGTTGGGAAAGTTGACAAGGAAAACAATTGCATGGAAGCTATCAATAAACAACCATCGAAACCTAGAGAACAATATTAATTAGGTAATTACATGGGCCAGGGGAAAATAGTAGAAAATTATTATTATATACAATACTACATTTTAAATAACTTGCTCATATTATTATTAAATGAGTAAAATATTTAGAGTAGTTAATTAAACAACAACACAACAATTGAATCTATAAAATGAGAATTTGCTCATGAATTAAGTAATCAGAGTTCCAAGAAAATAAAAACAAAATATTTCCCATGTTTATCGCTTTTTCCCAGGCCCCCTTATCATCGCCCTAATGCTGATCGTCAAATTTCGACATAATTCGGCCAACTTACATCTGGAGATGAAAAGTTCAGACTTTCGGTGGTCATGGATGCGTTTGGAGTTTGCCGCGAAGGTTCGCAAGCCGAAAAGGTTCCCAAACCAAACGAAGCATCAGCATCCGATCGACTGCAAACGATCTTGCCGCAGTTGCAGGCAAATTTTCGTAGTTTGCCAAAAAGGAAAACCTGATTTACCGTTCGGCGCGGATCGACGACGTCTTTGGATTCGCCACCAGCGAGCAGCAAAACATTTCCCACGCTGAGCATTGGGCAAAAATCAAACACAAACACAGTAGAGACAATTCCCACGACTCCAAATTTGTATATATAGGAGATATATAGTAAATTTGCGACTGCCGAACATCCAAAAACCTGTAACAAGCCTCGGTAATTGCGAGAAGAGAGTGCGGAGTTCGGATGTTCCCGAATCTCTGGTGAACTGGAGAAGCTGCAGCTGAGCGATCGAGCGGGTGGAAAATGTGAAAATCATGCAGGTGTCATAAAACAAAACCCCGCGCAAAGAGAAAAAGGAAATCAAAACCAGTGAGGAAATCTGCGATTGTGCGATTGTGGCCATCGTTAGGCAAAATCATTTTAACGATCCGATGAAGATCTCCAAACATTCAAAATCCCATTGAGCAGTCGTCATTAGATTTCGATTGGCACTCGTGAGTCGAGTTGGCGATCATTAAAGGCAGATTATCTTGATGTCTGAATGAGACTTACAAGGGGATCTTATGTGAAGCTGAGCTGGGATTGAATGTTACGATCGGTTCTAACAAATCACTTAAAAGTGAATAAATTCGGTAGCATAGACAATGTCTTAATGGACATTTGTTTAATTTCACAAACAACTCAAGCCAAAATTAATAGAGATTAATGTTGGTTAGGCAGATTTAAAGATCTCATTAATAGCAGAATGGTTTAGAAATCGAAAACATAACAAACAAATACCCTTGGATTATTTTCTTTAACTAGAACTCCCCCACTTGCACCGATTGAGGTCACAGGTCACGTGCTGCCCTCCCCCTGGGCTGTTTCTAGTGTCGTATGCCCACGTGCATGAGTCACGGGACGTGTGCGGACAATTAACACGCCGAAAGCCGTTTAACTGCACCGGAAATGCCCCATAAAAGGCGGGGATTTCGGGGGGAGTGTGCGAGGCGAGGGCAAATGCCGGCCTGGCGAGTGGATCAATGGATCATTTACAAATTGTATCAATTGGTCAGCCATTTGGCATAAATTATCGGCGTTTTGCGGCGCGGCAATCAGTCAGAACGAGTGGGTGAGTGAGTCGGATTGAGTTGGACCTAAGCTTTTGACTTCCACGGGCTTGTCAATGGATCGACCCACGTCGACAAATAACTTATAAGCGTATCTGGCCACTCCGCTCAGGGTGTTTTTATTTTCATTTTCGAAATATCAGTGAAATTATTTGAGGAAACAGTGTGTGGGTCGTTTGTTAGTTAGTTAGACACTACGGCTGTGGGCTGAAAAGTCAGGCGTTGGTTGGAGTTTAAGATCTGGGCAAGTGTCTCTCGGGAGGCTTGTAAAACAATTCTCACAGCAATAAAAGCAATGTTTAATTCTTGTCTTAAATATACGCAAATGAAGCTAATTAATGTTAATTAATCGCTCACAATCAAACAATTCGCGTGGGGCGGAAAAATATGAAAGTTTTTCGACTAATATGAAAAAGTAGGAAGTTAAATGGAATCGTTTTTTGGACTACAAAATGAAGATGACTTTATTTTGAATTGATGTCCCATTTTTATGTTTTGATTTCAATCGTTATCTAATTTTCTAATAAATTGAATGAAATTTGTTCTCTAAACATTATTGCCACTCAATCTTCTACTTTATAGTTGGATTTACAGCTAAATGCACTTAGTCGAATTTGTCTGCAGTGGAAAGTCCCATTGATTGCATGCTAAAACCACTTCCGTTCTGCTTGAACCGCTGTCCAGTGCAGCGGAAATTGCACTGCGATACACTCATCGCGATCTGCTGGAGCGAGGAACTCTCTCTTCTGGTGTGGATTCCCCACCGGTTTTGCCCCTCCCGGTAACTTTAGAAGCTTGGCAACAATGACCATAGCACAGACTCTGCAAATATAATAAAAACAATTACACAACGGAAAAGGGGCCGACTGGCGGCGGCGTTGACAGCGATGAAACCAGAGGTCAAACTATGCCAAGTTGTTGCAACCAGTTGTTATTGTGTCTAAACAGCTTTTCCTCCTCACAAGTACATTGCACTTTTCATGCGATTAAGCGAAATCTGATACCGCACGACATGTGAAGAAAAAATCAAAGCAATCACAGCAGCAGCGAGTTTAAAAATAACAATCATTTAGTACTCCATAAAAATTCCGAACTAAAGACCTAAACAGACTGCTAGCTAAGCAGGGGAACAGATTTATTAAAACCTTGTGAAATTGAAATGCTACTAATGATAAGAACAAAGTGAGTAATCAATAAAAATGCATCAGAAAAATTCCCAGCCAAAGCTAACAATTGTTTTTGCTATATGAAGTAGACCTACTTATTCAGGAATATTCCCCAAAGATAGTACAAGTTGTTCAAACAAAATGTTTCCCTTATTTTGCACGTGTATTTTCCTTCGATTTCACAATAGGAAGCCCCTGAAAAGCCAAACATTTGCACCTCACTTATTGATCACACCTTCCAATGGGTTCAACGACTCCCAATGACTTTTCTCCCCATTCGACATAAATTCACAGCCTTTCCACACACACAAATTAGTTATAAACACCCGGATGAGGCGCAGCTCCCCTTCTAATATAATTAGCCACTGAAAGGGAGAGATACAGAGAAGTATATATTATAAAAAGAGGCACAATGTGCGGAGGGGTGGGTGGCCAAATCAAATTTACATGTTTATTTTTACAAGCCTACGAACAACAGACCGTGTAGAATGAGAGCACCTCTCTATCGGTGCACATTATATATATAAACTCCGTATACATGTACAAATATCTATGGTTGGATTTTTATTTGGGCGCTGAAGCATGCAAGAGGCCCCAGCCAAGAAGAACCGAACTTGTTCAGCTCCGAATAGACATAAAACCGATCTAAATATATACGCAGAGATATAAGGAAGTGTATGATAAATACAACAAAAAATAACACAATAAACAACATTGTATAGAAAAAGTGTTGAGACTTTCTAGAAAATCAATCGCACAGGAATATGAAATATCTTAAAAGGTCTATAAGGGCGGAAACTTGTTTTACGGAATCTAATATATCTTCAAAAAAAAAAACATACTCTATTAATTATGAAGTTTTCATCACAGCACTGTACTACTGTTTGAGAGTCAGAAACGATAAGCCCGGCTTTCTTCCGCTTTGTTTTGATGCGCTTTGTAGGCTTGCTGTTTATCGAAGCGTTGCAATTACTGCAAAGGGCCAGTGAAGAGGTCCACATAAATGTATATAAGGGTATATATATATATATATATAGTTGATAGTTACTCCCATACAACTTGCATTTCCTCGCACTTGACTGCACAAGACACCCCCCGTTTCCCCTCGAAACTCTTTTGTGTAATTAAATCACTCGAGCGTTGAGGGGGAGCCAACAATTCCAACTACAAAAGTGAGCTGAGTGGAATGGAATGGACTTGAAGAGTAGTCTTTTGATAGAAACACATCATTATTACATTATAACATTGTAATTACAAAGGCTGACAGGCAATTCAAGTGTTTTGGGCCGTCATTCGATAGTATGAGATGCCACTGGTTGCACTGTTGTCGGCTGTCCCATTACCATTTATTGTTATAGCAAAACCATGCAAATTTACTACATTTTAGCATATTAAATACCCCACGCAGCTGCAAATCTAGTTCTAGTTCCTCCCAAAATAGGTGCTTATATTAATTACATTAAAGTTCTCTTCAAAGCTTGGACCACGAACGTTAAAAGGCCAAACACCGAAAATAAAAAAACCCGATCTGGTCAAGTTTTCGGCGATGGATAGCCGAACAGCTGCTGGTGGACACGGGCATAGATTAAAGACCCGTAGGTGTTCGAGCCAAGTAAAAAGCAACGGTGATTTATGCCTAGCAACCCGCTTGGGAAACACGCCCTCCCGAAATGCGTTCAAAATTGACCCAAAGATGCCTTTGGATATCTTTGCGTGAGTTAATTGCAGCTGCTTTTGGGCCAGGTATGTTTGCCATACTATAGATTTATACCTGTTGTACCTGGATTCCGCCTTTTGTCTTCCACCCGTTGCAACACCCTGCGGCGAGCGTTTTTATCTAGTTTATCTGTATCTATGGGGTGGTATGCGTCGTTATCTCTCAACCCAGACAAAATGTTAACAATTTTGTACTACATTTAGGTCGTGAAGAAAATTAACGGGTTACAGTGATAGAATATTTTAAAACTGAACTGAATTTTTATTTTTACAATATAATGTATACTAAAATAGCAAAAGATTGCCAAAGTCAAACCTAATTTTAATGCGTAAGATGTGACTATGGTAAACGTTAATATTAGCCAATTTCCACTGTACCACTCTTCCAGCTCGCAGTTGGTTCAATAACTGATAAACGAAAGACGTGGGCGGCACTAAAGTATGTCGCGACTCGAGAGATAGCTTTTTAGAAAAAGAGAGCACCAGAAAGATCTTTGTGTATACCCCCAACCTCTAAGAACTATTACTTATAGCAATTCCCAATCAGTTCTCAACTACATTTGCAAAGATAACTATTTTTGCACTGGCCCTTATCACAAGAGCCAAATTATCAATTAGAAATGGCATTGCTTCAGCTATCAACTCACACAACAAATTATAAACACATTTTCAAGTGTGGTGGAAATAAAATGACCACTGGATGTATGACACATCCAGATGACCTCACGGGCGGAAAAAAATAACTGAAATAGTCCCAGTGGGAAAAGAATACGTAGAAATCACAGCAGATGTTCGAAGTTTGCAATCGCATGTATGTACATACATTGTACATAATATAAATTCGGTTGAAATAAGAAAAAGTATTTGCACGGATTTAAAAAGACAACTGTAAACATATAAAAAAAACCGAAATTAAGATTTAATATTTATCAGCAGATTTTAACTCAACTTTCTAGATCTACAAAATTATATTTAATTAAACTTTAACGAAAATAAACATCCCTGCAACTATAATGTTGACTTCCTCTGTATGTATAGACAAACTCCGAGCGGGGGTGTGTACTTCTATTTACTTTTGGCCAACAATCGAAGGTCGTGTGACATTATGTCCAATAATCGAAGGCTCAGAGACGAGTTGGCAGCGCTCAGTTGCAAACACACGCACAACCCAGCTCAAGCCAACAACCATTTCGAAAAGTAAACCGTGAGAAGCTAAGTAAAAGCCAAGAGCAGATAAACTTTTTAGCCAAAGCAAACGTGGCATGCCAACAAACAACAACAAAACAACAAACTACGAATTGTAATAGAAAATGCAGGTAAAAAAAGCAAAAGCAGCTGACGCCGCACACAACAACAAAGTAATTTCATTGATTACCGATAGGCAACGCACGTTCAAATCAAACGGATTGGAAGCCGCCGCATAAAACATATGTATGAACATAAACCATCCGAAGCTTAAACGCTCAGCAGAAGCGGCAACAAAAACTAGAACTTCAAAGCCACACCTCTCCCTATTTTCTCTTCTCCTCCTTTTCGCTCGATCCTGCTGCTTCTTCTCCTGCCTTTGATCATTATTTTTTGCTTTTGCTTTTGTTTTTGCCTATGGCGGCAACGGCGCTTCGCGTACAATTCCCAGTAATAGCAACCACAACAACAGTCGCTGAATGAGGCAAAGGTAGAAACAGTGGAGGTAAGATAACTAGAACCAGACATATCTTCAAAATCTGACGATTTTAATAATTTCATTTTTAAACATTTTTAGTATTTTATTTATAGAAGATTATTTATATCAATTTCAAACTTATTTGCGAAATAAATCCTCTTCCTTACCCACTCACAGCCTCGCAATTTTTATTTAAACTCCTATTTTTACGGACACAACAGTTTGTAGGAGGCAAGTACAAACAACAAAAAAGAAGTAGAAGACGCTTACCCTATGCGTCATTGGCTTTACTTAGCTTTGCTTCGCCTGTTTTGGCCAAAAAGAGAGCAATAAAGCCAAGAATGCAATTGAACCAAAGCCAAAAAAGAGTGAGTTGTTGTTTTTAGCCTTTTCAGCTGCTGCAACCAAAACAAAAACGAAGAAACAAATTTCCCCTGCCCAGATAATCGTTATGATAAACATAATCGTTCCTTGGGAAAATTGGTTTGGTGGTATTTTCTTCCTCTCGAGATTTTCGATCTTGTCGATCAATTTGTGGTTACTTATTCTTTAGTTCTTTTCGATGCGATTGAAAAATGCACTTTTCAAGAACTGACATTTCCAACGAATAAGAAGTCGGGTCGAGGTTAAATTCTGCCGAAGAAGCCTTGGAAAAATTTCACATTTCGGTTTGTTTGGCATTTTTTGCTTCTATTTGGTCAGAAAGTACTAATACTATTACAACTGTGCGTCTTATTTCCAGCATTTAGTCATTATCTTTTTGTTTTAAATAATCACAAACTGTTCCGTTTTTTGCTTTTATCTTTCCTTACTTATTGTTCTTAAGACGCAAAATGCTAATGTTTGCATAAATGTTTGCGGCTGGCTGTGTTTTCCGCTTATTTATCTTTGCCGCTTTAATTAGCTGAATGAATGAATAAGCGATAGGTCAGACCACATGCTAATATTATGTGGGAATCGCTGGAGATCGATGAATTATGTATTTAAGGCATTTTCGCACGCGGTAATTACATTTACTTCAAGGGGTAAATTGTGGGAGATCACGCAGGAAGATTTTTAATTAAAAAAACTAGTTATTTCTAATTTTTAGTTAAGTACTTAATTAGAACGGTTTCCAAGAAAACTAATAATTTCTTTGGACAGCGTTTCCTTGGAAACAGTTCCAATGAAGCAATATTACCGAGTCGTTTTTCTGTTAGAACTAAGAAATTTTAAAGTATCCAATGCGAATTTTAATATTTTATGTATCCCTTTTTTAAAATATCCCTAATCCAATTTTTAGCCTTGTACTAATGCGACTACTAACCCAATCCGAAGCGCTTCTTGATCTTCTTGAGCAAGTGCATCTTCTTCTTGCTGGAGAGCTTGTCCTTGGTGCTCATGAGGAGCTCGTTGCTCTCGAGGGCCAGGACCTGGGCTGCCTGCTGGGCGGGAGTGGGCATGGCGTTGTGGAGCTGCTGCATCTGTTGTAGGTGCTGCAAGTGCTGCTGGTTTTGGTGCTGCTGCTGCTGCGGATGCAGGTTCAGGTGCGGGTGGCTGCCCTGCATGTAATTGGCTGGTATATCCGATAGACCCATGGTAATGGCTTTCTTGGTGTTTGAAACTATTTTAATCGAACTAAACGAACTCGCGAAATGCTAACGAGAATCCACAAGATGCTTGCGTATTTTATTTGGCATTAATTAAACGTTAAGAGTTTTTCGAATTTGCTGTTTTCCGTTAAAACATTTTGAATTTGGTTGGTTTTGTTTGCGCGCAACGGGAACAAACGGAACGAAACGAACGAAACACTGAGACCGACGACGACAACTCCCGAGCCAACCTTTCTCCTGCGTTTTTTGTACACAAATGAGAGGTGCTGTTGCCTTTTATAGCCTCGCACCAGCTTGGAATCGCTCGCTCTCAAATTCTCTCCCACGACGCCGACGTCGCTGCCGCTAGAGAGGGAACGAGAGCGGGCAAGATGGTATAACAAAAACAAACTCGCTCTCTCTGGCAGCTGTTTCGTATTTACTATGATTTTGGTTTCTCTTGCCTGCCTTTCGCGTGTATTGAGCCTCCCTTATAGTTTACCTTTTTTACCTTTAACTCTGCACCTTGATCGGGGGTTCCTCCTCTTCTTTTCCTGCTGTTGCTTCTTCTGTTGGTTTTTTTTGTTGCTCTAGGCCTGCATTTTTGTTTTGGCCAAACTGCTCTGATCTCCACTAACTGTTCTACTTGCCTATGTGTGTGTGTGTGTAGTTCAGCCAGGTTCAAAGCAATTCTTTCTTTTTCGGAGGGGTTACAAGGTCTGGCCTGGTCTTGCTCATATAACTGCGAAACTATTTAAATTGCCCTAATGCTTTGATCATGAACTTTGCGGGCCAAATATCACATTTCTCCAGAGAAAAATACATAGGGGGTTTTGGTGAGAATCTGAGAAATTCCACTGGGTGTCACAAATATTTTGAAGAAAGATAAGAAATAATAAATAATTTATTTATGATAAAAGTCCCATTAATTCTTGTATATTTTTATTTATTTGAATCAAATCAAATAAAATATTAATAGATAGATTATTTTGTCATTCATTGTTTTGGTGTTCTTTGCGTTCAATCCTTCTTGTGAGCCCCCTGTAGATATCCCTTAAAATGATCAAATATCCGACCCAGAGACAAGCTCGTCTATGATCTGGGACATATGCATCTCATTTGTTAAACTTTAGGCTTTTGTGGTCAGCAGGATAACTGCCGTCTGGCGTCTGATCATCCTTTATTCTTAATGGATGCCAGGCTGCCATTGAAGGAGAATGATAATTGCGAAGAGTGCTCCTCATCTTCGTCCTTTTTGTCCTGCATCAACAGACGGATCCGGACAGACCTCACAGCAGATGCAATTTTCAAGATCGGAAGGGATCAAGACGGGCCAGAAAGCATTTAAATTTTGATATTAAAGTGGAAATGCATATTCAGCATCCTGGCAGCAGGCGTGCGTCCTGGAAATACATCTGCTGCTGCTTACCCGATTTCCCCCTCCTGTGCGTTCAGTTCAGTTTGCGAAAATGCAAAAAAGGTCGGGGAAGGTGAAGTTTGGCGAAACAGGAACCGGCAAACATCGAACAACCCCAAAATTGTCAAGGAAAACAGTGAATACCGTTTAACTGGCACGCCGTTCCAGAAAAATATTCAAGGAATGAATTTTGTATCATTAGTTTTTAGATTGAATAAAATATCTCTAAAGATCACCAAGATGATAAACCTACAACTAACTATTAGAAAAGCTAAATTTGTAATTCGAGAATAGCCTTAAGTTGAACTCTGCTTATGCCAACAAAAACAAGGAAAGTGTTAAAATTTGTTTAGACATTCCTTTAGTCTATTTACAGATTTTTAAATTTAATAAACATTTGAAACAGCTATTAGGTTCTACAAAAATTACAAACATTTATTCCCTATCGTCCACATTTTAGCAGTTTTCTTGTATCGATCCTCACTGTACCCAACCTGAACATCAACGAAAGGTGTCCATCTGCGGTTGCAGTTGGAAAAGGACCTGCAAAAGGGTTTGCTCTACTGTAGTTTGCATCCCCTCGCTTCCCCTGCCTTTGGTTCCGTTCTGTTTGTTCGCCAGTTCCAGGTGTAAATTCATAGCAAAAGATACGGGTAGAAAGGGATTTTGAAGGAGGAGAAAGAGGAAGCCAGCCGACCACGTGCCAGGTTAAAAAAGGAAAAAAAGAGACGTGCGCCAGTTGCCTTGGCTGATAAGGTTGCTCTACTTCTTCGTTTGGGTTCGAACTCCTTTTACGATTATTTATTTTTTATATATTCATATTTTGCCAGCAGACATCTGCTTCCATTTGCATTTGTCGCCCTGATGGGGGAGATATCAGCAGACTTTTTTTTGTTTGCTAGCTCCCCCTAAAGTATTTTTGTGGCTAAATTTAGAATTTGGCACATGTGCCCCAAGTCCCTGGTGCTGTGCAATTTTATCTTTCCATTTCGGTCTCCCACGAACATCTGGCTTAAGAATATATCGCTCAGTTTAGCTCGTCTTAGTTTTGGTATCGCTGGTTTCTCCTAAGGCCCGCATTTACCTTGGCCTCACAATTGTTTTCTTTTTTTGGCCCATTGTCTTGGAAATGTCACAGAGATTTACCTTTCAGACAGTTCCTTAACCCAGGATCCCTGCTGCTATTCGAAATCTTCGTCTATGGAGAATTGACCTAGGCAGGCGTTTAATGAAAATGCCAAATGATAATTATGCACGGCAAGTGAGCAGATCCGAGGGGACTATTTCGATTTTAAAGGGAAAACAAGTATAAGAAAGGGTTTTAAAACTGTACATTTCGTGAGATCATGTTTACTTTATTTCACATATCACCTATAACATTTATATTCGATCCTTGAAAAAATGGTGATCAATAAAAACCATCAAACTTTTTAGAGTGAAAATGTTAATGCTTATGGTATTTTTGATTTCTAGAAATTCCACCTTATAAGATAAGAAAATCACACCCCTTTCATATGGCCTAATAAAATTTATAAGATAAAAGTACGAGTTACACAAATGGCGTTTTGTGGAATTTCTTATCATAGCTACCTCCATTATGATCGAGCTGTAAGCATGTGTTTTGCGAGTAACCTTCACCTTGGCCACCCTTTAATCTAATATACAAATGCAAAACCAAATGCCCAAAATAATTTGAATTGGGGAAACAATTCAAGTGGGCCAAAGATAAGTGTGGGGAAATAGATTGATAGTTATCAGAATTTAATGAAAGATTTATTCAATGAAAAAATACGCAAGGCAGGTAAATAACCGAAAAGATATAAGAAGTTGGCAGCTGTCGGAACAAAGACAGCTGAGAATTCCTTGGCTCTCCACATCGATCGGCGATAACCGATCAATATACACATAATTAAGTAAAAACTGTAGCAAATGCCAATGTTTAATTAGAAAACGACATATGCAAACGGGTCACAGGCAGAAGGCATTGAAGTCGGATGGAAAATAAAAGGGAAAGGACTCAGACTCAGACAGGCCAAGGAAAAAAGGAGCTGGGTAAGGAGCAGTTGTGGAGTTTCGTATATATAACCCCGAACTAATCCAGCGGACACAAAGAAGAATTGAAGAGAACCCAACCAAAAATCGAATTGCGCAAGCACTTGAGAGCCCGAGCAATAGAGAATATGTCTTACAATGTGTATGTACTCCCAGTCTCCTGGGATCAAGGGGAAAAGTAAACGATTGAGCATATACATAGAGTTATAGTTATAGAGTTTTACATAGGAACACAGTTAACAGATTGAAATATATACGAGTTTTAATAGAAACAATCTTTTCTGAACGGGACTAATCATACCAGGATCACATCCTTTTCACAGGAGGTGTTCATTTCATCTTTATTTAATATTACTATAAACTCTAAACATATTCTAAAAGCAAAATTGAAGACATCTGTATCTGCACTAGGGTAATCCGTAGTCTAGAACTCGGACTTATTCTGCACTTCACAGAAACACTTCCACATTTATGGGATACCTGCGCCAGCAGTTGGTTTCATCCCGAAACTCCGATCAAGATCTAACAAAGGGAAACTCAATCGGAACCCGGGGATGCATTTGGCAACAGCAACTTCAACTTCCACATCCACTTCCCATTTCCCATTTCCGCATCCTCATGTGCGAACGCTAATCAAATATCAACATCGCCCAGGAATAACCGCCAATGCAACACATGCGAGGGAAGCTGCGATCCGTTAGAGAAATATACATTCTGCTGGCCAAATGGCTCAGGGGGTTTCGGCTTTCACAGTTTTCACATTGCAGTTTTTCCCGCCTGTAAAATGGAAAAACTCCCTCGTCCCACGAAAAACGCAAGATCTGCTCCTTGCAGATACCTATGCGGATACTCCGAAACAAACAGGACATTTGGCAAGTCATAGAGAGAGATCCTGGCGGGTTTTCGACCCTCAGCATGTGTCTTTGTCTCAGGGTCAGGGAGTTACCACTCGGTTACCTTACCTGAGTCGAGCGCCTATTGGGGTTTACTTATTCTCTCCTCCGCCTTAGTGCGATCCTTCGTCCTTTCTTGCGCCCGTTTTGTGAGAAATCATTGCCATAAACTCTATAATTTATTGTCTACAGCTGCCCGGGCATCTAATCGAAGCTGATTCCATTTGATGGAGGCCTTTGAGCAGGTAACTTCTGCCCTGCAACCCCCGTCCAATACACCTGTAATGGTAAGATGACCATTACGTTGAAGTTCGCGCCCCAGAATAAGGGTCCTTTGCTTGAGCTGATTAAATGTACTATTCCCATTCCTCAGATTTATACCACTTTGGTTTCATGACTTTTCGGGTATCTAAGCTGCTTAGGAGTTTGGTGTCCCTATGCGGCGGATTTGAAATAATTTTTTAATTATATATTATATATTATATTTTTCTTCTACATTTCGACAATTAAAATATTTCCCTTGCTTTCGAGTAATGGGTATAATAATATACACAACATATTTACTATTTTTATTGTCATACGCTGTGGGGGTTATGCACATCACATTATCTTAATTATTAACTGTAGTTATTGCAGTAGTTTCAGTTGGGGTGCACGACTTATCTTCAACTAAAGTTTTTATTAGCTGATTAACGCTATCATACAAATCTTTATATCATTTAAACAACACAAGACAACCGTTTTCTAATATAACACGATTTAAAAATAATTTCTCCTGCAATCGTAGAAGAGAAATCCTAAGGTGTGGCCACCATGTACGCGAGTAGAACCATAGAGTCTGTGGCCACCGTGCCAATGGTTCAGGTGGAGTGCAGGGGACCCAATGGATCAGGTCCTGATTGGGTGCCCTTAAAACAGGATTGGAACAAACGGTGGTGCACGCTTCCTGCTAACTATATTGAAGATTTCGCAGGACGAATCGACGCTTTCGAAACTAGAGAAAGTGATGTTTTTGTGGTGACATTTATGAAAAGCGGGACTACGTGGATGCAAGAGTTGGCCTGGCTTTTGCTGAATGATTTGGATTTTGAAGGGGCTAAGAGCAGTTATCCATTTCATCGAAGCCCTTTTCTAGAGTAAGTGAATTATTTGTAGAAGCTTATGGAGTAGGACTTGTGAGACAACCTTAAATCGCAAAGATATATTTAACTGTTTTTAAAAATGATTTATAGATACTCTTTAATTAACCCTGTGAACGGGATGGATTCTGTGGCTATGTGCAATCAAATTCAGGGTAATACTCGCTTGATCAAATCCCATTTACCGGCGCAACTGCTACCCCGACAAATCTGGAAAGAGGGACGTAAGATTATCTATGTGGCTCGGAACCCCAAGGATGTTCTAGTTTCTTCATACCACCAAATGAAAGGCTTGGCCTACGCGAATGGCAGTTGGGACGAATTTGTGGATCAGTTCGTTACTGATAAGATTATCTATTCATCATTTTGGGCGCATATTATCGACTTTTATAGAATGCGCAATGAGGAGAATGTATTTTTTGTCACCTATGAGGATATGTCAAGGGATCTCGAAAATGTGGTCAAGAGATTATCGCTGTTTTTAGATTGCAAGGATCTAAGCGTCAAGGAAATGGAAAAACTCTTAAAACACCTGAGTTTTAAGAACATTAAGCGTGAGTTTACCAGGAAAAAATTATGTTAAATAAGTTCTGCTTAAATCATTAAACTTTCAGAAAGCAAGTTTGGTAACCCCACTGGTTTCATAAAAACTGTTCGAAAAACTACTGAAGATTTTGAGTAAGTTTATGTTTTAAGTTTGAGACTTAAAATTAATTTTGATTTTGTGTGTAGGTTTATGCGGCGAGGAATTGTCGGCTCGTTCAAAGACGAATTAAGTCTTCAACACCAGGATAAGATTGATAAATGGACCCAGAGTATTCTCGACGAGTATGGATTAATTGAATCCGATATTTTTGGGGATTTTTAAAAATGTATATATTTACAGTTTCAAATGTATATTTGATTGTGGTATAACAAATTATTTAAACTGAGAGTAAGGTGGTATCACACCTGTATAACAGAAAACGACTTTCAGAACTATCGGCACGAAGCCGGCGAGTGTCATCGCTAGGGGAACAGCTGTTCGGCCAACATGTGAGTGTGTTGGTGGTGGGAAGGTCACAAACCTTATTGGAATGCTCATAGTTTTCAATTCATGAACAAGCCGAGCTTATAACTGACATGCGGATTACTATAACCTAATGATTCCATTGCAAATTTTCATTTTACACGCCCCTTAACCCAAGCGAACTTAGACCTCTTTATATGCCATTTAAATATAATGTAAGCTTTGATTACTTACCTATTTTACTAGCCGACTGACCCATTGCTTAATTAAAATCACAAATTGCTGTTTCGCTTTCCGGAAGGCACGAGAAAGAACAGAAACAAAAGCCACAACAACTAGGACACACAGATATTCTTTGGCATTGAATTTTCACGTGGCCTCAGCCCTCGGAAACTCTCGATTTTCCGTTTCACGAAATCCGATCATGTGCCTCTGGCAGACTAGCTAGCTTCTGGAATCATAGGCGTTATTTGCGAAACATTTTAAAGCTTTGTTTAATTGTTATTTGGATGGAGCGGAGCTGCCGGTTGCAAGGCTTTTTTCAATGTGACCGCGTGCATGCTCGATTTTACTTACAAAATATACTATCGTACTCAGAAAAATATACCATACAATATTTTTACGTATTTCAAAAATCAACGATTTTGTAGTATATATAAGAAAACCTATACAAGTTTGAATAGATTATAGATTTTATTCGATGTACAATTAACACAAAAATATCTTTACAAAAAAATATGAGATCTGAAAGAGATCTGAGGACATATTTGTCGAGGTACAAAAACTGACTGAAATACAAGGGTCAATTAAGGTTTGATTTTATTGGCAAACAAGTTTATTTAAATTGGTTTTGCATGCACTTAAGTTATAAATGTATAGTAAGTATTAAATCCTTTTTACAATAATCCTAATAATCAATGATTGAACTTATTTCGGGATTTTAGAAATGTGGATAAGAAAAAACATTTGTTGTTGACAAATCGCAAGACACAAAAAAACTACATGCATTTAAGCTATTATATTAAATCCCTTTTTCAGTAATTCCAATACTCAATGATTTGGACTTAATTCGGTAAAAAAAAGATTAAAATCAAATCAAATCAAATTAGCCAACAAATTTATTTAAATTAGTTTTGCATGCATTTAAGTAAATATTGTATTGTATAGTAAGTACTAAATCCTTTCTATACTAATTCCAATGTACAGTGATTTAAACTTATTTCGGGCTTTAGAAATGTGGATAAAAAATACATTTTTTGTTGACAAGTCCCAGGATCCCAAAAAAAACTTTTAGCACTTAACTTAATATTGTAAAGTGAATATTAAATCCTTATTTTGGCAATCCCAATACTCAATGAATTGAACTTAATTCGGGGTTTTAGAAATGTGTATAAAAAAAAAAATTTTTTGTTGACAAATCGCAGGATACAAAAAAACAGTGACTTATAACATTAGTTAAGCTTCCCACTGCACCGATATATACCACAGGACAACCAATATTTTAGCCACGACTCCTTGGTATTTTCGATCACCTCACGGGCGGTCACACTCCACGCAACCTCTGCCAAAAACTACGCGAAAAATATGCCATAAAAAGCGCGATCTAAGCGAGTTTAATTAGCTTTCGTGGGTAACAAAGTGCGCAGCAGCAGCGGGCCGATCCGTGCCTCACCCACGTCCGATTCCCGCCGCCTAAGGACACAGAAAAAACCGGCAGGAAGATGGCGGATCCGCTGAGTCTGCTGCGGCAGTACAACATAAACAAAAAGGAGATTGTCGAGCGCGACAGCCAGATTATCTTCGGCGAGTTCTCCTGGCCAAAGAGCGTGAAGACCAACTATCTCAAATATGGGTGAGTAGGGCTACAGCCTGCGAGAATAGCCAGGATTACTACAATACTCCCTTTTCAGCTCTGGCAAGAAGGGCGCTCCACGTGAGTACTACACGCTGGAGTGCCTGCTGTACCTGCTCAAGAATGTGATGCTGCAGCACTCGGTGTACGTGCGTCAGTGTGCCGCCGAGGACATACCCGCCGTGAACCGACCGGATCGTAAGGAACTCCTAGCTTACCTCAATGGCGAGACCCCGACATGTGCCAGCATCGACAAGAGTGCGCCGTTGGAGATCCCCACCCAGGTGAAGCGGGCCGCCGAGGGCGAACCGTCCAGCGTGGAGGTGGCCGCCAAGAAGGCCCGCTTCGAGGAGACCCAGGTGCAGAAGGTGCGCGAGCAACTGGCCGCCCGTTGGGATGTCAACCAAAAGGAGACCGCCGTCAACATGGACAACATCAAGTCGCTGTCCGAGACGATGTCTGTGGAGAAGATCGCCGCCATCAAAGCCAAGCGTCTGGCCAACAAGCGCACGACCATCAAGCGGACGGACAATGACGAGACCATGGGCACAGATTTGCGTGCCATCCTGGACTACGATGTAGACTCCACCAAGGACATCATCAGCAGGGAGCGGCAGTGGCGAACGCGCACATCTATCCTGCAGAGCACGGGCAAAATCTTCGCCAAGAACATTTTCGCCATGCTACAGGGCATCAAGGCGCGGGAGGAGGGGCGCAATCGCCCGCAGGCGCCCAATCCCATCAAGATGCCAGAGCCGGCTCGGATAGCCAAGCCCCAGCCGCAGCTCTCTCAGTACAATCGTTACGATCAGGAGCGCTTCAATCGCCAGAAGGAGGAGACCGAGGGCTTCAAAATCGACACGCTGGGCACGTACCACGGCATGTCGCTGAAATCCGTGACGGAGGGCTCACTGGCACAGCGCAAGGCGCAGGCAAACAATCTGCCAGGTGCACCAAGTGCAATGCCGGGAGCAGCCGCCGGACGGCCCAAGGAGTTGCTGCCCACGGCACAGGCCCGGCAGCTGCCCTCGAATGGACCATCGAAGCGACCCTCGCGAACCCCCATCATCATTATACCGTCTGCCAACACAAGCCTCATCACCATGCTCAACGTAAAGGACATTCTGCAGGAGCTGCGCTTTATGTCCACTGCCGAGAAAAAGCTGCAGGGCTGCCAACGCGAAAGCGAAGTGCTGCTACAGGTGCGTATTTAACTGACTCTAAATTTTATTTAAATTAAATTCTTTCTATATTCATCTACAGCGCAAACGGAACAATCAGACTGTGTCTTACCGGGTGATAGACAATCCCATCAAGCTCTCGCAACAGGATTGGCAGCGGGTGGTGGCCGTGTTTGTTATGGGACCACAGTGGCAGTTCAAGGGCTGGCCCTGGGACGGCAATCCCGTCGAAATATTCTCAAAGAGTCAGTATCAATATTTCCTTTCTTACGTAAATTATTTACTAATTTCCATTCCTTACCCCACTGCAGTTTGCGCCTTTCACTTGTGCTTTAGCGAACTGAAATTGGACTCCAATGTGGAGCGCTGGTCCGTAACACTGCTACGACTCTCGCAAAACAAGCGGCATCTGGATCGGGCCGTGCTCAGCAAATTCTGGGAAACTTTGGACAAGTAAGTGCCTTCATTATTAACGAGAAAAAAAATTTAATTAAATAACTTGAAACAAGTATTTGTTGGTAATAAATTCCTTTAAAAATAACTTGATGTAAACCCGAGCTCTATTAAAAAGTTATTAACACAATTTTAGAAATTATTATTGATTCGAATTATTTTTGTAAACATAATAATAACCACCTTTTAAATGTAATATTTCCAGATATATGGCCAAGTACAAGCCTGATTTGCGGTTTTAGCCCTAACCGCATCCTGTGGACCTTCTGCTGAAGACTCTTTATTGCAATTATGACACCTGCACTGTCCCCAAAACCACTCCGAATTAGTTACCAATATTCTATGCGATCTGCAACTTATTCAATGAAGACCGAGCCGAATGGGGGTCCTTCGGCCCGTCCAATTCCCCTATTAATGATGCATGTTCGCCCGCATGCAGTTAGAGGTTAAGCTAAACAGTTTGTTGTTCGACTTGTACAATGTAAACTATAAAACAAACGGATCAGAAACCAAGTAATTTGTATTCTAAGTGATAATAAAACGTTACAAGCCATTTTGTTTCGGTTATGGAACCAAGAGGTTTACATAATTGACATTTATTTGGCTGCAATGAGAATTAAGTTCTTTTCACACAACCATAAAGGAATGCAGATAATTATTTTAAAATGGATCTGAGTTTATATTCAACACGATAAGGTTGTTCACCCCATCCCCCCACCAAAGTCATAAAACAAAAGCAATCACATTTAGATTCCATTATCTTTGCACATATTGCGAAACTAGTTTATGTGTAGTGTACATTCGTCATGTTAGCGGTTGCTCAGTAAAACTACGATACAGGTTAGCGAATTAAATAAAAAATACTATTTCTCGGCCGGCGAAGGTTGGACTCCTCGGAGGCAAATGCAAGAGGATCTTCAGGAGGCCTGGCGATCGCAGAACTGTTTCTTTGCCGTCTTCAAGGTGTTGTGCAGCAGCATGGCCACTGTCATGGGACCAACGCCGCCAGGAACCGGAGTTATGTGGCCGGCGACCTGGCGTACTTCTGCAAAAAAAAAATAAAGGATAAGAGGATTGGAGACTAATCTTTCAAGTTCAAAAGATTTTGAAGGAGGATCTCGCCACTCACCTTCGAAGTCCACGTCTCCGACCAACTTAAACTTTCCGGTCTTCTCGTCTTTGATGCGATTGATGCCCACGTCGATGACACAGGCTCCGGGCTTCACCATGTCCTTGGTAATCAGCCCGGGCTTGCCCACGGCAACCACAATGATGTCCGCCTGCCGGCAGTGGCGAGCCAGTTCTTTTGGCGGCGTGTACCTGTGGCAGATGGTCACCGTGGCATCCAGGGCCTTGGTGGCATACTTCCCATCCGCGTGCAGCAGGATGGCCATCGGCAGACTGACGTTCTTGGAGCGCCCCACCACCACTGCATTGCGTCCATGGGTCTCGATGTTCTGGTGCTCCAGCAGTCGCTTGACACCGAGTGGCGTGGCTGGAACAATGCCATCCATGTCCAGGGCCAATCGCCCTATATTGAGCTCATTGAATCCATCCACATCCTTGTCCACGTCCACCGCATTGCAGATGGTGCGTTCGTTGATGTGCTCCGGAACTGGCAGTTGGACCAGCACACCGGTCACTCGCTGATCCTTGTTCAGCTCGGCGATCAACTGCAGCAGCTCCTCCTGCGTGGTGGAGGCGGGCAGCCTCTTTGTCTCACTAGAGATTCCCACCTCAAGGCAGGCATTCATCTTGTTCTGCACGTACTTTTCGCTAGCCGGATCCTCGCCCACAATCACGGCCGTGAGATGGGGCACCGGATTGCCAGAGTCCACCAAGTCCTTCAGCTCCTGCTTCAGCTGACCGCGGATCTCCTTGGCGATTTCATTGCCATTGATGATTTGGGCCATGTTGCTGGAATGGAAATCGTACGATTACATATTACTTAATATCAAAATGTATATTTTGATTTCGGACCATGAATGTATTTCTAAAAATGTTATTTTGTCGAAAATACATAGTTTTCGCGATATTCTTGAGCCTAGTAAGCAAGGTCATAAACCGGGAATGTCGCCAAGAGATAACGCCCGGTGCGAAAACCCCCGCCTGGCAATGCGGTTTCGCTGCAGTTCTTCCCCGGATCACATCTGTATGTGTATGTGTCGTGTGATTCACCCACTTGTTTACCAAGAAGTGCGGTCGGGAGTGAAAATATTTTCCTTGTAAATCCCCGTTCTCAGAATGTATATTTTGTTGGGTGCGTTATTCTGTATTATCGGTGAAAAAGCACTTTAATTAATGACCTCATTGTGGGCGCAGGGTGTAATTGTTGTTCAGGGATAAAATCTTATATATGAATGTGGCTCACAAAAATATTATAAATTCTAAATTCCTCAAATATAACAGACAAATATAATACGGCTATTACGCCTATTCAAAGAAAAAACTAAAATCCTCGAAATTTTAAACAAGTTCCCATTTAGAAAGATTTTTCATTTCATTTAGAGATTAGTAGATATAAAACTAAGGTACTTTATTGATCAACAGGTTCAATACAAAATTAAGCTTATCCTTTTTTGAGAGGGGATGGGGTGTACATGGGGGGATTACCCTAAGGGCTAATGTAAATCTCGATCCAGTAGGGCGTACGCCTGAGGCTCGATTGTCTGGAGGGCGCGGATGAATGCGCCAATATCCACGCTGGCGCCGTCTTCCATAATGTGATCCAATAGGCCATCCGCAGTCAGCCACAGGCAGATGAACTGCTCCAGATTGGATTGGCGGGCCACCCGCTTCCACTTTGCCAGTTTGGGATCTGGCCCATGTCCCACGGGTTCGTTCAGCAGAGAACTGAGCTGGTCATACAGGGATTTGTTCTTGAGCAGCAGCTGCAGTTTGTGCCTCGGTTCAGGGTTCATTTGGGTGCCGTCAGAGTCGCGTCCTCGTCGACCGCTGCTTAAATCCAGCTCTACGGAGTCCTCGTCCTCCATTTTGATATCCATCTCCTCGGACTTGATCTCCAGCTGCCCAGCATCGCTGCTCTCGTCCGAGGACGAGTCTATCTCCTCCTTGACCTTGCGCGGAATCCAGGTCATGGCCAGTTCACCCTTCTCCGGATACACCTTCTCCAGCAGCTGCACCACCCGCTCGTTGGCCTTGTGCCTGGCCAATTCGAGCGGGGTGTAGCCGGCTGCATTTCGTGCGTGCAGGATGTCGGTGAGGTTTTGATTCTGCGCATCCAGGATGAGCACCAGCAGCTCCACACTTTGCTCGAGAACGGCCATGTGTAGAGCATTATTACCATCCATTGTGTTGGCTACGCTGATCGAACTCCTGTCATGGCTAATCAGTTTCTTGGCCACATCGTATCTGTTCTGCCGGATGGCCATGTGCAAAGGGGTCAGCCCATCGTCGTTCTTCAGCGAGAGATCCAATCGCAGAGTGGGCATTCCGTTCAGAAAGCTCTCCACGCAGTTCATGCGCTCCTCCTTGACGGCCAAATGCAATGGGGTATTGCCCGCGTGATTCTGCTGATTGGGGCTGCACTCTAGGCCCATCAAAGGACGTATGTAGTGCGGCCGATCCTGCTGGCAAGCCACATGAAGTGCACTGTCTCCGTCCGCATTCAATGCACTGTTGGCCAGCTCACTCAGCTTGAAGTAGTTCATCACCTGTATCGTCTTAAAGGCCAACTTCAGGTTGTCCTTTTTGTAGCTAATCACCTCGTGCAGTAGCGTATCATTATTGTCATTTTGCAGAGCGTGGTTTGTAAACAATTCCTCCACTTGGCGGCGCGAGGTCTCACACCTTGTTCGGCGATCCTGATCGAAGATCTTGAATATAGCACTCAAGTACTTAATGGTGAGGTTTCGGCTTGATGGCCCCTCCGATCGCCCATGACCATCCGCCTGCAGCTCGCCCATGTCCAGATCGCAGATCTTCTCCAGCTCGGCAGAGTTGTGTTCTATAATTTTACGGAAATGATCGGAATTCAACAAATCATCAAGGTGATAGCGTCCAAACTCCTGACTGATTGTCTGATCGTGATGCGAGGTTGCCCCGTTCGGTGGCTGCGCCAAGACCAGAGTTTTGGGCAGATCCAGCGAATTATTGGAACTGACATTGCCGGAACTGCTGCTGTTGGCCGAGGAGCAGGTGCGACGGCGTTTCCTGGACACGATTGCATCCCGCGGCTTGTAGCGGAAGGGCAGCGGTGGGAAGGACCGCTCGTCGTCGGACGGCCGTAACAGCTCAATGGAAACAACCACCTCGCGGTCCACGTCCTTATCTTTATACGCGGGCGTCTGGCACACTATGGCATACTGGTGGTGGACATCCGATTCCCGGAACTTGGCATATGACTCCCAAACGATTTCGCCATCCTCGTCCTCCTCAAAGAAGCGCACTTTGATGTTCTTCTTGCTGACCTTCTCCACCAGCAGTATAAGCTCGTCGTTGCCCATGACTCCGCCTGTGGGCTTGCTCAGCCGGACGATGCGTAGGTCTCCGGTTTGGGCGGACTTCCGGTTGTTAATCGCATTACTGTACACAGGCGGAGCAAGTTGAACCCATGTGCCGTTGTCCTCGATCTTGAATGCCTCAAAGCAGAGACGCACCTAAAACGGGCGCAAATTAGTTATTGCTTTCGGGATGTTACTTGGTCCCATTAGGTGACCCAGGTTAGTTTCTTTATTTATTTGGTTATCTTGCTCAGTTTGCTCAATTTCTTAATAATTCTTTAATTTTCATTCGGAAGTAACTATTTAATTATGAATAAAACAACTCCGAATAACTGAACTTGTGACTACTAAACGAAAGAGATTAAAAGGTGGCAAATGGAATCAGTAATTAAAATAATTAAGCAGACTAAAGTGAGCAGTTAAACAAGTAAATAATTAATGTAAACATATTCACATCACTTAAGTGAGAAACACAGCTTTTAGGTAGACCCACCTGGTTAAGATTCATGTCCTTGGCCTCCCGCTCCGTCTCCTGGTGCAGTTCTTGCACCTGTTTGGTGGACAACTCGCGACGGTTCATCTGGAAGACCAGGCGATCTTGCTTCTTCTTGAAGAGCTCCTCGAAGATGTACTTCTTGGCGGTGTGTATGATACCCATGTTGATGAACTGGGCCACATAGCCGCGATCCTTGGACACGTGCAGATCGTGCGGGTCGCACACGTCCCGCTCGTCCTTGCGCACCACCAGCTGATGGGAATGGGGGCTGTCCAGATTGGTTTGGAACAAACTGCAGCGGATGACGGCGGGTCCGTCGTAGTTGTACAGGGTGACCTCCGGGAAGGTTTTGGGCGTCCTCTTCGAGTTGGCCCCATTCAGGGATCCATGTGTGCCGTGCATCTCGCTCTTGTACCGAAACCGGAACTTCTCCACCGGCTGCTCCACAATCCTCAGCTGCGGCACGTGTTTGTTATCGCCGCCAGCTGCCGGGCTGTTTTGGTGGTATCCAAAGTGCTGGCCAGGAGGAACTGCAGCTGGCGCGCTCACGTAGTACTGATGATCCATGTACATGTTGCCGAAACTCGTGGCGTTCGCAACGGCAGCGGAATTTATCAAATTACTGGCATCCAATTGGCCGAGACCGCCGTTGTTCAACAGCTGATGCTGGTATGGTGAGTTCTGCAGCGGCAGGGGCTGTGGTGAGTTGCCGGTTGGCAAGTTGAGATTGGCGAAATCCGTTTGGAGGGCCATCGTTTCGGGCGAGTGGGCGGGCGACAAGGACTGGGTGGTCGAGGTGGGGGAGTTGCCGCTGCTGTAGCCACTCGTGCTGGATGCATCGTTCATGAAGAGCACATTTTTGCCCTTGTCCAGGTCGTAGTACTGATTCATGTTTGTGTTATTGCTCGTGTCTATCCAATATTTCCTATTTATTGCGTCGTAACAATTTAAAACTGAACCGCTGACTTCGCCGAGCGAAACACTAATGATCGAAATGAGCTGCGCCGATCGCCATTCGCTGGCTATTCGTATTGGGTACTTCCCCGATGTCTCGGCGGACGGGAAATTATCTGCTGCGGCCACGTCGCGATGACTCACGGGTTTTTCAGACGCGCCAATCCGTGTGATTTTTTTGCCTGCTATACTATATAGACGCCTTATTCTCGATTCGCGGGTGTTGTTTACACAGCGAAATCACACTCTATATTCGCACACACAGATAGTTATTCTGGCAACTGATACAGATACATATATGTAAATGTGTGGAATCGCGGCGCAGCGGATCGGGAACTTTGGTGGGCCACTGCTGGAACGAGAATGAGCGTAGCACTGGACAAAATCAAGTAGTAACGCTCGCGAGCAAAACGCTCACTAGCTGATAACAGGTTTAAGCTGTCCGCGCCGAGCTTTCGGGACAGCTTTTCACGTCAAGTACTTTTCACTTAATTAATTTGAATACCTTAATTCAACACACCGCTCGCACACAAGCTTATGTTCATAAGAAAAACGACCTGCCAGAGTTGTTACTGACACGAAATCGAATCGGGTGGCAACGCCCCGATCAGCTGTTTTAAAAATCTGACGATAAACGCGTGATTAAGTATTTATTTAAGTCACGCGTGACTCTTAATTCTTAAAAATATATTACATATTTCTTACGCCTCGTTAAGTAGTTTACAAAACTACGTTAGAGTTTTATAGTGATTCAAAGCTTAAAATTATTCAGTTGCTTTCAGCCCAGCATCGGTTGCAATAAAAATTAAATTTTACTATGCTCCTTTTAAATGATAATAATAATATTCTAAAATCGTATTATTTATGATGAAATGAAAAAAAAAGTTTTGCGTATACCGTGTATATATTTCAATAAAAAAAACAATTTTCACGTATACTCTTACGTCACGCACGCATCTCTAACACACACTTTGTTTTTCTTTCGTTTACCTAAATATCACGGTTTATTATTCTGATCGGATTGGATTCACTTTCTTATAAAAGTACGCACCTGGAAAATGACTTGCCGGAATATTTCCGGGAAGCTAAGCTCACAATAGATCCAAGGGATCGTCGCAGCATTATAGAAAGTGTTTGTATTTAAAACACTCGTGCGGAATGATAGACAAACGAGACATGCGCCAAAATGCGATTAAATACCCTTTGCCACTGGACACACACACAGATACAGTCGACCTGTTGCCAGGCTGTAAAATCAATATATTTATATATTTTCGATTCCGTTGCACTTTTTTCGATTCGGTAAATCAGCCCAGAACTTGACCCCTTTCCACTTCGCGTTGTTCTCTTCCTCTTGTTGCCATGCCCAAGTATCTGTGTGTGTGAGTCTGTTATTTTCCACCTTATCAATCACCGCTTTGTTTATTTTGATAATAAATTAGCAGCGAAAAACATAAACAAATCGGGGTTATTATTAGACAGGCCAGACAAATTTGTGCTATAGTCAGCATTTATTTTTTTTAATCTAGAGACATTGATATTCAAGCGTTGATTAGAAATAAACGTGTCTACAGAATGCCTAAAAGATCTTTACAAGGCAAATACTTGTAATGGAACAGTTTAAATTTCTTCGGTTTAATTTCAGTTATTTTCACTAGCACTTTACCTTTTTTGTGACTTTCTGTTTCTATCTGGAAAATTTTCCTGCTGGAAAATTCGAACTGCACTGGTTAACGAATGGGAATTGACTGTATAGTATATAATAGAACCGATCTCTTTATTAGCCCCCGCACGTGTTGCGAACAAACCCTCGGATTTTTCGTATTTTTTTTGGATAAAAGCTTTTGCGGGAGCGAGAGACCCTGACTTAGAAGTTTCATCTGTTTCGCGTAGAAAGCTTACACACACGTACTGATAAAAGTATACTACAAGAGCCAATGATCGTGGAAACTTAACCGGGAACTTAACCGATACGAAATCGGCAACGTTTGCGGTTCGAAATATTTGTACAAAATGTTCAAATTTCTTTAGGTCCTTACTTTATGTCTTAACCGCTAACAATTGTAATTCAGTTTATACAATATATATTATCGGTTAAAAAACTTGCGTACTAAAATCCTCGTGCGATTACCTTTTTAAATATGCGACACGAGTTATTTTCCAGCAGATTGTTTTTCTTAGACGCGACAGATGACGAAATCTGATTTCCGATTGCTGCACTCGGAGATGTAGCCGGTGACGTCAATTTGCTCCACAGGGGGCCACCCATACCCAACCCCAACGTCTCCCACTGATAAGCCTTTAGATGCAACCCCCTGACCGCCCAATACCTATGTCCTGAGTTATAGAACTGATGCTCGATCGCCTAGTAACTGCCGATCTCTGTTTTTAGTCGGAGGAAAAACAATGCAAGCGTCATTAAAAATGTTATTCGCGGACGAAGATTGCGCCCGTTTTGGGTTGAAAAACATGTTATTTTCGAAAAGAGATCGCCGATAAGCCGAGGAAAGTGCGAGTTGCTGTGGCTGTCCAATGGGAGCGTTGAATCATTAGCCGCCTATTTATTTAAGAGTAGAATTTTTTGATTGAAAATTATATCGAATTGGTTAGCTAAGAAATGTGTTGTAGCATTAATGTTGCCCTAGGTTTTTTAAAAATGATTTCATTAGCTGATCGACAACCGTCTTGAGTAAAAATTGATTTACCCGTTTGCACCGCTTGCCGTGGAGTTTTGTACTGAGTTTTAAGAAAAAGTATGTTCTTACATATAAACCACCGAATCTATTATAGTTGCCAACATAGTTTTTTATTTTTAAAAATATTTAAACTAATTTCCTAAAATTGTTCCAAGCTTAAAAATGCTCTTTCAAAAACCATTCAAATTTATAGAAGGCACTAAAGGTATATTACAATGTAAGCAATCCATATATAGTAATGACTTTTCTTGAGTTGCTTTTCTTAAGAACTTTTGTATCATTATTTTATAGCTACAATCGCGAAATTTATTCAACGTATTCTCCAACTCACCTTGTGAATCGCATCTTCAGGGAGTTATATTATTTCTTGTAATCACTTTAAATTTGTTTAACTTTATAATTGGAGCGAAGGATTTTGCACTGATATGCTTTTAAGATTGTGAAATATTATTAAATCGTTTTTTGTAACGGTTTTGTGTTCTAGCACTTGCTTTGGGACTTGTCGCGTTTGAATATTTAAAAGCATGGATCGGTTGCCCTTTTATGCACGGAAACAACGGTTATTTTTTAGTGGATTTTGAAGTGAAATCGAAACATCAAAAAGCGATACCAGTTTCATCGCAACTTTTTTGGTGTAACTTGGCCCACGCTGATTGGTCACACTGAAGCAAAAGAAAACAAGTCGCAGAATCGCCATACCATTGCAATTTACTCACAATCCTTTGCATCCCTGATGCCCACAGACTGGCGATGAAGCCCCAGACTAAACGAAAGTCCTTCCCCTTCAATGCGCCACCGCCGGGCGGCGTAATGGAGTTCGGATTCGGGAGTTGCAGCAGCAACTTCAATGCGGAGAACGACCTGGCAAAGTGGCAGCACAAACGGAAATCGGAGCAGCAAGCGACGGCAGTGCTGTAAGCTAAATCAGCATAAAATATCCTTGCCCTGACATTTGCGCCCTTTCAGACCACCCAAAATGCTGATCACCGAGGAAAGGATTACTCAGCACTTCAGCGGACTGTCGCTGGACCCGAAGATCAATGTGGCTTCCTCCGCCGTCGGCAGCAACAACAACAGCGTGGCCAGCGTTACGGGCGGCCTGGCCACGGATGACATACCGTCCACCAGCACCGGGAAGACCCATCATCCCAATCCCGCCTACCAAATGGCGGCCATGGAACTGGAGCAGAAGCTGCGCAACGCCAATCGCATTGTGATCTGCGATGGCCTTAAGCAGGGATCTGGTCCCGGGTCGGCACCACCCGTAATCCCACCCGAGTGGCTGATGAAGTCCATACCACGTCCCTGCACCGCCTTGGTGCCCTGGCAACCATCACCCCTACAGATCCCAATGCCGGGTCCTAAGATTGTTGCTCCCCACTCGGTCGCACCCATGGTTGGAGCTCCGGCCGTCCCGGAACTGGACGACTACGACGACGATCTGGAGTTCTTTGAGAACAACAACACGTGCAGTGTGAACCTTAACAAGTCTGAGCAAGAGCACATGGACGAGGACCTGTAGCCCATGGCCATATATCCCTAAAGCATAAGCAGTAACGTGTAGATTTGTATGTCCGTATCCGTAAGAACACACTTCGTAAGAACATACTCCTTATTTTGTATTACTATTGAAAATAGATAGATGTATGTGATCAAATCCGAATGGCCGAATGGATTGTTCGTTAATTTAAGCAAGTGGGCCAGTAGAATCTGGCAACGGCAGACGTGAATTGAAATCGGGCACTAATGAAAAACTAATTTGATATATATTTTGTTCTCAATTTTTAAACGTTTTAAACTTTTAAGTGAATTGAAATGTTTTCAGAAGAGGGGTACGTTAGAGACATACAGATGTGGCGTTTATGAAGTCAAAAAAAAATGAATCTACAATATAAATAATAATTCAATATATGATATATTTTCTTTATTCGCTTACTAATAGATAATTTTTATTGGATACAATATAACTGATTTTTTTTTTTAAACTCTATCGGACTGTCACAAAAGAATAGTTTCCAAGGGGAAATATGGTTAAAGTATCTTTATCTAACTGTAATACTTTTAATGCTTTGAAGGATTACAAATCGAACTTCTATTTTTTAACCTGTTCTGCATTCGACGTTTTTGTCTGTTAAGTTTAAGGACCCTTTTTTTTGCATCCGCTTAAAATATGTTTATAGACTAGTTTTTAAATGTAATGTTTGAATGCTAAAGAAAATGTTAACATTTAACAGATTTAGTATGACCCTTTATTTGGTATTTTCGACGGCGACGGTCTTACCGACACAGAGGTGTTTTTCAACGCTCTCTCTATGGTCATATCGAAAAATTTTTTGAAGAAGTCGGGTCGTTGATGTTCGGACTCCGTATTTTTTCAGCAATTCGCGTACGGAAAAATTTCGAGTACGTCCAAAAACCTATTGAAATTAGTGCTAAGTTGGTAATTTTAATATCGGCCACATACAGATAAGTGTATGCGCGAGTTTGCGGTGCAGTTGGGTTGAGTGCGTGTTCGCTTGTGTGCGCCCACACAGCCAGCCATACGTATTAATTATAATTAAAATTTACTTCATGGCGCAAGCGAAAAGATTGTAACTCGGAGAACGAGAAGCCGAATCAGAACAGAGGCAGGCGAAAAGCAGAGCCACCACCAAACGGAATCGCATCCACAGCGGCGGAAATCTGACAAAAACTAGATACGAGGCGAAGTGCAAATTTAGAATTCTTATTACAAGTTCATGGGAAAGTGGCGAATATACGTGGAGCGCGATAAGTGAGCGTTTTTTGTGTGTTGAATGGCAAAACATCACGTTGACCGATGCACGAAAGAGAGCATCCCGAGTACGCATCGCAGAAACCCACCACGCTCGTTTGTTTTTCCGCTCTCCTCCCACCTTGTTGGGCAGTGGCGTAGCTTCAGGGCAGCGGCACACGTGGTGGGGAGCTGCTCCCCCTTGCACCGGCGAGCCGCTGTACTTGCCGCGTGGTGAGTTTGCCGGCTGGGGCTGCATGGTGGGCTTCTTCGGTGGCGTTCTCTTTATCGCCCGCTCATTCGGCGAAAAACCGTATGTGAGTGAGGTTGTCCGTTGCTCCGGGTCGCGCGTCGGTCCGACTGTGTGTGGGTGTGTGTGCGTGCGCTGGCCGTTCAATTTGTGTGAAGTAATAAGCGTAATTAGTTTGCTGGTGCGGCGACGACGGATTGCAAACTGCTTGAAAACGCCACTAAACGTCTGACGCATCATCTTCATCTCCGATTTTGCGATTTTGTGATTTTGCAGTTGAACCTGGCCAATAGAGTCCCTCGAGTGGAACCGAAACGAACAGCACCAGCAACAACAACAAAAAAGAGGCAGCGATGTCCACCGCCGTTGAAACGGGGTCGTCGCCTGCCAAGAGCAACAGCAACAACAATAGCAGCGGCGGCAACAACAGCGGCAACGGCAATCCCAGTCCAAATGCGAAAGGCGTGCAGCGGCGTCAACTGGTGAGTACTGCTCCCCTTTCCCTCAAAAGCCTACCCCCTGCTACACCCACTATACTATCAATAACCGATAAAGACACGACAATCTACGGTGGCACTTCCCTAAGTTGCATTCTTTGAAATAAAATGTCGTTGGGTCCAACTTAAATAAACTTTCGAAAAGGGGGGTTAAGGTTTCAAAAATATTGTGCCCACTCGAACAAAAAATCTTTTTTGTTGACCGTGTCAAAAGAACAATTTTTGAAATACTTTTTTATTATTTTATTTTATTTTTTGAACAAAAGCAAGCATACCTTTAAAAGTAATACCTCACAATATTAAAAAGCAGCTGTCATCTGCAAATTAACAATCGTTTATATTAAAAGATACTATTGAAAAAATGGGCATAATAATAATACCCTGATCTCACAATTATCCATTTGGATAGTTCGCCATACGGAAATTCACCTGTAACTGTGATTGATAAGCCCGCCGAGCCCCAATAAGTAGATGATCAGCAAAGAGTGCGAGCAAGAGATAGCAAATTGGTTGTGGAAGCGAACGTAAAACTCATCATTAATCGGTGGAAATAAAATGCATGCTCACCCGACCGCCCCACCCCTCTTCCGCCTCGCGCACCTCCAGTTCTTGCCTCTTCCATTTTCCTTTGCGCCAGTTGAGCATTGGAGCTCAACTGAGGCCGCATGACCAAAAGCAATGAGCTTTATTTGCCATATTCGCTGTTTGTTATTCTCTTCTTCTCGCTATTATTGCCATTGTTGTTGTTTGCCTCGCATTTCGTTTTCAATTTGCCATCGGTGTTCGTGGCGTTGGTGTGTGTGTCTGTGCGAGGGTGCTGGTGGGTTTGTGTGGTGTGTTTCTGCTTCGGTTTCTATTCCATATCGTAGATAACAGGGCATTGTTGCGTTGTTGTTGCCCAACATATTTACATACGAAGTGTGAGCTAGATGGGGAAGAGGGAGCAATGCTGACGTTGACACTGCTATTCACAGATAGAAAAAATGTATATGTCATTTCAGGCCATATACCTTCCAGAAACATTTCTATAATATCGTAATTTTCGATCAGGTCAATTTAATATTAAAGTATCAAATACGTACATATATAAAAATTTATGGGCCTTCGGTGTCTTTCGAACTCATAGTTTTAATCTTGATTTAACATTTATCCATACTTATCTGCGCATTTTACCAGTTATCGAACTTAGTTTTTTTCAGTGTAGACAAAGTGATGCGTGGGTGGTGGGTTAAAAGGGTTACCCCACCGATTTCATATCGTTGGCCAACTCGAAAAGTTCACGTTCACAGTTGCCTCAGCCTGCGCATTTGATTAGCACCAAAATTGGATCAGCAGCTGCTGGCGCTCGTCGCGTTCCGTTAGCTGCGAACGATGACGAAAAATTCCCGCCCGGCACTTGTCGTCGGATTTCCTCTCCCCCTGCTACACGCACTTATGCGCTTTGAGTGTAGGGTATATGCATTTCATTTTAACAAGACCGTGTTTATTAACAGTGGGGAAGTATCTATTTGATACGAGTCTATAAGACAAGTTAGGAATCTAAACTTCTAGGTGCAAACATTTTAGAAGGCTGTCGCAAAGAAGTACAAAAGTGCAGGGTAACATATTTATAAGATAGAAGGTCCTTATTTCAACACCTTCGATTTCTACAAAATACATACATAAACATATGTCTTACACTTGAAATTCTTGTTAGGCTCAATGTAAATTAATTAAAGACAGTTTAAGTGATGCTCGATCACACAGATCTTTGGATGGATATATAAGCTCAGCCTTGTCATTAATTAAATCGCAGGTCAGGGTATCTTAACAGTCGCCAATCTATATAAACTCCGGTTTGTCTATCTTTGCATATTGAAGTGGCTCGCAGGCGGAGAAGAGCGAACGCCCATTAAAAATGTATGGATTGGTGGGGAGTGGAGTGGAGTGAATATCTCTCATTACGGTGACTAACGCAAAGAAAGGGAGGGAGCGAGCGGAAGGAGGAGTACAGCAAGCACATGGCAGATAAGGGTCCGCAATTAGCACCTTAAATAGAATACATTAGGGTGCCCAGGTGGCCACCTGGAGAGAGAGAAAGGGGGCTTAGGGGCAAGTGGGGTGGTGAGGCGGTGGGGCGAAGGTGACGCCACCACAATAAGAATACGAAACCACTTGACTAGATTTGGATTTTGGCTTTCTGTCTTACACGCAACTTTTTATGTGGTTACGACTGTCGTTATTGCTGCTGGCCTGCTTACACTTAAAGAAATCTATGATCAAATCAAATATTTGTGATGATTTTACATATCATTTTCAATTAGATAGAATTCTAATTTAATTTGGTATTATAATATTAAATATTCATAAAGTTGAAAATAGTTTATAAATTTTTTCGCCACCGGTGGGACTTGTGCTAGGATGCTTTACGCCCTAGCCTATCATATTATATCATCTTACGTGACCCTTAAACGATTTCATTTATAATTTACATTGTTCAGAAATATAAATGTTATAAAACATGCAAATATCCAATAGGCCTACTTATTTTTCTCTCTGTGTGGTCACGGCTGTCTTTGTTGTTGTTCCCTCTTCTACCTGCCGATTGTTAATCGGCCAGACACCAAAACAAGCTTTTCAGCCAAGAAAAAACAAACAGTAACAACAGCCGCGCCGCAGCAACAGCGTGGCCACAATGAAAAGTCACTAAATATCGTTTAGAACATGCCAAACAAGTTTCAACATTTCTGTGGGGCAAGCCGCTTAAAAAGGATATGTCACACACACATGGACACACGGCGATACAAACAAGTACAAACACAAACGGGGGGCAGGCGCATCCATGTATATAGATTTTTCGTTGCAAGCACGCCGCTACTACCCCTCTCCCTCTCTCCACTTGCAGCAGCCAAAATAAACTCAAAGCAGGAGACATGGCAATGCATTTCATATATAGTATCTGTTGTTTCTCCTCCTCTGCGCTCCTCAGAGCAACAGTCTCTCATCTCATCGCATCTTTGAATCTCAATCTCTTAGATTCTCCTCTCTGCCGGCAATGCACCACACCAGTGCAAAAATAAAAAAATAACAAAGCATTCGCATGCAAAGTGCATGCGCACTGATGGGAGACAGCAATAGCAACAGGAGTAGAGAGGGGGTGGAGCAGGTCGTGGTGGACAACGCGAGTCCCGTTGCCCTTTGCCAACCAAAGTTGACATCCCTTGCGAGCAAATTATAAATTTGTGTAAGTCACTGATAATTGAAATGAAATCAAGAGATAGCTTTGGTTTTGATTAGGCTTCTTTTAATTTGACTTGCTACAAAATTAACCCATCTTGGAAATTTTTAAAGCTAAAGTAGTTTTAACAATGAGGGCGACGCTTTCAAATCTAGGACATATATTTTACATTTATTTATTTCTTAAACTTTAAAAAGGCAAGATTTGATGAGTTCATAGCTGAAACCGCTAAACTGTTGCCAAGCGATAATTGGGTCGGAAACTGCCGGAAAACGTATAAAATTCGAATGGGATGGCAAGCGGAAAGCTTTTCAGTTCAAACTCGTCAACGGTTGTCAGAAAAGTGAGAATGAAAACGTTTTGATCCTAAGATATTTATATTATGGTTTTTGGGAAAAATATTCTGGTAATATATCAAGTATCCAAATGGTTTTCTGTTGTGGTTATTCCGTCTTTTTAATGCCAATCAAACGTACAAGCAACGAGATTGAAAACTCGTCGAATGAAAAAAGTGAGCTTAGCATGTTGCTTAAATAGATTTTTTACCGCTCGCTCTCCCGCTTAGTCGCTCTCTCCTAAATTGTGTAGCTCTTCGCTTATCTCTCTCCAACTGTGCACTTTCAAATAAGGTCCCCCAGCGATATGCGAAGAAGAATATAATACCTTATAATTTGAACCCATTTGGTCTTTTCATCATCTCCAAGTAACTAATTAATCAATCATAACAAGCTCAGTCCTGTTCCTGTTTCCAAAAATGTCTTTCTTCGGAATGGGTAAATTTAATTTGTTCATAAATCTTAGCAAATTGATTTAATTGAAAAAAATGTTTGTTCTCAAAAAAAGATTACGATAGTTTTGAGAATTTTGACATCCCTATCTGCAAGCAAATGAAATCGAAATCACGAATATGGGAGAGTCCTCCAAGCAAAGAGAGAAAGTAAAGGCGAGGGTCAATGGGAGAGTGAGCGGGTAGGTCCAGAGAGGCAATCACTGTGGTGAAGAGAAGAGCAAGTGAATCATTTTGTTGGCGTCAGCAGAGTCGCCGGCCGAGGCAGCGCCAGCGCCCTCCGTTCAGGCGGTGTATTTTTAGGCATTTATCACTCTTCTCTCTGAACGCTTTTAAGAAGGCACTGGCACTCTATCCAACTCAATTCTCTCTCCTTGCAGCGTGAGAGGAAGCAGCGCAAGCTCTATCTGGAGGAATGGTCACTGGGAGACGAGGATGGCGAGGGGACGAGGGGCTTCAGCGTTGCCGAGAAGCTCGAATCTTCGAAGTTCGCGCAGGCGGGAATGGTTCGCGAGATGCGCGGATGCGATCTAACCGTCGCGTAAGTATCTTAAACTTTTGCAGTATTTATCGCTTGCTAATCACCGGTAATTATCGGTGTGATACTTGACGGAAATGTTTTTTTCCATTATTTTATGACCTACATTAAATGACAGATGTATTAAAATAACTAGAACAAGATCGGTTTTATGTAAGGCTTCTTACAAGACCTATTTACTGTTCTAGTCGATATAAATTAATAACTTGTATAGTTTATTGAATAAAAAAATGCTTTTAATAATTTTATTGAAAATTTATGAGATTATGATTGTTAAAATCCAGATTAGCAGACAAAAAACTATTATTCTTTATTTTAACTTTATGCATAATGTAATATTCCGGTTATTCCTGCTTGCGCACAGATTCCTGCAGCAGCACGGCTTCAATATCCCGCTTTTGTTTCGGGACAAAGCGGGATTGGGTCTACGAATGCCCGATCCTCAAGAGTTCACCGTCAACGATGTGCGACTGTGCGTGGGATCCAGGAGACTGCTCGACGTCATGGACGTAAACACGCAGAAGAACCTTCAGATGACAATGAAGGAGTGGCAGCAGTACTACGACAGTCCGCAAAAGGACCGCCTGCTCAACGTGATATCGCTGGAGTTCTCGCACACCCGCTTGGACAGGTTCGTCCAGAGTCCGGAGATCGTGCGCCAGATCGACTGGGTGGACGTAGTGTGGCCCAAGCAGCTAAAGGACGCCCAGCGGGAGGGCACCAACCTGCTGGGCGGCATGATGTACCCAAAGGTGCAGAAATACTGCTTGATGTCGGTGAAAAACTGCTACACGGATTTTCACATTGACTTTGGCGGGACATCCGTTTGGTATCACATCTTGAGAGGGAGCAAAGTATTCTGGCTCATTCCACCCACGGATCGCAATCTTCAGTTGTACGAAAAGTGGGTTCTCTCTGGAAAACAGGCGGATGTTTTCTTCGGTGATACCGTTGAAAAGTGTGCCAGAGTTTATCTGACCGCAGGGAACACCTTCTTTATACCCACTGGATGGATACATGCCGTTTACACGCCCACCCAATCCCTCGTATTTGGAGGGAATTTTCTCCACTCGTTCGGGATTGTTAAGCAACTGAAGACAGCCAGTGTGGAGGACAGTACGAAGGTGCCCCAGAAGTTTCGCTACCCCTTCTTCACGGAAATGCTGTGGTATGTCCTGGCTCGTTATGTTCACACGCTGCTGGGACACTCCCACCTGGAGGGTGAAGCCTCGTTGGGCGAAGATGAAATGGCTGCCCGTCCGCACACCCACCTCACGCACTACGAACTCTTTGGACTTAAGGAGATCGTGATGTACTTGTACGATCTTCCGCCGCAAAAAAAGAATGTTCCCAGTTTGGTTCTCGATCCTGTTGCACTGATTAAAGATGTTCGATCGCTTGTGGAAAGGCACTGCAAGGATCAGCAAGATCTTGCCATCACGGGCGTCTCCGTGCTAAAGTCCCCACCAGGCTCGCAGCCGCCCTTCTTGCTGTACGATCGCACACGGGTGAAGCAAGAGATAAAACAGGAAATCGTGCGCAAAAATGCGGAGGTCATTCGGGAGCAGCAGCAATTGGAGGCGGGTAGAGCCAGGGAGGCCGAATCGGATACATCTCAGTCCACTGGAGTGGGATCTGCAATGGGAATGGGAGCTGGGATCGAGTATAGCAATGGAGTGATGAAGAAGGAGCAGCTGGAGAACGGTAGCGGAGTTGTAGTCGGCGGCCACGGATCGCAACCAGGTGCGTTATTTACTCATATATTTTAGAGTAATATTGCAATGCTCTATATTTTACAGAGGCCACCTTTGTCCTTCCCACCGATACGCTTAAGTATCGCCCACCCAAGAAGATGCATTTGGCCACCGCTTTAGTGGCAGCCGCCGCAAGCAGCAGCAGCAGTAGCAGTGGAGGAGTAGGAGGGTCAGTTGCAGGAGGATCTCTTGTCGTAGGAAGCAGCCACAGTCCCACTGGAGGAGGAGTAGGACCTGGCCCGGGAGTAGGCGGCGCCATTAGTGTGATTGCCACCAGCTCCAGCTACAGTGAAGGAGGAACAGTCGGAGCTATCCCCAATATGGACAATTGCCCATCTCCCGGAGACAATGGTGCCAAACTGTCGCCAAACCTGACTGGTACCGGACAACCACGCCGCCGCAGGACGCGTTGCAAGAACTGTGCCGCCTGCCAGCGCTCCGACTGCGGCACCTGCCCCTTCTGCATGGACATGGTCAAGTTTGGAGGACCGGGCCGTGCTAAGCAGACGTGCATGATGCGTCAATGTTTATCTCCCATGCTGCCAGTTACGGCACAATGCGTCTACTGTCACCTGGACGGCTGGCGCCAGACTCCAGTCTCGCCACAGACCAAGCAACTGGCCTCCGCGGATGGGCCATCGGCGCTGATGGAGTGCTCCGTGTGCTACGAGATCGCCCACCCTGATTGTGCACTGTCGCAGCTGGACGGCACGGAGGATGCGGCTGATGCCAAGGGGATCGTAAATGAGGATCTGCCCAACAGCTGGGAGTGCCCCAGCTGCTGTCGCTCCGGCAAGAACTACGACTACAAGGTGAGAGTTTAGTATTGTACATTTTAACTCATATACCCTTTCCTTTATTTCCTTTATTTCTTTTACTTCTTTTTGTTTTTGGAAATGTACTAAATAACGTTTTTATCTCCACAGCCCCGTCACTTTAGAGCGCGTCAGAAATCCTCCGAGGTGCGACGCGTTTCCGTTTCTCATGGTCCTGGGGGAGGAGTCGAAGGCCACGCGGAAGGAGCTCCCCTGCTGCCGCCCCCGGTGGGCCAGTACAATGACTTTGTCTTTACGAGTGAGTCTGAGTTGGAAGCGGGGACACACGGCGGGCACATGACACATTGGAAGCACGGGATGAAGCGCCACCACCAACTGGAGGTTAAAACGGAGCGGAACAACAGCTGCGACACCCCATCGCCCGGAATCTCACCCAATGCCGTTGGCGGCGAGTCCAAACTGGGGAAGCGGCGCAAGAGCGACGATGGTACCATCGTTAGTAGCAGTATGCACGAGAGTAATGATGCCCCGTGCGGTTCCTCGGCGGAGGGACCTGGAGGAGTAGGAACTGCCAGCATATCTACCAACCAATGGGGTGGCAGTGGCGGAGGAGGTGGTTCCCGCAAGAAGAATTCGATCCGTTCGCAGCTGGCGCAGCAAATGCTGAACTCATCGACACGAGTGCTTAAAAAACCTCAGTATGTGGTGCGTCCAGCGAGTGGAGCCGGTTCCTCTTCGTCCAGTGGAAACGGAGGCAGTGCGTCCGCCACCAACGGACTCAGCAACGGAAGTAACCAAAGCGGAGTCAACTCGAGCGGAGGAAACAATGGCGAGCGAGGAACCAATAACGGAGGATTGAGCGGATCGAACGGCTTGGGAAATCAGCACCACGGATCAACACAGAATCTGGCCTTGGATCCCACCGTGCTGAAGATCATTTTCCGCTACCTGCCGCAGGACACGTTGGTCACCTGCTGCTCTGTGTGCAAGGTGTGGTCCAACGCTGCCGTTGATCCCGATTTGTGGAAGAAAATGAATTGCTCTGAGCACAAGATGTCAGCGTCGCTTTTGACAGCGATTGTGCGCCGGCAGCCGGAGCACCTAATCCTGGACTGGACACAGATTGCCAAGCGGCAGCTGGCGTGGTTAGTGGCCCGCCTCCCGGCGCTCAAGAATCTCTCGCTGCAGAACTGCCCCATCCAGGCAGTGCTGGCGCTGCACACCTGCCTCTGCCCCCCGCTCCAAACTCTGGATCTGAGCTTTGTAAGGGGATTGAATGATGCTGCAGTTAGGGACATTCTTTCGCCTCCAAAGGACTCGCGACCTGGTTTGAGCGACTCAAAGACGCGGCTTAGGGATCTCAAAGTTCTAAAGCTGGCGGGAACGGATATCTCCGATGTGGCTGTGCGATATATCACTCAGTCGTTGCCGTACTTGCGGCACCTGGATCTCTCCTCCTGCCAGCGAATCACGGATGCGGGCGTGGCGCAGATAGGCACCTCCACCACAGCCATTGCCCGCCTCACGGAGCTTAATCTGAGCGCCTGCCGGCTCGTATCCGAGAACGCTTTGGAACACCTGGCCAAGTGCGATGGACTCATCTGGCTGGATCTGCGTCATGTACCCCAAGTGAGCACCCAGTCGGTGATCCGCTTTGCAAGCAACTCCAAGCACGATTTGTGCGTCAGAGACATCAAGCTGGTGGAGCGGAGGCGAAGGAACTCGACGACAGTGGCCAGAAGCTGGCACCCTGCCTGAGCAACTGGCGGTTGGAGGAGGCCCAATAAATCTTAATCATATGCATAAGAACAGCACTCGTTCTAAGCCCCGATCCTCTTACCATAAATCACCAACCCTTTGCCGGAATGCAAGCCAAAGAGAGTCGTCGGGCCCTTTGCATTGCGTGTGGTTATGTTTTTAAAGCTAAGCTAGTCAGGACTGGGGGTTTCTTCCGAGTGTCCGTTTTCCGAAAGGTGTTTGCTTATTGAAGGTCACTGATGAGGATGTTTGGCGGCATCCGAAATATGCAAATATTCTCGAACTCGCTATCTGACCAGCCCATATCTGTGTCTTGTAGCTGTTTAACTAACTTTAGCGAATTAGGATTTCTTACAATTTAGATTTCATTTATTACCTTTTAAGGTGCAATTCATTTAACTGTTTTCAATTAATTCTTTGTATCTCCATTTTAATTATACAACTTCCGGAGGTTTAGGAATCTCAAACATTTCATTTTTTCGAAGAACAATCAATCTTCATGGTTTCATTATTTCTTAGCGAGTTACAACTAAGCTGATAAAATCTCTGTGGAATTCTCAGTTTTTTTATGTTGCCGACTTTGGTTTCCTATTTTTCTGAACCATTTTGGGCAGTGTGAAGGGCAGAGCTTCGGTTTTTCCGAAGATAGATGGCAGCCATCCCTACGAATCCCCGTTTTTACAGGTCAGCACCACTCTCACACTCGGACTTAGCGTAGTGATTAAGATTAGCATTCCCGCGATGGTAATTACATTTAATCAGTGTCATATATTTAAGTATGCAGACAAGTTAGAAGTTAGAGAGCAGCACTAGGTGCACCGATCCAGCTTAAGTAGATCCAGCTCGCACAGCAATTAAGAATCACAGGCAGTGCGTTTCGGGACTGTAAGAGCAGTGCAACCAAACGATGAAACCGATTTTATTTGATTGTCGAACACCTTTAAAACTTCCCAAAATTTTGCCTTACTCGATGCAATTAAAACACGAGCGTTGCATCTTACAGTTCTGAATCCCTCTGTACCAGCGCTAAAGCCGCAGATAATTGATAAGTCATCCTGCCAAGCTCCCTAAGAAACCCCTCCCAATTCCCCAGTAGCAGTTAAATAGTGATAACGTTGCTAAAATATGTATTTGAGAGTATGTAAGAGTAATACAAGTAAGCCCATACTTATATTTAATGTTTTACATAATTACATTACAAATATAGAATAATGTTTCAAGAATTTCTAGTACTTGGATGACTTGTATTCGGGCTCATCACCACCGCCACCTCCTCCATCCTTGGGAAGTTTTCGTTTTTGAATGATTGTCTGGAATGAAAAATGATAGAACGGTTAATGGTAGTGCTGACCATGATCAAATTCATTGTTATGCAAACCTGGATCTTTTGCCACTCCCTATCCAGCTCTGCCTTCTCGTTCTTCTCCGTCTTGTTCTTGCGCGTCTTCCGGCCGTCCTGCATCTTGACGCCGTACTGGAAGGCGGCCTTGGGCAGCGCCTCCTTAGTGCTCATGTAGTCCGAGTACTCCTCCTGCGTGTCAAAGTCCCAGCGCCCAATGGGTCCCTTCTTATTGCCCAGATCCATCTTGGTGTAGTCCACCTCATCGTCGGAGTCGTCGATGGCGTCGTTCATCTCCTCCAGCCCCGGATAGCACTCGGCGTAGCCCTCGGGCTCGGCAAACCGTGAGGCCATTGCCTTGGATATCTTGGGTGGCGGGGGAATGCTGGAGATTAGCGGCTCCTCAGCCGCCTCAGGAGGAGCGTCGCCAAAATAGGAGACGGCAGGTTTTCCGGGCTCTTGTCTGTTGCGATCCCCTCGCGAGGCAGTGGGTTGGTAGTCCCCAACATCGTCGTAAATGTTGTCGCCCAATGGAGCGGATTTTCCCTCCTTGTTGGTGGATGAGGAGGAGTTGGGATGGCGATTGTTGCCACCACCGCTGGACGGTCCCCGTAGGTTTTCCACCTCCTTTTCATAGAAGAGCGGCTTGTCCTTGTCGCGCTTTTTGTTCTTTTTGTTGCGACCTCCGGCACGCAGATAACTTAGGATTTGTGACAGCTTGTTGATTACAATGTCATTGGTGGTCAGCGTGGCCACATCCTCCCGAGCCACCGGAACTTCAAATTTGGAGCGCTTTAAAGTGGTTGGAATATCCGATTCACCCAGCTCATCATCCAGGTCGATGACATAAGCCATCCGTCCCGGAGCGAAGAGCTCGTTGCGAGGAACTTCTTTGGATCGCCGTGCCTGGACTAGATTATAAATGTTACGGGCCAGCGCGCCGTTAATGGCATTGATGTCCTCCGACTCCCGGCGCTCCGCTTCCAGTTGCTCGGCGGCGGCAGCTGCTTCGGCCAGCTTTTCCCTGGCCACGGCGGCGGCTATCTCCTCCTCCTCCGCCTCCTTGGAGTGCAGCTCGGAGCGCACTTTCTGCAACAGGGCATAATCCAGACCCTTCACCAAATGCGTGTGTTGTATGTCACCGCCCAAGAACTTGGATTCCTGAATGATACGTCTCCTTCGTTCTTGCGCATCGATTCCCGACTTCATATCTGGGGCTACTGCTCGGTAAGCATTGGTGCTGCTTCCATGACCCGGCGTGCTCACGTTCACGTAGTCCGGATTGGCGCCATCGCGTCGCTCTCGTGCTCGGTCCCTGTACTTTTCCGATAGCTCCTGCAGCTTCACATCCTCCTGTTTTTTTAGTGCCGCATAGAAGTTTTTCTTCTTGCGCCGCAGATCGTTCCGTTCGCTGCTGCTCTGGCCCTTCTTCTTCTCGCCACTGGATCCGGTCGAGCCGGGGGCGGCGGAGGGCGTGGCAAAGGTGGCCGTGGCCAGAGATCCTCCGCCGGAAGTGCTGCTCGTCCCAGAGCCAGGAGGTGGAGCACGGGGCGTGGCCAGCAGCTTGCGGAAGTCATCGTTGGTCAGTCGCACCGAGGGCGGCGCTTCCAAGTGGGCATCCGACATGGTGAAGAGGTGTCTCCAGGAAAAATCGCAAGAGAAAATCTATATTTACAAACTGTGCTTCTTCTTGGCTTTCCTCGCCAGGGTTGTCAGCCCGGTGGTGTGTTCTCTGCTATCGATTGTTGGACTAGCTGAGACCGATAACATATGCTCTAGCTTCTTTTCCGTTAAAAACAGCTAGATTTAAAAAAAGGAAAGTTAGAAATAAACTTCATTTAAAATACAATGGAATCATAATTTAGAAAAGGCTTTAGGTTTGATCTCGAGAACTAGCCAATTTAAACTTTAATTTTAATTTTGAATGTATGTTTGTATTCAGTTGGCAGCACTGCCGACACACCAACTGATCGGCGATTGAAATAGATTAATGTTATTATTTTTGTTTTATTGAAAATGAAGCAATTTCTGAAAGGACTCCCCAAAGTTGAGCTCCACGCGCATCTGAACGGCTCCCTGGGAGTCGATAGCCTGCGTGATCTCGCCGAGCGGTTGTATGGGTCCGCCCCAGAGAAGTTGTTGGAGCTGTGCTTCATCCGATGCGAAAAGGATTTGGATGCCTGCTTCGAGACGTTTAAGTTTGTGCACGAGTTGACCGCCACTGCGGAGGGTCTGCGATATGCCACGGAGCTGGCGGTGAGGGATTTCGCCCAGGACAATGTGCAGTACGTCGAACTAAGGACTACACCCAAGGCAAACGCACACTATTCACGAAGGGATTACCTGGAGATCGTGATCGAGGCGATCATTGAGGCAAGGAAAAAGTATCCGGATATACTGGTCAAACTACTGCCCTCTATTAATCGGGCGGAACCAGTTGATGTGGCTGAGGAAACTGTTTCTTTGGCAGTGGAGTTGGCCCAATCGTATCCGCATTTGATCCTAGGAATCGATCTCAGCGGCAATCCAGCCAAGGGGAGATTCTCTGACTTTGCTCCTATTATTTCCAAAGCCCGTGAAATGGGTCTAAAACTAGTTATACACTGTGCGGAAATTAAAAATCCGTCAGAGGTCCAGGAAATGTTGGAGTTCGGAATGTCCCGCTGCGGACATGGAAGCTTTCTGACCCAAAAGGAAATTGAGCTGCTCAAACAACGCAATATACCCATCGAATGTTGCCTAACGAGCAATGTCAAATCGGGAACAGTGTCCAGTTTGGAGGAGCATCACTTAAAGAGGATCATGGAGGCGAATGCACCCAAGGTCATTTGCACAGACGACAGCGGAGTCTTTGACACCACGTTGACTCAGGAGTTTCTGCTAGCTACGGAAACATTTGGATTAACCCGAAGACAATGCGTTGATCTGACCTTGGAGGCTGTGCATCATTCATTCGCCACCGACCAGGAGCGAAAGAAGATGGCGGAAAGGGTGGAAAACTACGCTGCCAGCTTGCAAAAATAGGAGCTTCAACATTGTATTTATTCGGTTCTGACAATAGATATTAGACGATTTAAAAAGTAAATACATTTTTGTTGAAATATCTAGTTATATTCTTATTTCCCATAAATTTTATAACGAATTCAACGAGGTATGGGTTACATCATCCATTTTTGCGAAAAATCGACCAAAATTAAAATTTTGAGCTGTGAATCCCATTCGATTGGAAATTTTATAACGAATTCAACGAGGTATGGCATTCCATCGTACGACCATTATTTCTCATGGTTTTGATCAAAAAACCGAAATAAAAGTCGATTTTTCCGGATCCTCCGGATTTTGGCATTTTTCATAAGGGGTTAAATCATCCATTTTTGCGAAAAATCGACCAAAATTAAAATTTTGAGCTGTGAATGCCATTCGATTGGAAATTTTATAACGAATTCAACGAGGTATGGCATTCCATCGTACGACCATTATTTCTCATGGTTTTGATCAAAAAACCGAAATAAAAGTCGATTTTTCCGGATCCTCCGGATTTTGCCATTTTTCATAAGGGGTTAGTTCATCTTTTTTGGCGAAAAATGGACCAAAATGAAATTTTTTAGCTGTGAATGCCAATCGATCGGAAATTTTATAACGAATTCAACGAGGTATGGCATTCCATCGCACGACCATTATTTCTCATGGTTTTGATCAAAAAACCGCAATAATAGTCGATTTTTCCGGATCCTCCGGATTTTGGCATTTTTCATAAGGGGTTACATCATCCATTTTTGCCAAAAATCGAACAAAATTAAAATTTTGAGCTGTGAATGCCATTCGATTGGAAATTTTATAACGAATTCAACGAGGTATGGCATTCCATCGTACGACCATTATTTCTCATGGTTTTGATCAAAAAACCGAAATAAAAGTCGATTTTTCCGGATCCTCCGGATTTTGCCATTTTTCATAAGGGGTTAGTTCATCTTTTTTGGCGAAAAATGGACCAAAATGAAATTTTTTAGCTGTGAATGCCAATCGATTGGAAATTTTACAGCGAAGTTAACTAGGTATGATATTTCAACATTTTGCAATTATTTCTAAGGGTTTTGATAAAAAAAACCGAAAATAAACCTGGTTTTTTTCGGGTTTTTGGCGAACAAAAAAAGAAAATTAGTTCTTTGTTTTCATTTAGACCTTTTTCGCTTTGTATAAAAGTCCAGTGCTTCTTAAAGCATGGGCACAGTGCCTCTTAAACGAAGGGCACAAACTAAGCCCAAGGGTATGCTATAAAATGAATGCGCTTTAGGCCGAGTTTAAAACTGCCAATTTTTACTGTTTTTGATGCCCTTAATGCAGAAATATCCAAACATTAGAATTAAAGAAAATACAAGATGCCTTTAATTTAATTTAGGGTTTAAAATCAAACAAATTTTTTATAACAAAATTTGAATGTAATAATTATTATTTTTGCAGCAATTTTATAGATAGATGTTATAAATGAAATTTTAAAAACAAACGATTTTTGTTTATTTTGAAGCGCCACAATATGCGTTAGTGGGCAGGGACTGCAAAGGTGTATTTTAGCACATTTCCGTTGCGATTCGAAAGCCGAGCCACGGTCACACTCGGCTCGCAGTTGCATCTGGCGGTGTTTTTCGATTTTCTCAGTCCTCTTTATCGCTCCGGCCAAGCGCCATAACTCCACAAAACTCCGGCTGAAATTGAATAAATGTGAGTTTGTCTAACTACGACCGAGCAGCAGCAGTAGCTATCGAATCGAGTTGTAGCCGACAAGGACCGCATTACGACGAAGACAGCGAAGGAACTGCCCAAATCAGGACTTGCGCCGCCGCCGCACACAACGCAAGACCAAAAACAACAAACGACGAGTGCGCTCACACACAAACAGTCATTTCAAAATGGCGCCCACAAAGGCATCAACGCGCGCGACCATCGCAGGCGGGCATCATCAGCTGCAGGCGGGGGGCGTGGCAGGGAATCCGCTCCTGGCGCTGGGCGCCGCCACCAGAAAGGGCCTGAGCCGCAGGACCGCCGCCGGGGGCAACATCGATTCCAACGCGGAGAACATGCAGACGCGCGCCAAACGCAAGGCCGACCACAGTCCCATCAAGAATGACAAAATCAAGCGCTCGGCACTGGGCAACCTGACCAACAATGTAAAGGTCATGACACTGCATCCCGGGCAGGATGAGCAGTCGGACCAGCCGGCCGCCGGCAAGAAACCAACGGCCCAGCAGCTGCAGGCCCTGCTGGATGCAAAGAAACAGGAGAATCTCAGCGTGAACGTCTTTGCCGTCAACAAGATGACCACGCGCGCCTCCAGCAAGGTTGAGGACTCGGTGGAGCACTGCCACAAGGTGCTGGACAAGCTGGAGGAGGCTCTGGCCAGGCCCAAGCCGCGTCCCAAGGCAGTGCCCGCCGGGAAAAAGCCAGTTCTGGGGGAGATTCAGCTACCAGCGATGCAGATCCCCGTGCTGCTGCCGCCCATGCACAACCTGGCCGCTCCCCCGGTGACCGCCATCAAGCCAGTGCGCCGGATCTCCAATGACTTTAACAAGACTGAGGACAGTCTGTACATGTCCGCGCTAGAGGATGTGTCCAGCTGCGATTCCATGCGGCTGTCCGGAAACTTCGAGGCCGCGCGTCGACGCTCCGCCAAGTTGCAGCAAAAGACTGAGCAGCAGCCACAACCGCTGTTGCTGACCCTACCAGAGACTGCTCCCAGCCAGGTGGTGCCCATTCTGCCGGTGCCGCAAGATGTGGAGGACTTCGACCGCAAGAACTGGGACGATCCATTCCAGGTGTCCCATTACGCCATGGACATATTCAACTACCTGAAGGTGCGCGAGCCAGAGTTCCCCATCGCCGACTATATGCCGCGACAGATCCACCTGACCACCTGGATGCGCACGCTGCTGGTCGACTGGATGGTGGAGGTGCAGGAGACATTCGAGCTGAACCACGAGACCCTGTACCTGGCGGTCAAGATCGTGGACCTGTATCTGTGCCGCGAGGTGATCAACAAGGAGAAGCTGCAACTCCTGGGCGCCGCTGCCTTCTTCATTGCCTGCAAGTACGACGAGCGGCAGCCACCGCTGATCGAGGACTTCCTGTACATCTGCGATGGGGCCTACAACCACGACGAGCTGGTGCGGATGGAGCGTGAGACGTTGCGCGTCATCAAGTACGACCTGGGCATCCCGCTCTCCTACCGCTTCCTGCGGCGCTACGCCCGCTGCGCCAAGGTGCCCATGCCCACGCTGACCCTGGCGCGCTACATTCTGGAGCTGTCGCTGATGGACTACGCCACCATTGCGTTCAGTGACTCGCAGATGGCCTCCGCCGCCCTGTTCATGGCCCTGCGCATGCACGGCGGCCCGGGGCAGCTGGACCAGAAGACCTGGAGCCCGACGCTCGTCTACTACACCGGCTACCAGCTGGCGGACTTCGCCGAGATTGTGCCCGTGCTGAATGCCGGACTGCACCGCAAGCCGCGGGCCACCATCAAGACGATACGGAATAAGTACTCGCACAAGATATTCCACGAGGTGGCCAAGGTGCCGCTGCTGACGAACCAGGAGCTCTTCCAGAGCAACCTGGACCTGAACGAAAGCAATCTGTCGTAGGACAGCCTCAAAGTTTAGCCAAATTCACAACGAGTTGCAAAATGTTACGCTTCAGTTAGGTTCTAAGACGCTTCAGCCCCCCTCCCCTGGAATCCCACCCGTACCCGTTCCCGCCTCAAACCGGAATAGACGAAACAGCGGATAATCCCCCTGAACTTAGCCCTAGTCCCTTGTCCCTAGTCCCCCCGCCGAGTCCTCACATTCTATTATATTTTAATTATTATTGTGACCTTTGCATTATTGACATGTTTTCGCATATATATTGTGTTAAGAGTGCTTTTTGTTTCTTTTGCCATTTATTATTGTTTAGTTTTCATAGACGTACCCAAATAATATCAATCTAAACAGGAAAAGCGAAATTATTTCTAGCACCCACATCCCCAACATGTAACCCGATCGCATAACGATTCATGTTTAATATGTACGCTAGTTCTAAGAGATGCCAGCATTTAATAAACCTAACTCGTAAGCCACCAAAGCCACCACATGGATCGCCAAGTAACTTATTCTACCCAGATACCAGATACACAGACGCAAGGATACCGACGACTAACAAAGGCACGTGTGTCCTGTACAACCTGGAAATGCGCCGCGATCAACCCTCGTCCTGTGTTGTATGCCGTGTGCATCTGTTCCTGTAGCCGTGTTGTTAATGCTGTTATTTGTTAAGCCGTTCATGGACTCCCCTCTCCCTCTCCCCAGCCACGCCCCTCGCAGTTCCAATTCCATCCCACCACTTCCCCTCTCCCAGCCATGAATGTTGCTAACGTTGCATTGTTCCAGTAACTAGTTATGTATGTACTCAGTGTTATGTATGTATCGTTTTCCCCAGAGAATACCAATAAACATTTTTACATCCTTTCAAAAAATAACTTAAATTTTATCGTTGTCAGCGGCAAGCGTGGGTAGAGTTTAAAAAACTGAAGATTGATAGTGTTAAGGGCTACATTTTTGAGAAGGCAAGAATACATTTTGTATTTATTATATTTTTATTAGAAATATATAAGATGATCCAATCTGCATTTAGTTATCTTCTAAGGGGTAGGTTCATCAGGTAAGTTCCTGTATGTACCCTTGCTATTTTTCTTTGCCCCACATTAATAAACAAAGCACCACTTTGAACGCCCTAAGTATGTATAATGTAACTTAAACTGAAATCATTCAAAATCAAAGATGAGTCCATACACTATTTGAGGTCAAAGGCTAAAGGAGAATTTCTTTTAAATTCAGGCTCCTTGTGGAGTGAGTAACCAACCCATCTATTGTTTTGAACTCCTCTCAACTGAGTTTGTATCCTTTACGCTCATCTTCGAACAGCTGATAGCTGATGACCTAAGGACATCAAACCCTGTCTGGGATCGGTTCGATTTGCTACAGGTAAAACCCACCGATACCATCCGCCCAAAATCATTCACAGGCTGTGAGTGTGAGTGTGTGTCTACACTCTCGGTTCGAGTTTCCTGCGGTTCCTTGCTTTTGGCGCGCCCGTCTCTCATTTTAGCGCCAAAAATTTGTTAAGGATTTGCGCGGCAGGCTGCGCATGCGCCGCAAGACATCAAGTCGTCGTCTTTTGACTGGGTTTCCTTTCTCTCTGCCGTTCAGGCAGCAAATCTGCTGCACACCGAAACCCAGCCGATTTATGTCGCTGCAGTTGGGCCCGAAAACATACCTCAACTCCGAGTCGGAATGGGTCCTCCCTATCCCTCAGTTGCCGATTTCCTATTCCTACCACCTTTGCCTCGTCTAGAGTCCTTTTTTTCGGCTGCCTGTCAGCCAGGTAGCTCCTGTCCTCTTCAATTGTGTCCTCGCCGGAGAAAATATAATAATAGGAATGGGAATAAGATGTGTATGCATAAGGTTATCTGTCTGTATGGAAGCATGAATGCATGTGCTTCATTTTTTCCGGTTCAAGGTGCAACTGGTAACTGGTAACTGGCCAGCATTGCTAATTATCTTGGTTGGGTGTGCAGAAATCAAGTTTATTTCGCAGGGACACACAAAGAGACGGGCAAAGACAGCTGCCCCTGGCCAAAGAGGGAGCAGCCAACTTATGACTACGACTCGGATTACTCCACGCCTCACTCTCACTCCACCCCTAATCCCGTCCAGCTTCAGTAGGCCGGCGAGTTGAAGGCGCCATTGTAGCCGCCCCCATAGCCACTGCCATAGCCGAAGGCGTTGTGGTTGTTGAGCACTCCGAAGGGTCCTTTGTGGACTCCATCCTCCTTGTACTCGGTGTTCATCGCGAAGTGGTGATCCCAGTGGTTGGGATCCGCGGCATTGTGGGCCGGATAGCGATGGAAGTTCTGCCCGCTTGTGGCCGGAGCATGACCAGCTGCAACTCCTTGCACTCCAGGAACTCCTGCCACTCCTTGTACACCCGGCACACCAGCTACTCCTTGAACTCCCGGTACACCAGCTACTCCTTGTACTCCCGGCACACCAGCTACTCCAGGAACTCCAGGCTGAGCAACAGCTCCAGGAACCACTCCATAGGCAGGAAACTGAGCTGGCTGGGGATAGCCAGGGTACTGTTGCAGGTAGACTCCTGGATAAGGATAGCCGGGATAGTAACCAGGAGCTCCAGCACCACCTGGCTGCTGGGGCGCAACAGCCGAGGGATACTGGGGCGGAACACCAGTGTGATACAGGGGAGCTGCACCCGCAGCAGGATAACCAGGAGGAGCACCAACACCTAAGTATGGAGAGTAATCATAAGGTAAGTAGAAATAATAATTTTAAAAATGTGTTCAAAGCATAATTTGGAAATGTTTTAAATGTTATTCACCAATCTTTCCGATTTCGTTATAATTTGTTGAACCTTCTATTTCAAATTAGGGATTTTCAAGCTGATTAATCAAGGGTTAGAGCCTTCATCAATGTTTCTTAGTGAATAGGTGCTCAATATTTTTGTATACTTCATTAGTCTTACCTGCACTTTGGAAACCACCTGAAGAAGCCCCTCCAGATGAACCTCCTGCAGCCGGATACGGAACTGGAGCCTGTTGAGAGGGAAATCCTGGAGGCGGATAGGCCGGAAACTGGTGACCTCCTGTAATTGTTAGTGCCGGATTGGGAAACTGGTTGCCAGGGAAAACTACAGAGTTCGTACTGGCCACTCGCACGCCAGAGCCACCTTGCTCATGGCCATGGGCATCGTCGATGGATCCCGTGGCGCCCGCGTAGCCCGCTCCCAGCTGACTTGGAGCCGGATACAGTGGCGACCCGAGATTGGCCCGCTGGCGATGGCGGCTGCTGGAGATGCCACCTGTCAAGGTGGAGGCCAGGTTGAACTCCGTCCTCTGATCCTCCTGACTCTCGTCCCTGCTGAATTGTGCCTGACTGGAGGCGACCAGGAGGAGGCTTAGTGCCACGAATGTGATTCCCCTCCTGCTGACCATGGCGTCTTTAGGTATACTAAACCTCCGAAGCTCTCGGCGCGTGTATTTGATGATGAGATGGGTCTGATGAGAGCTTAGCTGAGCGTCTATTTTTGGGGTTATCAACTGGGGCTCAGTGACCAGATAGGTAGTATAAGTCTCATTGAGTGCTATTTGTCGTAGAATGAATGAGAAATTCCACACTGCAAAAATAGCAGAGTTGTTGACTGTTTATTCAAGCAAATGGACATGCATAAATGTATGTATATGTATTAAATGCTTGAGTTTCGGATATTATTAATTGAATATTATTAATTGATATTATATTATTGAAAATGGGTTTGAAGAAAATATACCAAATGAAAAACACATATATTAACAAAGTTGATAACAAATTTATTAATTTAAAAGAAACAGAAATTACATTGTTTTTTGAGTGCAGTATTACATTTTCAACATACAAAGAAGTCCAAAGTAAATACGCAATGAAATTTTGGGGATTTCCCAAGCACTTCAAATCTATTCAAGAATAGTTGATAATTATGCTCTTCCTTATACTCATGTTTTTATAAATATAGAACGAAAGCTTTCTCAGACAACCTTGTTTACCAGTTCGACAGATTAGCATTATATATATATATATATATAGAATTTATTCCAGTAGTCAAGGTCCTTCTACTCGATTCCATTCATCTTTCTTATCGCCACTTTCAGATGGCTATATAAGCTGGAAGGAGAATCCAACTAAACAGCAAAATTAATTCAAATACTCCAAGATGCAGTTGTTGGCTGTGATACTAGTGCTAATCCTGGCCAGCTTGGCCCACTGCCGACCCACTTTCGACAAGATCGCCGAAGCTCTGTTGGGAGCTCTAGACGATCGACCAGGGTATTATCAGAAGGGAGGCGGCTACCCACATCCACATCCCGGACCAGGTCCACTTATCCAAGAGGGCTATGAGCATGGATACGACTACCACTACGGCGGAGGCTATGAACACGGAGGGTACCAGCAGGCACCTCCAGCGGGCTATGGATACTATCCACCACCGCGACCGGTTCCTCCTCCAAGCGCCTACTATCCTCCGTCTGGCTACTACCCACACCCACCGCCCACATCTCCGCCCACTGGCTACTATCCCCACAAGGCGCAGACTCCCTACGGAGGTGGCTACAAGCAGCGGGGCTACTAGCGTTCCCCCTTTAGAACCCAAATCAAATCATGTGCTGTTTCACCGTTTTGTTTATGTGTAATTTATTAAAATGTGGATTTTTTTAACGAGCTTTCAAAACCAGTTTTGGGGTCGTCGTCACAAAGACGATCTTGAGTGGGGTAATTGCACAATGGGCTAAGAATATACAACAAGTGTGGCTCGGGGAATCCCTCCCCAAGAATCATCTCCGTCTCACATCGAAATCTTGCACAGGGACCTCCTCGTTGGGTAGGTGGACATATCTGCTGGAACTGGGGAATATTATGGCATCCTCTTCGGGGATCTCGATTGAGGGATTTGGCAGTGGCTGAGGAGAGGGCCAAGTTGGATAAGTGGGCGGATCCGGATTCTGGGGCGGCACCAGCGGTGGTCGATTGGTGCCAATGATCAGAGTGTCCTTAGTGGGCTGCGTGGGAGGACGTGGCTGGATGGTGGGATATGTTTCCGCCGGTCTGGGACTCGTTGTTTGGACATCGGGTAAAGGCTCAGCTGGAGTTCTGGGAGTGGTGTCTAGATTGGGATCGTTGGGTTCCGGCTGATCTGGGAAGGGTTGGTTGTTGTTCCATTCTGGTGGGGGTTCCATTCCACCTCCTCCGTTCCATCCTGGTCTTGGCGGTGGTCCTTCGCCATTCCAATCTGGTCTTGGCGGTGGACCTCCGCCATTCCAACCTGGCCTTGGTGGTGGTCCTCTCCCACCTCCTTCATTCCATCCTGGACCTGTTCCTCCGCCTTCATTCCACCACGGACCCATTCCTCTGTTTCCATTCCATCCAGGTCTCGGCCTGGGTCCCATTCCTCCGCCACCATTCCAGCCCGGTCGCTGTCCTCCTCCGCCATTCCAGCCGGGTCCAAATCCTTGCTGATCCCAGCCAAATCCAGGTTGGTTCTGGTTGCCACCAGCTCCCCACTGCCAGCCTGGAGGCCAGCCAGGAGGAGCTTGCTGCCGGTTGGGTGGTCCGAATCCTGGCTTGGGCATTCCTCTCCGGTTGGGTCCCTCTCCGGGCCATCCCTGCGTCAGCCTTTCAAATTGCTGCTGAGGCTTAATGTTATTATTGTGGTGCATGGCATTGAGTAGTCCATTGATGACTCCGAGTCCCGGCAGTTGGGCCACCACGGTGAGGCCACCGGGGGAGGCAGCTCCTCCGCCCGCTTGGGAGAAAGCGAACTGGGCGAGGCACGTGGACGGGATTGCGACGGATGCGAAGAGCCAAACGAGGCGGGCTTGGCCGACGGTCCAAGCTACCGGAGATCGCGTCATGATCGTGTGATCGTGCAGTGATCGCCGCGAGAGGCGGATTCTAACTGTGGGGGGAATCTTTGCGCTCCGCCTATGCGATAACCGTTGATGCTTGGGTAAACATGGGAAACCTGTCCGGCGATCAGCGAGAGCATGATTAAGATGAGTACCCGAATTCAGAGAGATCCGATCCGCTCTCTAACAGACGTTTCAACGCGGTCATCACGATCATCACAATTATCTTCAAACCAAAGGTAAACAAAGACCTATCATAGCTCAAACACTCGACACAAAACCGGCATTATTACACTAAGAGAGTATTGATGAAGAAATTAGTTTAAAATTATAAAAAAGGAAAAAATAACATTCTTATATGACTGAACAACATTTTAGAATAATAATACCACCATTGATTAAAACTCCTAAAGTAGATTTTAATCACATTCTTTATGACAATGATTGTGCAAAGATCGCAACTCCAACGATTTATTCAACACATCGGGACTTAAAAAATATAATGGAGCTAAAGCCTTTCCAATTTTGGAATTGAATTCTATTTTAACTTCATCCGATATATTACCTAGTGGAAGTTAATGTCTATATTATAAATAGATGGGGTTGGGATGTCCGCTGTATACTAACCATACTGACCGTCGGCTCAGTCTTCCAGTGAGTGGCGCGTGCTCCGCAAGCTGATCGTGTCAGTCCGTCTGGTATAATAAATCCAGCATAATGCATTGAGTCGCCACTTGCCCGTTGTCCGAGCTAATCTTCCAGAGATCCCGACCGTTTTTATGGGAATAAGAAAACGTAAAAAAAGAATCCATTCAAATGAGCTAGACCACAATGTGTCACCATCTGGGACCATCTACATTCCCCAGGGTATAAATAGAGGAGAACTGCGTAGATCGGCTGCCAGAACTGGAAGTTATTCGAAATAGAAGCAACATGAGAGCCCGATCCTCCCTTTTGACGATCCTAACCTGGCTAATTATCGGCTGTCTGGATTGCAGTAGTGCTCTGTTCTTCAAGTCCTGGAAGTCGGGAATAGGACACGGTGGAGCACGAAACTATGGGAGTTCTGGCTATGGAAACTATGGATATGGCAACTATGCTGGAGGATATGGCAACTATGCTGGAGGATATGGCTATAACTATCCATCTTACCCAGCACATTCCTCCTACTCCTACCCATCATATTCAGCTTATCCAAGCGGAGGACGAAGGCCTTCTGGAAACAGACAAGGACGCACCTACTCGGACATAGCGAGAGTCATCAACCCCGCTCCCTACGTCGGTCCTGGAGGCAGTCGATTCCTGCCTCGCACTCCCTTCTCCCCCCTTTGGGGTTGAGGTTTTCCTTACCTAAGATCGCGTTGTCAGCAGTATTAGCCATTAAAATAAAATCAGCGAAAGTTACATCTATCCGCAAGTTGTTTGATTATTTTAAGCTCTATCAATCCGTTACTGTTAAATACGTGTTTATTAATCTACGAGCAAGAGATTTATGATCACTGGCTCGCATTTACGGAGCAGACGCGTTCACTGAATCGCTGGGACGTGACTTCAATTTAAATGGAATGGAGGCGCGACGCGGCTTGAAGGGAAGACAGGTGTGGGGATTGTTCTGATCTCCCGGTTATTGGGATAGTGGGGTAAGGTCCCTGACTGGGACTTTCTACCAAGTGAGCTCTTCTGGGGATTCCTGAAAATATTATATTTATCATTCACAAGCGATATTGCTGAAGTCCAATGACTTATTTTCAATTACTTTTAAAGCAGTTTACAGCAGTTTGATATTCCATCCTAAGGTAATCGAAAAAGTAATAAAATAAATAATAAATAAATATTTTTATAAATAAAAAAAGTAATGTTTTGGCCACTTGTAAAAAAGAATGTGAATAAAAATCAGTAAATTATATTATTTATATATATGTTTCTACCTTATAAAAGAACTACTAAATTTAAAGATGATTTGGGATGCACCTTTGGGAAAATACTTAGTGAGTTAATCATGCGTTGTATGTATTCAAAGAATTTCACTTATGCATGAAACCATTTCCGGGTGTTTATAGTTATTCTACAAAAACCAAAACGAATACTAGTAAACTGGGAGACTGGTAAATGAATCATTTTATTGGATTATATTGGTGTGAATTGCCATAAGAAATACTTTAATTTCTTATTACCAGGAACTTTTATTCGACTGTCGAAATTCCTTAAGAGAAACACTTGACAGCAATGTTCGGCTGATGTGATAATGACCCAGGGCATCATCTGATTGAACTCATGGCGTACAAGTGTGGTATATATAGCCGTTTTACGAGTCCCCCAACGTATGTACTCGCGATTAAAGCCAGGTGATTCAGCCTGAGATGCAGCTGCTCGCCTAGGACTTCCCCTCGTGCACCGGCAGTCATCGAGGAAGCGAAACCAGAAACCAGATCGCAGCCACCGTTCAGGAAGGAAACCTTCTTCCGAAGTCGGTGTCAACTATTCGCACCGAACATGGCAATTGTTTATGCAAGAATTTGCTAATGCGGCGCACCTACGTCATTGCTTAAGTTTGTCAGAGTCGCTAATTACGATTTAAATACGAACGAGCATTTATGCTGGGAGTGTTGAGTTGTGCCGATAGCGCCACATCATTCACCGCGCAATTAGAGTCAAGATCAGGTGGGCTGTATATGTACATATGTGGCCGGCATAACGGACTGCGGTGTGAATGACTTGGCGCGGACAGCGTGTCAGTAAAAATTGAGAAAAAACAGCAGTGATCATAAACAGCCATATCACACAAAGAGACGAGATCTACGTGAGCGGCAACGCAATTCTGCTGGGGTTCCTGTCCGGGCCAAAACCTGATTGATAAGCCAGCGTCTGAGAACGGCAAGAACCGATCGGCGGGCATCGGATAGCCATATAAATAGGCCGGTCGCGGCAGTGCTGCAGTTCAGTTCTCCAAGCGAAGCCATGTCAGTCCAGGGATTTCTGTTCAGCCTCCTGGTTGCCCTGCTCCTTCTCCTGGCATCCGTTTCCGGATCACCAGCCCGTGGATACTACCAGTCGCCAACGCGAGGCGGTCGCAGCTACACGGACATCGCCCGAGTGGTCAATCCCAATCAGTACGCCTTCCCCGGATCCCGCACTTATCCCGGTCAGCCCTTCTGGCCATCGGGATAGTAACTACATTATGTATTAACACACATACAAGACTCGATTCAGGTTTAGCTAGACAAAGAACTGTCACATCTTGTACAGGAAAATATTTAATAGAATTAAGTCTAAAATTAGTACTATAAACAGTGGCTTAAAACCGATTCCGATGGAATCTCATTATTGATTAAATAAAAATAATTATTATTAAATAGTTATAAACTGAATGAGTTTGTTTTATTTCTTTTGAACAAATTTTTAGTTAGGAATTGCAGCTATGTGTTAGCGAATAAAACTAAGCCAACGAAAGTGGTTCTTAAGTTTTCCTACCTCTAATAATAATTAGGTTTCCGTTAATGGATAAAATGCATTAGCAAGTCACGCCCATTTCCTGCTGTTTTGTCCATCAAAGAAAAGTTGATAGCCACAGAATGTCATAAATACCAGACAGAATTCCAAAAGCAGTTAGTTTAAAAGAATCACAGATATTATCTGTGTATTACACCTCTCTAAAAATGGTTAAGCTGGAGTCAACATCCAATGCCATTTGGTGGATTAAAAATCCCAAGATGGCCAATGAAAATAAGTCCAAAGGTCGACGTAAGACATCTCTGGGCACCGTATTTTGCTTAGATATGGCGGATTTGCTGAGGAATATATCTCTGCAGGGATACAATAAGCTTTTATCTCCGGACTTAACTTTAGGACAAAGGTAGCTCAATATTACTTATACGCAGCGTGTTACAAATAAGTAATCTACACTTTGAATTGGCTCAGAATGATTTGGCTGCTGCTTCATTTGACCACCACCATCTCCCTGGTGGTGGTGCTCTCGCTTACCTGGGAACAGTTCGTGGCCCAATCCTTTGTGACCAATCTAAAGGATCCGCTTTATCCGGTGGAAAACGTTCCCTTTCCTGCTGTTTCCATATGCCCCAACAATCGCATTTCTCGACAGGCGGTGATTAGGTATGCAGAAGAGCTGTAAGTATACGCATTTAATTATTTTATCAAATTAATCTAATTATAATCCCAATAATCCACCTGAAGGAGATTAAACAGTCCTGTGATTCGTCCCGTGGAATACTTTTTGGAGCGCTTAGCCTTCTTTCGCGAGTTTTATGTTCATGTGGGCGCTGTGGTGGACACCGATGACTTCGTTATATTTCAAACCTTCCTCGACGTTTTTGGCACCTGGAACAACGAGACCTTCTTCGACACCCGACGCATAATGAAAATGGTAATGACACTTAAAAAACAAATAAATTAGTAAATTGATTTCCTCAGTTGACCCCTTCCTGTGAGGGATTCGTGCTGAAGTGTAGCCTGGCCAACGTGGAGATCCCCTGCTTCAGCAAGGACGCCTTTCAGGAGAGCCTCACCATGTACGGACCCTGTTGCACCTTTAACATGGAGAACAAGTGAGTGGCGGCTCCTAAATGGATTAACCTATGTTAATTCCAAACTTTGTCAGGTTAAAAAAACGTCACTTCAAGAATCGCCTGGCCAGCTCGGAACTAGGACTCACGGTCGTCCTGAATGACAGCCACGCGGATTACTTTGCCCCCATCCTGAACACAAATGGATATATTGTCCTGGTCCACAATGCCGAGAATTATGCCTCGGTTAGCTCCTCGAATGCACTGGAGATGTTTCCGGGTCAGGGCGAGGACAGCTACCTATCGGTCTACGCTCGAGTGGTGGACACGGACGACAGCTTGAAATCCTTTTCCCCATTTAGTGTAGGTTTTTATATGAATATATTTAGTTTTACTTTACTATTACTCCCCTCTTAAAGCGTCGCTGCTATTTCGACTACGAGGCTCAGTATACAAGCAACGAGCACGCGATGAAGTCCTACACGTACTCCTACAGCTTCCCGAACTGCATCACCAGGTGCAGGATCCGAAGCATCATGGCCCTGTGCCGCTGTCTGCCATTCCAGTTGCCCCTGCAGATGGTGGAGAACCTCGATGGCGTCGTCTACTGCACTTTGGGGCATGTTTCCTGCCTCAATCAGTACATGTGTAAGCGGATGAGTAGATTCACCCACTGAGTTCCATCCATAAAGGCCCCTCAATTCACAGTCAAGTGGCGCAACGTACTGACGGAGAGGCACCTGATTCCCGGACTGGAGCGGGAAATCGAGGAGGCTTTGTACTGCCCACAGTGTCTGCCTTCCTGCAGCGATGTGCAGTACCGGGTGTCGATGAGTGCCCTGCCCATCGACAACTATCTGGCCTCCCTGAAGGTCGATGAGAACAACCGGACGGAATTCAGCACGGGTATCTCTGTGCTGAGGGTATTCTTCGGCGATCCAAATGCCCAGTACTACATCCGATTGCTGAACAACGCCTGGTTCGAGGTGTTCAGTGGGTTGCGGAATGTATATCTTTTTCTGGCATATCATACTCAACCTTCCCAATTCACAGGTACCATTGGCAACATAATGTCCATCTTCGTGGGCTTCTCCATGGTGGCTATTTTTGAGATTCTCTTCTTTCTGACCAAGTACATCTACGAGGGCTGCAATCGGATGGTGGAGCAGAATCTAAACGATCGGAAGGCCAAACAATTGGAAGCCAATAAGCTGTACATATGTCCGTAGACACATCTTAGCACCTGGAAAATAAAAGTCAAAAATAAATCTTTAGTTGTGAACCTGTAAAAGTACTGTATATGTTTTGTTTTGTGGTTAGAAGTTTTGCCTTAACCAACTCCGGGACCAGAAGTCACTTTGAATTTAACTATGACAAGCATGGAAGGGATTGGAAAGTTAAGGGCGGTGAAAGACAGTCGCCAATTGCACTATGCTCATGTAATGTAAGCCATTATTGCCTCTGCTTTTTAGTAATCCTTCTTTGGTAATTAAAACTTCAAAGAGCATTACATGTAATGTCCCTAAATTGGAGCTGATAAACTACCACAACCCCTTGCGCGAACCCTTGTCCGTGATCAACAATGGACTGACTGTCCTCATGAGGATTCCAAGGACTGTGGACGGAGCACAGCCATCTCTTTGTATCAGTAGTGAGTTTGGACACGTCTTTGAGGCCCAGCAGCTGCATTTCCATTGGGGCTCCGAACTGACCAAGGGATCCGAGCACAACTTGGATGGGGATTTCTATGATGGAGAGGTGCACATAGTTCATAAGAACGCCAGCTTCAAAACAAATCAGGAAGCTGCTCAAAATTGCAATGGATTTGCCGTTTTGGCTGTGCTGATGAGAAGCCTCGAGGTAGGGAAAAATTACCTCTATTCTATCCCACAAATCCCTATCTCTGCCTAAGAATCCAGAAAATCAGTCGCAAGCCATGAATGAGATCTGCAAACAAGTAGCCAATATATCTGAATTAGATGATATCCAGACTCTTGAGGAAAGTATGTCCTTGGAAGATCTGATTGTTGGCGTAGACACCCAGAAATACTTAAGTTATCAAGGTTGGTACGGCCAACTTTTGGGTCTTTTGTTTAACATATCCTTTAGGTTCCCTTACTACTCCGCCCTGTGCTGAAGCCGTCATTTGGTTCGTTTTCCAGACGCCTCTGGATGTCTCCAAGGAAGTTGTGAGTAGGCCAAACAAAAACCGTTTTAAATTAGTTTATAACCACCAAGAAAAAAAGAGTTAAAAAGTTCTATATTTATAAACTAAGTCTCTTAATGCATTTGCCAGTGGCAGAACTTCTGGAAGCTGAGGGATTCTCGTGGGCAGCGTGTCCTGAACAACTATCGGGTCCTACAAGATGACCATGACCGACCTGTTTATCTAAGTAAAGGCCAAGAAGTGGACCCATCCGAGTGAAAGTTTAGTCATAAATTGGAAAGTCGCCAAGTGTATATAGTACAATAAATTGTTTAAAGTGCAATTGTTGTTTCATGCAAAAGCTTACCACAAGTGCTTGGATGGAAGCTTTTCGCCGGCCGCCAGCTGATGGCGCCATCCACCCCCAGCCCCAAACATCCGGAAGTGCATTTTCTAGCTGCGTAGCAAATTCAACTGGTGTCGAACGGATGTAATCCACGGGCGTTAAACGCTTAACTGGCCAATAACGATGAAGCGCTTGACCGAGCGAGTGCACCACGAGGAGATCGAGTCCGAGGAGGTGGTCTGGGTGAGGCGGGAGGACGCCCGCTCCGCCAGCAAGCTGCCCATCGTCTACTCCAGGAAGTATGCGGTGCGCTTCGCTGGCCTTGAACGCCTACACCCCTTCGACGCGGCCAAGGGCAAGCACATCGAGAAGGTTTGTATGCATTCCACCTGTGCTGGATCCGCTCCTCAGTCCTTCCGGTTTTTCGCCACAGCTCCTGTGCGCCGAGTTGCAGCTGGACGGCGGCAGCTTCTACGAGCCCAAGGAGCTGAGCAAGGAGCAGCTGCGCCGCATCCACACCAGGGACTACCTGAAGTCCCTGGAGTGGAGCATGAATGTGGCCTGCATCGCGGAGGTGCCGCTGATGGCATTTGTCCCGAACCGCTACATTCAGCGGTCCTATTTGCGTCCCATGCGCTTCCAGGCGGCCGGCTCCATTTTGGCCGGCAAGCTGGCCTTGGACTACGGGTGGGCCATAAACCTGGGCGGCGGGTTCCACCACTGCTGCTCCTACAGGGGCGGCGGGTTCTGCCCCTATGCCGACATCTCGCTGCTCATCGTCCGGCTGTTCGAGCAGGAACCGTCACGGGTGCGCCGCATCATGATTGTGGATCTGGACGCCCACCAGGGCAACGGGCATGAGCGCGACTTCAGCAACGTGGCAGCCGTCTACATTCTGGACATGTACAATGCGTTCGTCTACCCGAAGGATCACGTGGCCAAGGAGAGCATCCGCTGTGCCGTGGAGCTGCGGAACCACACGGAGGATGCCTTCTACCTGAGACAGCTGAGGCGCTGCCTGATGCAGTCCCTGGCCGAGTTCCGCCCCGACGTGGTCATCTACAATGCGGGCACCGATGTGCTCTGTGGGGATCCCCTGGGCAACCTGGCCATTTCGGCGGAGGGCGTCATGGAGCGGGATCGGTTGGTGTTCAGCACATTCCGCTCGTTGGACATTCCGGTGGTGATGTTGCTCAGCGGGGGCTACTTGAAAGCATCCGCCGGGGTCATCGCCGACTCCATTGTTAATCTACGGCAGCGGGGATTACTGAATTATAGGAATCAAAGTATTTAAGATTTTGTATTACCAAGGTAGGAACATATAAACTATGGAAATTGTCAATTTTTGAGAGGATTTGCGTATTTTCTTGCCGATAATTAACAGACTTTTTATTACATGAAAAATGTGCTACTTTGGTGAGCCACAAGAAAATTAAAAAAACAACTATTTTCACTTTCGTTGGCTTACCTAAACCGTTGAATCTTCGCCGGAGGACTTGTGAAACCGAAAGCTGTGAAAGAAATTGAGTGACCTAAATGATATACCTGACAAAGATAGTTCGCAAACAAAACATCGCTTTACACCTTATCAAAATTTATTACACATATATAATTTAAAGTCGTTATAATAATTATTTGTCTTCTATGAAGTGATGATTTCAGATCATTAAGTTCAATATCGCAAAAGATGCAGAAGGTATAAATATATCCATTGTTGTATGATTTCTTGTCAATATTTGTACAGACATCTCTTGGCATTCTCAGAGGTTCAATTATATTTGTTTATCCCTATTTACAATGCAAAACGGGCCGGACAAGTAGAAAGAATTTCATACGTAGAAGTACAGATTTTGTCGCAATTGGTTAAATGTCTATATATGATACAACAAAGTCGCTAGGGGCTAATTTACTTGTTTAAAATACAAAAATACATACAAATAAACGTTTGCTTAATGGTTTAAATTAGACGAGTTAGAATATCATTTTAGTGTCTTTTTCTTAAGTCTGTCATTTGCTTTCAGATCCTATTCAGCTTCCAATGAGCTCCGTCACGTGCTCAGATTTTCTCGAGGAGTTCCACTGACTAACAGGCCGTCGGCAGCGGCAACCTAAAAGGGCACGCATAAATCAGGGTGTTTAATGGATCGGTTTACCACCAACTAACTACTTTAAGAACTGTAAACGTTAATGCATGCAGAAATCTGTGGAATGAGCAGTTGAACACGATGATGTCGTCGCTGTGGTACTTGTGACATCAACCAAATAATCTAGAAACAATAAATTTTAAATAAATATTACATGGAAACAAAAGATAAGACTAGGTCCTAATGATGATCTGGGTTGTGGTTTCCCGGGAAACTGATGAGCAAACTGGCGATGAATAAGATGCATCTGAAGAGACTTACGCGGCATTGCTAGCCGGCAAATCCTCGAAAAGGACTTCCGAGCGAGAGCTTATTATGTACACCAGGCAAAAGGAGATGATGAGCACCACTATGCCAACGCTGAGAGTTGTGATCTGATGCACATTGGACGGGCGCAGAAATATGCGTGCACTAAACAGTGACCAGGTTGATTCAGTCCATGTGGAGTACTGGCCGGAAGCCCAATCGTAGCCTATAAAAATATTCATGTAATGTTATACAAGTTAAATCAGAAGGTAAAACACCGACCATTAAGAACAAAAGCTGGACTCAGTGCGTGGCTGTAGTTCTGCGTGGTAAGGCGGCACTCCCCGATATTGTTGAAGCCGGCGAAATAGTGCAGCGGCAAGTCGGTGCAATTTTCCTTAGGGATGTCCGGCTGGATCTGCGACAGGAGATAGCCCAGCACTCTATAGGTATAGCCAGATGACTCTTGAGATCCGCCAAAGACGCTTATATAGCTAAGAAGAGAAGAGTCATTAATGGGATCCCTTTAACTAAGACGAGTATAATAGATACCCACCGCATCGGAGGCAAATTGGTTAATTGACTGCCCGGATAAGACGAGGCCTTGAATAGCGGACAGTCCGCCGATTGCAGGAAACAGAAAAGAAACTCATCGGCCAGCACGGGATTGGCCACCTTGGTACCTGTGTACTCCTTTCCTGTAAGCGTCTGATAGAGGGCCATGGCCAAAATGGAGGAAACATTGCGCACTTTCATTTGTATTGAATCTGCCTTCAAGTTCTTGAAGTCGTTTACTTCCGCCAGCTGGGTGAAGTCCTTGCTGGTGTTCGCATAGTCGAAGCCCACATTATCCATATCATCATAAATGGAGTGGTAGTACTTGTTTGTTGGCCTTGCGTTCAGAATCAGAGCCGGAAACTTTTGATCGCGTCGCAGAAAGGATTGCGCCGATGTGGGAGGTAAGTGGGGACTCATCTCAGACTGGATGTTTAGGTTGAAACCATAGCGGGGTGACTTGGCATAATTGTTTAGCTGCTCTAGAATTTTCTGCGCCAGCGTTGTTCCAGTCAGCGCATGCAGCTTAATGTTTGCTATGTCATCCAGTGTGCCAATGTCTAGCATAAAATCTATGTTGTCAAAGGCAATTGGAGGGCTCTGAGTGGACTTGGGGGGAAAGACCAAGTTCTCCATATCGTAAACAAATCTCTGTGATCCAATGTAGTCGTATGATTCGCCGTTAAAAGTCACAAAAAGAACATTGCGCAAGGAATCGGGCAACGAGCTTTGAAGTGGCAGCAACTGTCGTAGAAGATATGCCACCTGAGTGAAAACAGCAAATCCCATCAGCGAATCCATGGCTCCAGGACCTGGAAAACAAAAATGGAACCATTATAAGGAAATTCAAGCCCAGAAAATGTGTACTATTGGGTCAAGCTTTTCAAGGTTTGAATAAAAATACAACACAAGTTCGCTGTATTCAGGTCTACTTACCCACACCGTCAAACATGCTGGCGGTGTCCAGGCGACAGGAGACCAGGATGAACTTTTCGTTCGTATGGACTGTCTCATTGCCATTCTCAACAACTGGTTTTCTGGGGTACAAAGTGGCGTACACATTGCGTCCCTCGAGCGGATCGCAGTACTTGCTGCCGCCCAAGTTATTGATCAAGTTGGTGCGCCGCATACAAACCTCGGTGTTCACGGCGGCCGACATGAAGGACTTAACCTCGACGGCACATAGACTTCGCAGGGCGTGTGTCTCGTAGTTGAAGTTGTTGAACTTCTCGAAGCACTTTTCCAGCTTCTCTATTTCGTCCTTTTCGGCGAGGTAGTAGATGGGAAAAGGAAAGTCCTCGTGAAGCAGCCCGGTGCCCCAGGGATTCCAGTTCTTGGCCGGATTGCTGGCATCGCAGGTCGCGCTGCTGATGTTTAGCCCACTATACTGATTTGGGCAGTTAAGTTCATGCGAGAACTGCTTCATCTGGGCCGTCTTGTTGATGAGCAGCACAACGGAGATGTTCTTAGGTCCGGCCTCCTTCAGACGCATCAGGTTGTTGCGTGTGAACAGGTGAGGTGGTATCATAGGGGCATACGGGGGCGATGGTGCACTGGTCAGTAGAAATTCCAGATCGGCCTCCGAGTTTATCAGATGGAGCACCCCCACGGAGCCGGAATATGTGGCTATGGGGGAGGGGGAGCTATTATAAGGGAATGCCTCGGAATACTCTCAGATACTCACAGGAGCAGCCGGTCTGGTGCGTGCCATTCAGTCGGCGAAAGCAGCTTGCTCCTAGAATGGGCTCATACATCTTGTCTCGCGTTCGTTCGCCCAGAGCTGTGGACAAAGAAAGGGCGGATTAGATGACTCAGGCCAATATGTGGCCCATATAGAAGAGTGGGCGTGGGAGTTTTGGTTAATCGCAGCCGGATGATTGGCTTTTTTTTTCAAACGGTCCTATCCTTACCCACAATAGCTCCTTGTAGCAGCATTAGCAGCCATATTGCAGCCACATTTAGACGCTTTTCCATCGAAGGACCTTTGCTAGCCGTGTCGCTTTGTATCCCTCACTTTCCCACGAATTCGCTCAAGAAGTTGTTAATAATGTTCACTAAAACAAAAACATTTTATGCAGAGGTGGACCAACATCGATGACTTTCTTTTTTCAAACATCGATTGTTTGGGGCGTCTATCGGAGCAACGACTTCTTAGCGGAGACTTAAACCGAACAATTTCAAAATTTGTTTAATTGTTGTGACTTTCAAAAGTACCTATATTTTTAACAAAAATTATTGAATTTACATATTATAATTTTCTTTTCAGCTATAAAGAAGAATTAGATTATACAGCAAACAAAAAACACAAGATATGTTTCATTTAATTATGAGCTGGGTTTTTGTTGGATAGGAAAATCGTTCAGGCAATAGAGAAACAGGCATTATATTTCCAAATCTCCGATTGATTTATCAGTCCCATAACTTCAATTAAGCAATCCGAATCAATCTGTTTTTCTCAGCATACTTATTATTTACCTAAACATGGTTATTGCTATAAAACATGTAAAAACTTAGCATCTAGTGATCTAAAACAGCGTGTCCTCGGCGCGAATGTATTCGCCTATGTCCGATTGGTGGAAGCAGACGGTGGTCATGGGATCGGCGGTCTTGCAATCCGTTGTGGAACGGGCCAGGACTCCGAATCCGAGAGGCAGATCGTTCATGGAGTAGACCACCACGCCCTGGTACTGCCCGGCGTTCTCCGTGATGCGACCGAGTCCAGTTTTGGGGATGTGGTTGCCGTAGAGGAACTGCTGTTCGAAGGAGGGTTTCACCCACACTTTGTACTGGGCGTAGGGCGCCAAATAGTACAGCGCCGTGATGTGGAACTTCAGTTTGTTGGTCTTGGAGAACTTGCCGAAGCAGGTGCCCACGCACACCAGCTGCTTGTAGCCAAAGCACTCGCTCAGCTTCAGGATCCTCTCGGAGACGTAGTACACCCGATCCCGGTGCTCCCGAAAGCAATAGGTTCCATCCGGACGGTCGATCAACTGCTTCACATTCGTGCCAATGCTGGAAGTACACTTGTTAGTTGGATTTTTACCATAATTTCGGGTTACCCACTATTTGGACAGGTGCTCGAACAGGATCTTGGCACGTTCGTCACTCAGGCGTTTCATTTTAAGTTAATTAGAGCCGAAATCAGGGAAAAACAAATTGTAAACTGGCTACACGTGAGAAATTGTCCAGTGCTGTGCAATGCAATGAATTGAGAAACCCTACAGCACTGAATACATCGCTTAACTATCGTTTGTTTTTCGATAGTTGGGCAGTGCTGTCTAGCGACCATTACAAGTGCTGTAAGGTTCGCAGGCATTTCAATTTAAAAAATTTTTCCGTTAATACCATGATCTGCGCATCAATTACATGTTGTAATAAATTATACGGAGTAAGTATCCTCCTCAAAGTAACATTTAGGTTTATTTATGGAAAAGAACAACAAGAGAATTTAAGTATGGATTTACTCTTTCATTTACCCCTCTCTAATCGTCAAATCAATAAAACGTTTCATCTTCTTTGTTTCGGTTTTTTCATTAATTGAGATTTACATTTATTTGGTTGGCTTACAAAATCTAATAGTGTTCGTGCTCTGGATAATACTACACACTTTGTTCTCGATCTATTTACAATACCATAAATAACTACAGCAAACACTTATTCTAATCTAGAAGTATCACGTGTTGAGGCGGAGGAGCTCATGCCGTCTCCAGGCGTTTCTGTACGTAGTGCCGCTCCTTCAGCAGCTCGTCCAACTGCTGTTCCTGGTAGTAGACCACGAACTGAGCCGCCGACACCTGCTCGAAAATGGAGCAGATACTCGGCTTGAGGTTGTAGAAGAAGAGCAGCTGTCCCCGCTGATGGAAGTCGCTGATCAGCGAGTCTATCACGGTGGCCGTCGTGAAGTCAGCCCCATAGACATGCGAGGCATCTATGACCACTGGCACGTTTTGTCGAATGGACTGCTTGTTGACCAGGTTCCTCACGTAATCCACGGAGGGAAAGATGAGGCATCGATCGGGGGTGATCATGGAGTACTCCACGCCCGACTGAGTGGTCAGGAGCTCGGTGGTCAGCTTGGGACGCGCTGCGTGGTAGAGGATGAAGATGACGTTGAGTCCCACTCCGATGAGGATGCCCCACTCCAGAGGCAAGACGAGACAGGCCACAAACGTTCCAACTCCAGGAACCAGATCGCTTTCTGTGAGGTTATAGAGATGCACATAAGTATAAGTCTGCTTTTCCTTCATCGACTCACTCACTTTTCGATCTCCACATGGGCTTGACCACCTTGACTTCGATCATGAACACCACTGCGGATATAATGATGGCTGCGAGAGTGGGACGCGGGATGAAGTAGAAATAGGGGGTGAGGAAGAGCAGGGCAATCATCACCAGACCACCAGAGTAGATATTGCTCAGGGGCGTCCGCACTCCGCTCGCATTATTGACTGCTCCCCGACTGAGGGCTCCAGTGCCCGGGAAGCCCTGGACGAAGCTGTTGAAGATGTTGGCCGTTCCAATGGCAATCAGCTCCTGGGAGGCATCCACCGTCTTGCCATTAGCTAAAGGGATCGTTCGTCAGTGAGAAACTTGGTGTGATTTGGGTTAGTAAATAACTCACCGAAGGCCTTGCAGATGGCTATGTTTTCCATGAGCGAGATCAGGGGAATCACCACCAGGCCAGAGCCCATGCTGTGCACCATCTCCACGAAGCCCTGGGCCACTCCGCTGCTCGTCTCATTCGCACTCAGCGAGGTGGGTGGCAGCTGGACACTGGGCAGACCAGGTGGGATGTCGCCCACCACCCGGAAGGGAGCTCCGTGCTCCTCGCTGTGCAGCAGGTAGCCCATGAGGCAGCAGACCACCACCAGGATGGCATTCCGGGCAGTGCCCACGATCCAAAGGATCTTGTTCACGGCTCGCTGGACAGACGAGCACTCCTTCTCGTCCGAGGGTCCAATGCGGCAGGAGGAGAGACTGCGCATGAGCAGCAGGACCACGATGCAGGTGAGTCCCAGCACCGTGTCACCTGCCCGCGTGTCCCCGATGTTGTGGAAGACCTGCGTCCAGATCTCCACGAAGGTGTTGCCCTTGGCCGTGATGCCCAGCACACTCTGGATCTGCGAGGTGAGGATGATCAGCGAGACGGCGGAGGTGAAGCCGGAGGACACGGGCCCGGAGACAAAGTCAATGAGGAAGCCCAGCCCAAAGAGGCCCATCAGCAGCTCCACAATCCCACTGAGCAGGCACAGGAGCACCGACTTCTGCCACGATCCCTGGGCAGCCTGGTAGGTGAGTAGGGCCACTATCGCCGAAGGACCCATGGGCACATCCTTGCAGCTGCCAAGGAATATGTACACGAAGCAGCCCAGGAATGAGGCATAAAGACCATACTGAAATAAAGGAAATCAACAGGATTAATTGTATGTTTTGACTAGCGGCTAATTTTCGTAAAATTTATACTACTACTTTCTACTTATAGCAAACACAATTAACAAATTAGTCTGAATTTTTATAAGCTTGCACACTTAGAATATATTTAAAAAATATTAAGTAGATATTAAGAAGTCCCCACACTAATAATTATTAATTGAATTTTTATGAGCTTGCACACTTAAAATATTTTTAGAAAATATTAAGAAGATGTTAAGAAGTCCCCCTTTAAATTACTATCTTTTATAGACTTTAATATTATATTAATTTCCATTACTAGATAGAATTATTTTCTACTCACGGCTACGGGTAGTCCGGCAATGCCCGCGTAGGCCAGCGCCTGGGGGATCACGGTGAGGCCCACGGTGATGCCCGCCACCAGGTCGCCCACTGCATCCTGGCTGTTGTATTTGGGGAGCCATCCGAGGATCGGCAGTCTTTTGTGGAGGGTCTTGCGGTTGAAGGTGCGTCGTTGGCAGTCCTGCAGCCAACTTCTGGTGCAGTCGAACGTGCTCAGCGGTGGCTTCACCTTCTTGCCGTCCTCCGTCACTGAAAAGGTCACAACGAAAGTGGTCAGATATGGTGGAAGTCAAAAGAGATTTAAGTAAATGGCTAAAATGACTACGGTAGCAGTTCTGATTCATAATCACGTACTAGCGAGCAAACCATGGCTTCTGCTTTTTCCCACCATCGCAAATTGTATCTGTTTGCTTTCAGGTATTGTAATTGCTTGAGTTTTTCATTCTGATCTACGAGAATTTCATTGCCAAGGCCTAAGAAAAAGCTTAGCAGCTGAGAAAACGTGAAAAACAATTGCATTTATCTCCGAGTGGGGGAACGGGGCGTATACTTGATGCCCCGTTTTTTGCTTGCCAGAAGCATTTTCTGAATTCCACTATTTTAATTGCAGCCAACAGGGAACTAATTATGAAATTAAATTGTTTGCGACCTAAGTTTCTTTTAAATTAAGTAGCTTGAAAAGTACTACTTCCATTCGTGATTAAGGGAAATCACTAATGTATTTGCCATATAACAACTACTTTAATTTGACTTTACAGTTCCTAATTGACTAGTTAAATGTTAAAATTGCTAAGACTCATAAAAAATTTAATTAATTTTACTTGATAGACCATTAAATTACAAAAATAAATAACTATTATTGAGCCCTTTGGTCAACTGTTTAATTTTTAATCTTAAACTAAAATTCATTGTTAGAAGTCAGTGTGACTTTTTAAATATATTATAGCGGATATAAACATCTAACTCTTCCTATTAAGTTACTTTCAAATGACTTTACTTCACAGAAATGAGTTTGCATTTAAAAATTAGTATAATCGGCCCTCTTTGAGGTTTGTCTTTCGAAATATTGGCCTTTTGGATTTGGATATTTCAACGAAGCGTAGTATTTTGCTCTGGGAACTTACGGATAAACTCCTTGGATCCCTGCGATCCCACGCTGTTGCTACTCCCGTTGGGTTCCGGGAGGTTGGTGCTCATGCTGATCGTGGAGCACTTGAAGCCGTCGTTGAAGTAAACGTGGTCCGCGGCCGGATTGGACTTCATTTTCGGTCCGGGGGTGGCAGCGAATCAAAACAAACACTGCGTACGAAGTACAAGTTAATCGGGGTTCCCGCACAGTAATGGCACCAGGTGACACTAGATC